CGCATCACGTGAGCCACCACTCGGTTGAATGTTGCTGGAGCATTTTTCAACCCTTGTTGCATCACAAGCCACTCCCACAGCATACCGCTTGGGGTTCTTACTGCCGTTTTGGCTACATCGGTATCTCTCATGAGAACCTGATAATAGCCATCCTTCAGATCCAACGCGGAAAAGATAGTTGACTTTCCCATGGAATTCAACAAAACATCTTTCCGCGGGATCGGCGTTTGAGCTGGAATGGTGGCCGTGTTCAGCTTATTATAAGCATGAACCACGCGCCATCCCACCCGTTGCTTTACGCACACAGAAGGCCGAGCTGCAGTGAGGCGACTTGATCTCACGTACATGTCCCGCCTTGGCTCGCTTGTCGAAGAACTCATCGATGTAATCGACTTGTTCCTTCGGCAACGGCCATGGCCTGGTCACACAATACTTGGTGCCAGGCTCCAGGTCAATCTCGTGCTTGATGCCCCTATCGGCCGGTAGGCGGCTCGGCACTTCTGCTGGAAACACATCACGGTGTTTCCACAGAACATCATAAAACGAGCTGTCCTTCAAGGCATCCCAGCCTTGAGCAGCGAACCGTTACTTTTTGTCGGTCTCCAAGACGCTCTCATCCATTGTGGATGAAGAGCAACAGTCCACCACGTTCTCTTCTGGAACTGGCGCGACTATCTTGTGGATCTTTCCTTCCTTTAGTTTGGACAGGAACAGATCCCACGTCATCTCCGAGAGATTTACTATCTCCTCGGCAGACACCAAGAAACGTTGAAGCACCTCAACAGAGAATGCCTCCGGCATTTTGTATTCGACGGCCTCGAACAACTCGTTCGTAGGTCCGTCCTCTTGGAACGAGACTGATCCAAGGGTCACTCGTTCGACGTGTCCTTGATCGTCTTAATACGTCTGGTGCTCGTTCTCGAGCCACCACGACCTTTGACCTGGAAGAAGGTTTCGTTGCTATCTCAGCTAACGCACTCCTTCCAACCGCACCAGGATCTTGGCTCTGTGCCGATTCGTGTGACGCTTGACTTCCTGTCAGCCCCACCATCAACTGCCACAGGCTCTCGGCTCTGTGCAGGACTATTGGACGCATGACTACTTGTCATCGCCCCATTCACTACACCAGTCTTTTCGACCTGGGTAGGAATATGTTTCACCTGGATTTCCGCCAGTGCACTCCCAACTACACCACTCCTTTCGAGCTGGGTAGTTCCTGGTGTCGATTGACATACCGTCATCGCACCCTCGACTGTGTTGGACACAGCATCAGCCACATAAGCCTCTCGCAAGAAACATTCTTTCTAGTGTCCTGCGTAGAGCTAGCGACTGTGCGTGTACGCCAGTCTATCCATGGTTGGTGTTTAGCCAGCCAAGGCATGCCTAGGATGAGGTCATACGGTTTCTCCATACCTAGCACTGTGAACTTCTCTTTACAAGAGAAGTCACTGAAACTGAAGGCGAGTTCAACTTGAACTCCCTCCGATTTAACGAGCGCGCCGTTCGCTAAACGAACGATCGCCTCTTCTCGCTTGCCATCCTGGCAAAGCGACTCATAACTCGCCGGTCTCTTTTTCAGAGCCGCGAGTTTCACAAAGTTTTGTGATGCACCCGAATCCACGAGAAGGGTCATCACTTGGTCATAGCCTTGTACTCGAGCGCTATAGACCAAAAGGGTTGAAGTCCGACCTTTCGGAACCTCAGGGACTATGCTACCCATTTGTTCGATCACTCTGAACTCAGGGGTAGCTTCAGAACCCGCGACAGTAGGGGCATCCCGCCCGACCCATCTTGGGCAGGTGCTGAACCCGTGCGTCGTGCACGCTGGTTTTTCGCACGTCCCTTCGGATTGGGAGACCTTTTGCTGGCTTCCTTAGCACCAGCAGCTACTTTGGCATAGCAGCGAGCCATCATATGGCCTCGCTTGCCGCACTTGTAGCAGATCACATCTGCATTGCCTAACTCCATAGGAGTGGCATCAGACTTCTCGGACGACGGCCTGTAATAGGCTGTCGCCGAGGCGCTGTTGTAGGATTGCTCCTCAACTAAGGCAATGTCAATTGCCTCTTCCATTGTCGCTGGCACCTTTCTGAAAAGGGCCTGACGCGATGGACCGTGACTAAGTCCATTCATGAACGTGGCCACCTTGATACGCTCTGGTATAGGTTCCCCATTGATGGACGCCGACAGCGAACGCATCTCCTGCACAAATTCTTGCAGAGAGCGTTTCGCCTGTCGTGCTCCAAAGAAGCGCGCCATAAGCAACACTTCGTTGTTAGGCGGCTGATACATGGCGCGAATCTTTGTTTGAAAGATCGCTTATGATGGAAATGCATCAGCATTAGCCATCAGCGCAGAGTATGCCCAGTCTGACGCTTTGCCACGCAAGTTGGACATGGCATACGACACCATTCTGGTGTCGTCTTCGATGAGCTGCGCCACTCCACATTGCTCAACTGCTAATAGCCAGTGAACAATCGTGTGAGGGCTAGTTCCATCGAACTTCGGAGGGTCCATCCGAATGGGCCTCGGTTGAGCAGGCCGGGCAGAGAGCGTCTCAACAGTTCTGTTGAGCGCCTCATTACGTGCCTGCTCAAGCCTAAGCTCATCCTGAGTCTTAGTGATGGACTCAGCGGTGGCTTGGCTGTTTACCTCGGACGCGTTTCTACGCTGTCCGAGCACAAACGTCTCAAATTGCTCCAACTGAGCAACATGGTGCTCAGGAGGACAATGCAAGAGGCTGACCAGGACTTGTTCACCAAGTCCCTGCGCCATATTCTCTGCCAACTCCCTATGATGTTGGGAGAGGTGAGGGAAGTCACTCCAGTCCATATTAAGGACCATCTTAACCACACGCACGCTCAGAGAGACGGGTCGTGGGAAGGACTACTAGTGCTACCAAGTGTAGACGGGCACTTCTACGAAGTTGCCTCGTACTACGAGCACACAAGCGAGGAAGCGGTTAGACCGTCTTACCTTCGCGTGCGAGGGTGGTTGGGAGGTTGGTCGACTGCTTAAAGAAGCCGTACCACCAGTTGCCTCTCGCTTAAGAGAGAGTGCAACGAACTTCTAAACAAGAAGGCACCGGCATCACGCAGAAGCTTTTAGAGCTTCTCGTGCGCGGTGCTTTCGATGTTAGCAAATTCAAGACTGAGATATATTTAATTAATTATAACTAAATATATACTTAACTACTGATTGGCTATATATGTATATAGATTGGATACGCGACTCTTTAGAAGCGTATCCTGTCGCATGAGCTTAAATCTAGATTTAAGTTTGAGAATGACGTTCTTCTGAGATGTCGTGATGCCTAGCTTCAACTAGCGTCATCCCTTCCCATGTGAATCCATAAATGGATATCACATTCACGAGGGTGGATCACATTTGTGTATCGCACCCAAGTGACAGGTCAAAAGTAATCATGATAACTTTTAGACCCAACATTAAGTATATTACTTTATGTTTACGGGTAACTAGATGCCCTGTTACAGGCTGACTCCGGCAAATTAATATGTATATTACAATACACTTGGGTCACTTAATAATGTGTTTTTGTCGTTCCGTCGGACTTGGCGAGTATAGTCTGATATCTGTATTCGTATATCTATCACTATTCGGTTGACTCTGGTAAATTAAAATGTATGATGCAATATATATGGCTAACCTTAATCATTATAATCGTATTCGATTTAAGCTCACGACAACGACTGCTTTTGCTATTTTTAGTAATCAAGCACTGAACTCGTGTTTCAAGGAATTTAAAGCATGTGTCTTATTAAATATATCAAAAAAGCTGTGTTTGATATAGCAATATGTAATGATGGGTATAAAGTTTGATGTGTATCCATCATTTGGTTGATGTATTATATACAAAGAAGCACGGAGATGGACATACTGAAAGATTATATTCTGTTATGGAAATCTGCATACAGAGCTCCCTCTGTAAAGTATGGGTACGGCGGACGACGATACCCATAACTTAACGAAGGTTAAAAGTTATCACATCATGTATATATAAAAAAGGATCCTGGCAGGTTCAGCCCCAAGGTTCAACCTGCTAAAATACTTAAGTCATTGACTTCATTTATAGTTGTACCCGGTTTAAAGGTGTGAAACATGTCAAAAACTTGTATTTTTATGCTACTAGTAGACCATTATGTAAATTTACAGTGTTTAATAGTGTCTTGCCTACCTAGATAGTAGAAAATGTCGAGTTAAAAGCCGGAGCAGGAGCTGAGAGACCATCTAGAGCAGCTGCGTGTCCGGGATCAAATGACAATGTCGGAGCTTTGCAATCCTATCGTAAAGGATGAGACTGCTTAGCCGGAGATACGCGAGCCTTGATTTGTGGAAGAGGTAAAAGCTAGAATTTTTAGTTATCATGATTCTGTGTTATGCTTGACTTTCTCTGCTATCCTTTCTCATCTATGCATCCCTATCTACTCTAGTTCACCAGGCACAAAAGGAGGGAAAAAATAAGTGGAGATATGGCGCCTGTCGCAGACAAGTTCACCAGAATTGAAGAGACCAACCTCCTTCGTGAATAATGCTACCTGCTCGATGTATCCCGGTCCACAAGCCGCTTCTAAAGTTCTCTCGTGACCTTCATTTGGGCTTTTCGCAACGCACCCATGTGGTTTAAGTAGGTTTTCTCGTCTAAAGTACCTGAAAAATACTCATTTGATAAAGTTATATTGCCCTGCCTGACTATAACTTATAACTTAGCGACCATAGAACGAGCTCGGTGGACACGATAAATTATAACCTACCGGAGGTTATAATTTATCGGGTGATAACTTATTGGAGGGAGGTCTGTATGTTATTATTGATGCACATTGCAAAATTAGCCAATCCGGATGCCGGAAAGGAGCACTACGAACAGACGGACGGACACGATTTTTTTATTATATGGAAAAAGAGAGTTTAAGGTTTATTATATCCAGTATCCAGCCGTCGCATGACCCGGTTACATTGATCAAAGCCCGCCATCAATTATTTCACTTTCGAGATGGCCCGAGAATCTTATTTTCTGTCCAAGTAACTGTTTTCTTTTTGCCAAGGCCAGCTGGCACATCAACGGGAGCATTCGTCTCTTTGCCAATGCCAGCTGGCACATCAACGGGAGCATTCGTCTCTTTGCCAATGCCAGCTGGCACATCAACGGGAGCATTCGTCTCTTTGCCAATGCCAGCTGGCACATCAACGGGAGCATTCGTCTCTACGCCAGTACCAGCGTCCTTTCGCAGACTAGAAGAAAATTTCTTCTCTTCGCCAGTTGTTTTCGATTTTTTTAAGAAAAATCTTCGAAGCAATTGAATAAAGCTCTTCGTCCTCGGGTCTTTGGGATTACGCATCAGCCACTGAAAAAATTTTGCCACCACGCCCGGATTTTTAATGGTGTTCGCCGATTTTGTCTCCGCTTGTCCAATTTTTGCCATCTTCTCCTGCAAACTAGTGAAGGTATTCATGGATAAAAAACCCTTAATCTTTTCGGCCTCTCCCACATAGCCACTCATTACTGGTAAATTCCTTTCTTCGTTGGCGAACTCTTCTTTCTCAGTACCACGCAGACGTTGCAGAACATAATCACGACCGGCATCCGCATTCTCCGTTAAGGCCGTGTCCGAAATCTCCATTGCAGAGACTGCAACGTCACTGGAGTGGATAATGGCGGCGAAAATCACCACGAAGACATAAGCAAGGCGCACGCTGGTCATTTCGTCTTGATGTACGTAGAAAAAGTGAGGAGGTCAACGCGGCAAACTATGAGGAACCGCGCGAAATGCCGAATGAACGCTCAATTGGTACTGCGCCATCAACTTTGCAACCAGGTTATGATCGGAATGGGATTGGTTATGATCGGAATGGGATTGGTTATGATCGGAATGGGATTGGTTATGATCGGAATGGGATTGGACCAGCTGGTTGAGACACATCTGCCAGCGGAATTATGCGAGGAAAGTCTTATGACGTCTTGACGACCGAAATTTGAGGCGTCGAGGTTCGAGAGGACGTACAATCGGACGTCAGGTGCACTTTATTCACAAAAACTTTGGGGTTAAATACATGTGCATTCCATGTACTTGATTTCCGAAGTATTTGTTCGCTAAATCATTTACTTGTGTCGTACTATCCAAATGTTTGTCATACCAAAGCCTTATAAGCCGCCCATACCCGGAATTTAGGAGGTGTGTATGAACTCGGTAGCTACAAACCCTTTCCCATGTGTGCGCATGTAAGGGATAGCCTTCCTACCCTATGGAATTATGAAGTGCGTGCGTGGATCGTCAATCGTGTTGATTACGACCGCCTGCGTAGATCGTGTCTCTTTTCGCCAAACGAATCTCAAGCGACTCCGATTTGCAACTTCTCAATTCGTGCTTTCGAGCAACAACGGCCAAGAGACGAAGACCTCCGAAGAGCCAGGGACCGGTTCCCTTTCCCCTGGATGGGAAGTCCCCCAATTGTGGGGTCCAGGTAGAAGGGAATCGGTTTTCTTTCCGCTGCCTTCGCTATGGGAGGCAGCGCAGCTTTACCATGGGTTGAATGAGAAGACGATCTGACGTGAAAAGTTGGACAGGAATCTCGATACTATGCGTAAGAGCGTGAATGTGAGTGATGTGGAGCAATTTCTAACGACTGTGCGCGACATTGGAAACCAGTCGCTCGTGTACCTTATGAAGTGGCTGTACAGGAGTACAACACCTTTGTCCATGTTTGTAGTGTCCAGGAGGAAGTCCTTCTCGACCTCCTACTCTTGACTAGAACCCACTAAGACGGAACAGGACCTGGTTGAGATGGCGACCGAGGCGGAGCAGCTAAGGAAGGGCTTCGGCAACGTATCGAAGGCGTTGCTGCAGCGTTTACGTGTTAAGGACCTGAAGATTGTCGCGGACCGCTACGGATGGACGTTGCTGATGCAAGCGACCAGCGGAAGACTATAGGAGTTGGCAGAGGATTTGTAGCTCCTAAGGCTGACATGAACTACGTGAACACCACGAGGGATACCTTTAATCCTCTCTATTTATCTGTCGAATTGGAAGACACGGCTGTGTCTCTATTGCTGCTCAAAAACGGCGCTAGTGCATCTTCATCGAACCTTGTTGCGACGCTGTTGGTGGGCTGGAAGCTGAGGAGGAACGTGATACAGAAGATAATGGCTGTGTGGTATTCCTGGCCTCTCACATTCGTATCATGAAGGAATTGCTGGCACTGGGTGTGGATGTTATCTTCGTACGACCCTCAGAAGGTGACCGTGTGAGTGATGTTTGAGATGCAGGGGGTCGTTAAACGTCTGACTGATTAGAGAAGATTGACCTGAATGTATTGAAAATCGGCCAGACAGAGGTGTCCGCTGATATTTTTAGAATACAAGAAAGTTGTATTTGAGAATTATTAATCCCTGTTTTCAGACCTTTAGTAAGGTATTTATCCACCTTTGAACAAATGGCCACCGTATTTATGCTCCAATGTCGACTCTATCCGACCCTACTCACTTATACTACTACCTCTTACGAAATAATCGATGATTTAATGTCGCGGTGCCTAAAGCAGGAACAGAACCTTTCGTGTAGCTGCGTGTGGTCCCTCCTTATCGTGCATTTATTGAAGCGCGTATCCTTTTCATAAGCTAATATGCATCAATCTCTTATAAAATCACCTGCTTCATACCAGAATGCTGTCGTCCAGATCAACACAGTGCAAGTTTGTTATTCGGGACGAAGGTAACCTGGTCTTTTAGCTGTGACTAATTGACTGTAACTTACAACGGTCGAAAGTGATATTACAAATTTGTTAAGTATTAAATGTTACCTTATCGCTATAGCAGTCTACGCAAGCACGACTTTTTTGCTGTCGAAATGCTATTAAGCTTTAAATACATTGAGAATTTGAAATTCAATACCTCCTTAACATAATAGGACGGGGTTTTAACCAATCGAAATGGGTCAGAAAGCCGAAAACGTATACAGCACTCCACGTCCAGAATTTGATTAATAACTGTAATTCCAACTTGTTGTCATCGCTAAGTCAATCCAATTTTGACTTGCCTGCAACAGGTGGTCGATTGACGATTCATTAATTTGTTTGGGCGACGACATTTATACAGTAACGAACTCGTCTAATCAGTTTTCAACAAGTAGTGTGTTTTCTTCTGAGTCGACAAATAAATGTATGTTACTAAACTTGTTATTGTTAGCAGAACCAAAGCTAATTGACATCAATACTCAAATCAATTCAAGACCCCTCTTTGTCGATTCAACTTGATTCAATTGGAGAACAATGCCTCGCGTGAGGAAGAAAACTCGGGTCACATTGACAGCCAGTGACAAGACTTATGCGCCAACGGCTTCCGTTCGTCGCCCATCAATGTACAAAGATGCTAGATTCCTTTTTTTCTGAACCTTGTCCAATACCTACGACGATATACATTATACTTAAGTACTGATCACTAATGTCATTTTTGATGCACTGAAGCAAGGTAAAAACACGGAAGCAACGCAAGCGACGGGCCCCTGCTGCATTTTCACCAACTGCGGACACCCCACCACGGAAAAGCCAAAAGTTAAAGGACCCGAGACGAGATATTGACGCTATTCGTCTCTCCATTGCTACTCCTTCTCGTCCAGAACACAAGCGGTTGGAAAACAAGGTTAAGTCACAGGTGTGTTTCGAATGGATCTGACAGTTTCATTGATACAGTCAGATTTCAAGCTAAGCACGCCAAATGATGCTGTGTGCTTCTATTAGGCACATCGATTAGGGTACTCGTTAGCCTTTGTCGAGGCTTACGAAGCGGAAGGATGGCGCAAATCGAGCCAAAACAAACTGAAACCCAACAAGGAACTTGAGGCAGAACATCGTAAGATTGCGAAAGGGAAGCGTGCACTTATTGACGGTCTACGCGAACTAAAGGCACTCAATGCAAAGGACCCGCAAGTGCCACCGCAGACTGTGTTTGAAGATGTGCATTGCTCTCGGTGTGGAAGCACTGATATCGAGCAAGACAACGATATTCTGCTTTGCGACAGTCCTAATTGTCATCGTGCTTACCACCAATGGTGTCAGACACCACTTCTTCTGACTGCCAATATCCCATTAGGTGTCGAGCCTTGGTTTTGTGAGGTGTGTCTATCCGCCTTTGAGTGCCTCAAGTCGATTAATTCGGTGTTTGGGACGACGTACGAAACCGTTGATGAACTCTTCCCTGAGCTTGCTCAGTCGGAACAACAAACAGCAACGGATGCAAGCAGCACTGCTCAGTCAGGCGAGGAAAGTGGCACTGCTCCTGCTGATACGGATGACAAAGAAAAGGAGGATGAGGACGAAGAGGAAGACGAGGACTTCATTTGTGGTGAAGGAGATGACGTAGAAGACGACAAAGAAGGTGACGAAAAAACGTCGGAAGATGTAGCTGACGGTGAAGAAGAAATGGCTGAGGAGGTGCCCGAGAGTGCTCAAGACTTGCTTTTTCTCAGCAAAGACGACATCATTGACATGAACCAGTACGTGATGTCGAGTGCTTTACTTGTGACTCAATTTTAATTCTCGCTGTCGGTGTGGTTCCGATATTTTTTTTGTAGTAGGTCAATCCGGTCGAAAAGTGCGAGTCGACCACCGGAGCTCATTTGTAATAAAACAAGTTTTGTGGGTGAACAAGCAGCGAAGATTGACCGTAGGACCGGCAATGTAGTTTTTGGCGTCGTAGCAGAGCTTGATCCACCGGTCAATGGGCGATATTCGCGCTGGCGCATTGACTATCGTGATGGAAGCTTAGAACTACTGACGCATAGCAAGACTCAGGCTGCAATTAATCGTGCTGCGGTAGAGGATAGTGACGATGACCGAGATGGCGATGGACTCGAGGATGATTTAACGCTGATTGTCCGTGGCAAACGCAAACGCAATGACGTGGACTATCGTCAGCTTAACCAGCTCATGTTTGCCGGTAAGGACGACGATAGCGAAGACGACGAGACCTTCGAGATTAAAAAAGGGAGCGAGGAGGAGAATAAGGATGAAGAAGAGGAAGACCAAGAGGAACAAGAGTCTGCTGGAAGCGTATCGGATCAATCATCGCCAAGTGCCATGACTGTATCTCATGGCGAAGCATCAAAACCATCGGACATTAAGCCCAATTATCGCCAGCTTGCTTCTATCAACTAGCTATCTCTCGATGCACTATATCCTGCTACTTTAATCATTCTCTTATTCAGGTATTGTGACAAGCCCAACACCTTTTACTAGCACAATTTTAAATGCAGCGGTCGCGGATTCCTCGAGCTACAGGTTCTGCTTTGTGCATTGTTGTTTTTAGTGCTCCAATAAATAGAAAATCCTGGATTAACACCTTCTTCTTTAGCGTATTCGGTGTATCTCCACTTATGTTGAATACGTTTGCAATGCCATATTCGATCATTCACCGTGTCACTCACTTTGACAGTCCACACCTCGACGCATATCACAAAGGTTTGCTTTGCCGCTGTTCCGCGTTAGTACCTGTGGTCGCACTTTGCAAGGAGCGGACGACTTACAAGCATACGGTAGTCCCGTCGCATTCTCGTCATCCTGATATGTAAACACAGTTACCTGTCCGTCCATTCTAGCGCACAACCCGACACCAACGGTTCACGTAGAGGAGCACATGCATCATTGAAAAGATCGCGAGTGCAACCTTATCCGAGGCGTCAACGACCACATCGTGCACTCGAACAAGTTTCAATGCGTTCGCAGCAGTAAATTGCATTGGGTACACAGTACACCAAAGCAATGGGTTCATCTCTAGCAGTCCTCTCTTAGCCGATCTACTTTCTTTTCTTGTTTTCTGCTTCTTGTTCATCATGAAGAATCTGATGATGCAAATTCCTTCGGTCGACATGGTCATCATCCACCACCGCCAATGCGCCTACACCCATAGCAGCCAAGTACATTGCAGCAGGTGATCCAAGTCCGCCCACGTCAATCAGTAGCACACGTGCAGCACGTAACTTCAGTTGAGCTTTATCTCTAAACTCTTTTTCGAGCATTTGTCACCCATAACATTGTAGCTCCTCTCGTAAACGGTGAGTACATAAAGTATCCGCTACATTCTTTTCATTTTCATTTCCCTGGGTCTTTACAGCACCTCTAATAAGTCTCTTTAGATTTTCAGGTTGTGCTGGAAGCTGTGTATTCTGTGCTCGTAACTTGCCCAGTTCATCATTCAATACAAAGCAACAAGCACACGCGGGGGCAGCTGTCGTCATCAAGGAGCTTATTTTGAAGATGTTTACTTTTTATTTGATAATAGAGATTCATATCTCAATAGTCATAGTAGCGTAGAGTCAATTAAATCGAAAGCTCCTTCCTCTTTGCACCTGTCACCATGAGATTCATTGGTGTTTCGTGCTCACGTAATCTCGCGTTGCTGCGTTTTCCACGTGGAAATGGTCTCGTGTCAAAGGGCTGCGCTGCAGGGTTGTCGACCTCGTCGAGTTTCCCGTTGGCGGACAAAACGTCGATTTTGGAGCTACTGCAGCGAGTGGCAGACGGAAAAGTGTCACCTCATGCGGCAATGGAACTCTACAACTATGCTGTAGAGTATCAAGAAGTGGGGCATTTTGCTAAAATTGATACAAAACGAGAAGCTCGAACGGGTTTCCCTGAAGTCGTGTACGCCGAGAGCAAAACGCCGGAGCAAGTGGCGGCTATTATGAAAGTGATGATTGATGGAGGTGAAAATAACGTCATGGCTTCACGTGTTACGACCCAAGCTGCAGCTGATATTCAGGCTTTAATGCCGGTACGAAAAGCTGAACAAGTGATGGTTGTATGCTTCGGCAAAGGAAGTTCGGATGATTATAACGTGTATCTTGTGACAGGACCAGCATCTGACGTACTATGAGGTGCCTCGGATCTTGGCATTGAAATCGTTGGAGAAGGATGCAACAAAGCAACTTCAAGACGCGGATAAGAAGGCAAAAAGCTTTTGCGCTTTTGCAAAGATAGTTTGAAGGTTGTTTCTTAACAATGCTCTACTATCTCCTCCAGGTCTTCACTGCTTGTGTGCTTTGTGCTGGTACTTCGGATCTTCCTGTCGCAGAAGAAGCCGCTGTGACTCTTGGTAAGTATTTTACCTTCCCTAGCTAGTTCATGTTCATACCTAAAGCGGTAGTGACTAACATATGTACAATTGACAGAGCTAGCTGACTATTGCGTGACTCGAGTCTACGACGTAGGCGTGGCTGGAATTCACCGCTTACTGCGCAATCAGCACATTCTGCGGGCATCAGATGTTGCCATTTGCGTTGCTGGGATGGATGGCGCATTGCCTGGAGTTGTGGTAGACCATCTACAAGACGATTATACTCTTGTGTATTCCGTCTAACTATTTCTCTTCATGCTTCCTATTGTTACATAGGGAGGTCTCACATCCGCACCAGTCATTGCGGTTCCCACGAGTGTCGGCTATGGTGCAGCATTCGGTGGTTTAGCTCCGCTGCTAACAATGTTGAATGCTTGTTCACCAGGCGTCGGTGTAGTCAACATTGACAATGGATTTGGGGCTGCCGTTTTAGCAGGTAAGAAGAAGAAGAAAGTGGGTCATATTGTGTGTCTCGGTATACTTTAACTCTTGCATTTTAATGTCATTTTGTTCCAGCTCGAATTTTAGTTCAGCTTCGCTGATGTAATCGAATAGCCAATTGTGCGACCTTTAGCCTCGTTTTCCACCAATCATCATCTTATATTTGTATCTGATGAAGCAGATTAATAATGGGCAGGAAGAAGTCGCTAGTTATGCGTAACAAGCGCATTGGTCGCTGTTACGTAAATCCCTCGACCAGTAGCTCAGCATTATCTGGCTCAGATGTCTCTAATCTATTGAGTAGCACATGTTCTTTTTCTCTACCTGGACTGATGACATCTAAACCGAATGCGACAGTGATTGACACGAAATCTTTTTCATACAGTCTCCAGCTGCCAGATCCTTTGATCCCCAACTTGCAGCTTGTTGGTAAAGAATTTTAAAGAGAAAAGTAGAACCATTGGATGGACACAACGAAGTAGTGGTGATGACGTTGTCTTTAGGCGATGGAATGAAGCAGGAGGATACAGTGAAGAGGAGATACAAACAGAAGAGAGCGACAAGGAAGAAGTTGTGACCATGTCTGTGACGGAGCTGGAGATTTGGCAAAGGAGAGCTATTTTTCAATAGGAGATCATTATTCAAGTGCGTCCATTTTGTGCTTTTTAATTGGGATTGTATTGAAGCACTGACGTTTGTTTTTTGTGGATGTGGTGGGACAGATAAACAATTGAAGAGGATTGCCGAGTTTGGACGCGTGCATGGAACCGTTGTACAAAAAGCTAGAGAGTATGTGAGCAGTATGGAAAAGCTGCTGGTCAGTCAACTTTTAGAAGAGCGTGCTGCGTTACGTGCACAGGCGGAGGAGTACGTAGCGAATACGGCTACGGAAAATGTTTTGCCTGAGCATCAGGTAGACGGTTTGAAGCACCACGTTACAGGATTGAAGAAGAAGGTGGAAAAGTTGGAGTGGCGGGTAGATGTTCTAAGGTCTGATATGGAACAGAATCATCAGGAGCAACATCCAGCAATCTTATTCCAGGACAAAATGACAGAAGAGAGATCGACAGGAGAGTTGGAAATCTGCTACTCAATATCAATCGTTACGATGCGAATGGATACGAATTTGCAGTAGAGAATGCTCTTTCTCACCTCAACCCACCAAGCCGAGAAATGGTGAACTGAATGACCGCTACTGCTCGTCAAAATGTACCGACCCGACTCTCCATCGAGGGGTTTGCTTTGAGGAAGATTATTAATTTTCACCAATTAACGACGGTCACCTACAGAGATTTACCGTTGAATCAGGACGGACATGAAACGATAGAATTGTTTAGGACATCTGCACGAGTAGGCAAACTATGAGTTGCTAGAAAGTATTCCATTTGTTCGAGTAGGTAGACCAACGAGCGTTTTCTAATGTTTATAATATAATGTACTTTTGAGTATTGTATAACATCGGGGGGGGACTTATGTATACAACTGGAATATTCGTCTAGATAAAAAAGATACACATTAGATAAAACTCAGACGATTGTTGCATAATAATAGCCAGCCGCCAATAGTGATCGTTACAAAATATGATATTTCTAGATTGGTTTAAAAGAGAAAAAGGAAAAATCCTCTCTCTCGAGTGTCTTTTTTTTCATTTCAGTGACATCGGCCCCCTTCGCTCTCCGCCAACCCCATATTCCGCTCGAAGGAAATTCAGGGGGAGCAAAGCAAGTCTCTCTTTTGTGTCCGTCCTTGACCATTTGCAAGCCAAAGTCAAGTCACTTGCAAACAGGCAACAGTCATTTACCAAAGCTTTTCGCTCTGCATTTTACATTTTGTGTGTTTTACATAACCACGTACAATGGCCGATCAAGTGGATCCTACCGCTGGCGTTGACATTCAAGTGTCCTCGTCTTCGCAATGGTCGGAGCACAATGCGCCCAATGGACGAAAGTATTATTATAATGCAGTTACGGGCGAGTCCACGTGGGAATGGTGCGTTCAATGACGATGATCTTGACGCAAATGTCGCTCGATTCTTATCATTTCTTTCGTATCTGATTATTATCCTACAGCCCCGTAGAACTGTCAGTAGTTGCTTCCGAGCTTCCTCGTGGTGCTGCTGCTTCTCAACAACAACAACAATCGATTGCTGCTGGTTTCCAACAGCCACAGCAACAGCTTGGAGGTCAAGCACCACAAGGTGCGTCGGACGTTTTTATTGTGATAATTTGCTGTCTATGTAGCAAATTGAATGCTTTCATGCTAATACTCGTATTTCTTTGCTAGGTGCAACAGCTTATGGAGGTTACCCACAACCATACGGTCAACCCATGCAGTATCCACCTCCGTACGGTGGCAGTGGCTACATGTACCCATTTCCACAGGCTTACGGTCAGTTGACGCTGTGGAAATTTATGGCCGGCGGGGGATTGGAATTTCATTTGGTTTTTGTATAGGTTACCCACCGCAGATTGTAGGTCCTGGTCCTCCGATTCAGACCACGGAAAGCGGCCAAGGTGGGTTTTTGATGATATAGTTTTTTATTTATTTGATATAAATGTGTGTCGTACATGAGCTTAATTGTTGAACATTTATTATGTGTGCGTGTGCGATTGGAAAATTTTTGCGTGTTGTGTGTTTCTGTATATAGGACCTCCTGGGTGCAACCTATTTGTCTTTCACATTCCGAACGACATGACTAATCAGGATCTCTTCAATTACTTTGCTACGTTCGGCAACGTGATCAGTGCTCGTATCATGGTGGAGAAGGAGACGGGAAGGAGCCGTGGTTTTGGTACGCGATAGCAACCTGTGCATTCATTTTTTGAGACGGAGTAAAAGGATTGCCACGTGAATTTACTATCTATGTGGCTTGCAGGTTTTGTCAGCTATGACAATGCTCCGTCGGCTGACGCCGCAATCAAGGGGATGAATGGTTTCCAGGTTGGCCGCAAACGCCTAAAAGTGCAGCACAAGAAGGAAAAGAGTCAAGGCCCTATGTTTGGTGAAATGTCTGGTCACATGGATAGCAACGGTAATGACATGGCTGTCCAGGCCGCCGGTGCTACTTCGCTGCCCTCAGGCAACTAGAGCGCTTGACGAGAGAAGACACACAACGCTATGTATAATTGGGGGCATGTTTGGGGAAGGAGGTGGTCAAAAAGGAGGAACATCAAAATAATAAGAGCACGGCGAAGAACAAACCTGATCGCGTGAATTCTATCTGAGGAAAGTCCAGTGTGGTTGTGGCGAAGGACGAGGTGAATTGTGCGCGGTCTCGGCGTGATGGAAGGCTAAGTAAGGTCCGACGATCGTGGGGTGAAAAATGAAAAGAGTAGAAAGGAGGAGGTATGAAGAAAGCGGAATTGGTCGGGCGTCAGTCAAGTTATTCAGGTAGCAATGGGAGGCAGTTGTTCTGCTTCGTGTTGTGTTTTTTTTCAAATGCATATCTTGACGTATAACCTTCTATTGAAGAGGGATGTAGGCGTAGCGTTAGTAAGCAGACGGCTTAGCCGACCTCGTAAAAGCAAAGACCTGTCGATCGCTTCCCCAATGTCGCATTTATATTGAATCGTCGACGTCTCGAGCCTTTCAACATGCAGCACCATCCCCTCCATTCTGATGTCTTCACCAATATCCTTGTCATCAGCAACATTGTAATACTTGTATATAGTGCTGCAATTCGAACAACGAATCTACTCCATTGTACTTGTACGCAAAAGCGAAACCTTATCCGGCGGGCCTTACGTAATAGAGCATATCTTAGTACAGCTCGATAGAATGGATGCCTCCAGACTAAAATGCAAATGCTGGTGGGATTTAAGTCTGTTTGCGCCACAAGGACACGATCATCTTCAAAGGATCGACGACGCAATAACTTCGCTCACACCATTGTCACGTGTGTAAGCAAAGCCAATACTTAAAAAACAGGTGTGCACGGTGGAGGCATCCGTACTGCACGAAGCACAGAGCCTACAAGCTTTTGGAAGTAACAGACGGGCCAACATACGTCATCGGTTTCATTCCAGCCGCATAATGACGTTGCTTTAGGTACATCTATAGGTAGCAGACGCGTTGAACGATAAATCAATAGCGTTTTGTATACTGTAAATGAGGTTTTTTATAGTGGAAAGGTAAGAAATATAGCCAAATTTTCAAACCTTACGTTCTGACAAAATTGTATTTGATTTGCTAGTTGGTACTACGTGGCGTAAAGGCGAGGACAGGCTTTAGAGGCATACAGTAGACAAGTAGTTTTACTGATCGACGATAAGAGGCAGCGCACGTAAGTTCAGAGAGAGCATTTTTAGTTTTGCGTCTCTTCCGAAAGAGCTTGTAAGCTACTCGTATTAACTCGTCTAAAGAATAGCGTTTTCTCTCGGTCTTTCGATAGCTAAAACATAATGGTAGCAGCCCGCAAGATTCTTATTGTGGTCGGCATCCTCGTGGTCATTGGTGTAGCCATTGGCATTATTGTTGCAGTCACTGGAGGAAGCAACGGTGATAGCGCCAACACCGCTGATGGGACCTCGGCCGATGGTTCTAAATCGAAAAAGCCCGGTACTTCTAAGGTGTCGGAATCCGATCTGTTGACTAGCGCGACGACGAGTGGCAGTGGATTGTCCAGCAATGAGCCAACGAGTGACCCGGAGAAGGCCAAGGCTGCGTTGACTATGCTCGCCATTGGTGATTGGGGCGCGACCACAGACAAGCCTGGATCTTGCTGTAACAAGTACCGTAAGGTTGCCAATGATTCGCTCGAGTACAAGACCGACTATTGGGCCCAGATTAATATTGCTGAAATCCTTGGAAAAGCTGCCGGTGACATTAAAGCGTCGCGCATCATTGGTCATGGTGACAACATCTACTGGAACGGTGCTGGAGTCGATGATATTGATTATCGCATGGAAGCGACATTTGAAAGCGTGTACGACCAATCGGGGCTCGAGGGCATTCCATGGATCAATGTTGTAGGCAACCACGATCTTGGTGGCTCCGAGTACATTTGCGGTGAAAAGGATTACAACTTCCGTGAATGTGAGAGCAGCGAGGAGCTGGTCAAGTACTTGAATCTCAAGTTTTCGCTCCAGCAGAAGTACAAGAGCGCTAACAGCGACCGCTGGAAACTGTCGGACCACTACTACGTCGAAAGCGTCGAGGAAAATGGCGTGTCGGTCGATATCTTTAATATTGACACGAATCTTGCCGACTCACACGGTGTGATGCAGATCTGCTGCCAGTGCTACGGTTACGTGAGAAAGCAAAAGTTGAGTGAGGCCGAGTCCAAGAAGCTTGGTGCCACGTGCAACGACCGTATTCCTGGTGATAAGCTCTGTGCTGGTGGAAGCACTGAGTTGTATAATTCTTGTGCCAACACGATCAAGAAGTGGTGGGATGATTCACTTGAGCAGGTGCAGAAGGACCTAGCGAAGTCCACGGCTACCTGGAAGATCATCAATTCGCACTACTCGCCACACTTCCACATGAGTGAGGATAAGATGAAGGAGTGGTTCATGATCACCAAGGAAGGTGGTGTGCATCTTTGGATGAATGGTCACACGCACGGCTTCAATCATGACATTTCTAATTGGGGTACGCACTTCTGCGAGAATGGTGGCGGCGGTGGAATCCAGTCTGAGACCTCAGGCATGCCTCCTGAGGTTGCCGAGAAGTATGTTGAACACGCGTGGATTGCCGCTGGTAACCCGTACGGCTTCTTCATGCTTCATTTCTCGAAGGACTGGCTCAAGACAGAGTTCGTGACGTTCGACGATAAGTGGACTTTTAGCGTTAAGAAGGAAGAAATTGTCAAGGGCGGCTACCAAAAGGGTCACTGCTGGCACATTCCTGTGACTGTTGGTGCTGGCAAGGAGTGCATTGCGAGCAAGAAACGAGTGTAGACACGCGTATGCACTCCATTGGCTCCGTGGCACAGTTCTGAGCTGTACCGACTCCAAACAATGCTATCGCCGAGCCTGTTTATGGACCGCGCGAAGACAAGTTTCTTCATGGCAAATTCATTCACTTGTATTGAGATTTCGAATCAAAGTTTTTTGATTCAGTGTGCTCTGTTATGTGTTGCACGATGTACTGTTTCGTCATCAGCAGATTTTGTCATGAAACAGCAGCTGTTGCAGCTGATGCAGCTGGGGCGGCCTTCACATCCCTCAGAGAAGATGCATTTTCATTGAAGGCAATGGTGATGTCTCAGTGCAGCCGGCAAGTATGTCCCGCTTGAATACGTGTTACTACACCTTACTAATTTTAAAGCTTCTGCAAATATAAGTATCTGCGAATCTTTTGCTTTGGGGACTGGTCAATGCATGCACTACCTAGCGACGATGTGATTGCTCATTTTTACATGTACAGCTCCTTTTTTTAGTCGAGACGAAGTAGACGACAGCAGACAGAGTCAAATACAGGCTGTGATTCAACGACTTGAATGCTGAAGTTGCATTGCATAGTCGGTTCGACCACATCGTGGCACTTTTGTACTTCAAGTATTCGTGGGCAATGACACTGAACATGTATACGTTGTGCAGCACGCCGAACAAGACCCGGTGCTAGATACATGCGCTTTCAGCGAGTGAAGTTCTAGCTCAAATGGCGAGTCATAGAGCTGTTTACATTTTTTCACAGCACAACTGTGACAGCGTTGACAGACTAAAATTCTAGCTCAAATGGCGGGAGACCAGGTTTTCTGCTGGCGATGTACAGTTTCATCCGTCCGTACCTCGATCGATTTCCTAATATTTTGAAGGACGCGTGGACGTTATCTTACTTCAATCATTTTACCACCCTGCAGCTCGCTCTCAGCGGATTATTGGTGAAAGCTCATCACTGGATGTACTGATAGATGTTGCAATGTTAGTGATGCATGACGTACTAATAAATCAAAAGATGATACGGCTGGATTCAAAAAGCTAAGGAATCCACGACGTGTTCATTCCCAAGGATAAACAGAACTTTACTGTTTCTGCAGGGAGCTGCCAAAGCTCAAGAATCTCTATTCATGTACTACAATACAGTGTGAATGGAAGAAAAGACCGGCTTCTCATGCAGACAGGCCCTGCAGTGTGAGCTTTACATACGTGCATTGGCTTTAATCTTACTTGCATCAAACGGTACAATGTCGGAGCTCGATTGGATGCCGGGTAAAAAGACGGAGACCCTTTTTCTTGTCATCTTCTTCCTGGCTGCAGGTGCTCTTGCGCGGACAAGAGAAGCAATTTGGATGAACCGGGCCGGAGGGAGATGCGCTGGTAATCCTGCCAGATCTCGCTACATCGACGGTTTGTATTGTATCATCCATCCTAGTAAAAAAAACCAGGTCAACTGATCCAGTTGGAGATGCTCATCACTTTGCTCACTTCAGCTTTTGCTTTATCACGATCAAGAGCCTTCTCTTCTCCTCTCTCCTGCCAAAATGGACGCCTTCCTTCACAAGATTGCAAGCAGCATGCTCTTCACTTCGACCAAGTTGACACCAGCCGAAGAGATCAAGCAACAGAAGCCCGTCCTGCTCGCCTCGGGAAGTTCACGCTTGCCCCCATTGCACCATAGCACACAGCGCAGCATGCAGCCAGAGTTGCCCCATGACTTGTCACGCCGCCGCATTGCTCACTGGGACAACAAGCGGGAGAAGTGTGCCAACTGCAAGCACATCTATCTCAAGACACTGAGTCGACACGTGGGCTTTTGCTCGGTGGACTGCAAATCAAACATGGTGTACCTGGAAAAGGTCAACCGGACCATTCACGCCATGAAGGACGCGGTGCAGGAGCAACGTCGACAGAAGGAGACCCAAGAGAAAGAGCGGCAACAACAAGAACTAGTGCAACAATCCGAGTGCCAGAAGTGTGATGATGACGAATTGGACGTCATGGAGACGGAATGCAAGACCTATGCTGAGTTTGGTCTCGAGTCACGTATTCTTGAAGCCAGCAAAGTTGAGTGGGCGTTCAGTGCTATGTATTAACTCGCGATAGAATCGATGTAGACTATAAAACAGAACCTATGTAAGAAATAAAATGTCTTATACAACACAGCTTATCACACTCAGAATGCGCTTGATATCTTCTTGTAGAATGTATCACACTAAGTTCTGGACGACTAGGAGGACCAAAACAATGACAACAGGCAGTAGATAGTACATGTACTTGGAATACTCCGATTCTTTCCCGCAGAAAGTAAGATCCATGGGAGAGCCGAGTTGGCCGCCAATCTCCATCGCAGCCCATGAAGTGCCATCGTTGGTCGCGTCATTTCCAAGAATCTCAAGTGCATTTTTCACGGCTTGCACAGCATCTTCGTCAGGGAAAACATGAACCGTTCCGAAAAAATGCCGGCTCAATACGGTGGCGGAGCGCCATTGTACTAGGCCTCGTTGAGCAAGGCGAATTACTCCACCTTCTTGAAACACTGCATTCGGCTCGACTGCGCGTACCATAGATCAGAAGATCAGTAACATCCAGGTTTTCTGAGGTAGTTCAGTCAAAAGCTTACCTTCGTCGTCCTCGGCCCACCTCTCGCGTGCTAACGAAAGTCGCACTAGCAATGACTTCATGAAGTCGCGTTTCAAGTATGTTGCCGCCACCTCGTTCGCTTTAGGTTCACTTTCAGAGACAAATGCAACACAGCTGATACCACCACGGATGCCACCAAGCGGCTATTGACAAACAGATATGAGTACCAAACCAAGGTAGACGAATTTCCTTACATACTCACAGCTTTGACAAACGTCTTCTCCTTCGGGGGTGTCAGTGTCAGCAAGTTCATGTGCTGAACTTCTGTGTCGCCCGTCGGCTTGAGAACAGCAATAGAATCTTGCACCCGGCGAAATAACGGCTTTAACTGGTTTTCCACTTCGTTCATGCGCTTTTCAGCCACCTCCGTCGCTGAAATAGTTCCACGTGGTGAAACACTCACAAATGAAGTGGGCTCATCCAGATCGATTAGTGTACGATACTGCTTGAATTGAATATCTGTTTGTGGACTTTTGAGTTCCGCCGACAACATCTGCATCTTGTTGACATCGGTCACGTCGTAGAAGCTCTGAAATGCAATATCGCTATTTGAGGACACGAATGCCAAGTAGTGAACATTAGCTTCTTCGACAATCACATTGGAGGGCAACGTCACAGCCTCTGCAACAGCACGGAGGAAGGGCACAATTTGTGTTGAAACGTTCAGAGTCGAAACCACGTAGAGTCCTAGGACGGTGATACCCCCGGGTAGCAGGTGGTCTACTTGTTGAGCAACTTCTTGCACCCAGTCGACCGACACGTCGTCAAGTCCTGTAGGGGTGTCGTTGCTCTCATTCTCGGATGGAATTGGCACCACTGCTAGTACGAAATCTCCGACATTCGAGAAGCTCACTTGACCCACCAGTAGACCCAATCCGAAGGCAGACTTTACGTTGCAAGACAAGAATGCAGCCACTTGGTCATCGACAATGACTTGGCGGGGTCTACTCATGATATGTGCGTAAGAATTACAATCTGTTTGGTTAGCACGATTGGTTGAAACGAGCTTTGAGAACAAAAAAACTTTAGAAACAATGTTGTTGAGTACGCAGCTGCAGTGTTTGTCACGTCTACTATGATGAGTGGAGTTACAGTTCATACGGCATTAATCTGCAACGTTTACAAAGACTACGAGTTTGGTCACGTGGCTTTTTCACCTGAAGCATTACACTTTAAGCTTTGGATGAATGCAAAGCGGCACCGCAGCAAAAGCACGCACTGAGTTATTGCAATTTCATGAATTGGATCGGGTTAACCTCAGGAGAGTTTGTGTGAAGACCGCCTTGCTCGGCGTGAAAAAAGGCTTGTCTCCATTAACACCGGCGTCGTCGCGGCAAACAAGGCAGCCCTGACCAAATATCCGATGTCACCGCTGCTCAGATCTGTTTAGATCCGGCGACACGTACCCGTCGCCGTCGACGTGATGATCGCCTTAGTGCAACCTTGACGCTACGCTTGTCTGTGCTCTGCCCTGAGCAGTGGTGTGGACGTCTAGCTCGTGAGCGTGCAGATGATCCGTTGTGCTGCTCCGGAGAATTTGGCGGTACTACTTTTTCATCTATCAACTCATTTCCCCCCACCTGGATGGTGTCGAAAGAGCAAGTGGGTTTTACCACGACACCGTCATCGTTCAAAGCAAGTCCGTGAGATTGAGCGTCGATCTCCCGAACTCGACCACGCCATATTTCGATATGGACGCTTCCCAACAGCAATATCGAGTGACCCACGAGCTCCTAAATGCGCTTAAACGCGTGCCATCGTTCACCACTAGGAAGCCAACTTCGCGACACTAGCAGTGGCAACCAATCAAGCAGGGTGCTTCCTGTCGCGACCAACAAGGCACGGTGTCCGTATACAATCTAGAATGAGTGCACTGCCATTGATGTGTAGGACTGACGCAAGCAAGCAAACGAAACTGAAACCGAAACCGGATACGGCAAGACCGTTTGGCCTCCTGTCTGTCTAGTGTGGAAGGAAGAGCGCTGGGTGGTTTACAGGACCTTATCAATGCTCACGCACACTTCACCGATTGCCAGCATGGCAACCGCTCTACACCATTACGTCCTGGGAAGTCCAAGGTACCAGGCCTATCACCTCAATGAGTTAGTTGTCTGCATACGTGGTACCATAAGCATTTGCCGCTGTGGGCGATTATAAGAAATACGCAAACTGAGTACGGTCAACCTCCCGCGGTTTTGAGACCTGATTCATTGCCCTACGTGCGCTTGACATGACTTACACCTTATGTGGGTGTACTAAGCTAATACAAGGGGTACCATCGTGCGATTACAATACTAATGAGACAACGAGTTTCTTATTGAGTGCATTGCGCGAATGCTTGCAATCGAAATGATGGAGCAAGTTCTAGACGAGACGAGGCTATCGCTGGTCTGCACCGTATCGAAGCGAGTTTACTGTACAACACTTCCTGAGGTTGTCCACATGCTGTCAAAAATCGTCAGAACAGTTGACTACATATACTACGTTGACTACGTATAAATTGCTTCGAGAATGTTACAGTGCCAGATTGCTTGATGTCTACTTCTGGATCCCTACATTCGATACCCAAGAGAACCAAAGATACTGTATAAGCAGAAATTGAGTTAATGCTCAAGAGCACACACCAGAATGTTTCACGTCAACCTCTTCGACGAAGCTAGATGAAGACGCGCTAACGAGTTCACTTACTATCTGGGTGCCATAACCACTGTAGGGAGATCCATGAACCAGTCCAAAACCCTAAATGCAGGAAGTTCTTTCGATCGCGAAGTCGAGAATGCACGCGTGGATACCTTCATGGATACATTCTTGCTTTCATGCATTTAACATGCTAACTCAGTACTACGCCTTTTTGCAAGGCCGCTGGAACAAGCATGACCTTCTCTTTTTCTAGTCTCTCTTCGAAGTGGATGACAGAGAGGATAATCGAATGATTTACGATAGACTTTGTTAGCATCTTCGAAAGAATTGGTTGCCAAAGATTGAGTATAGTACTAATTGGTTTAGAGGGTGGTTTTCGTGGAAGCCTTGCTATGCTTAGTAGTCACGAAACAAGATGACACTAATAGGTCGTAGACCGACCGTTCAGCTGAAGTCCCCATTGAGTGTGAGCAGCTCAGCCGGCTCTCGGGAAGAAGGCCCACACCAAACAGGAGGGACCTTGCTAATCAAGTTGCATCTCCTGCCTCGGCTTTATAGGCAACGGCGGAAACAAGAGACGCGAAAATTGCAACGGAGGCTTGTTTTGGCACTTCGGTTCGCCATGTCTGCAGACTTGGCTTCATTGTTGACGGCGGAGCAACAGACTCGCACGGTGCAACGGAGACTTGCCGCCCCGCAGGTTCGTCTGCAGCCTTGGCTTGATAGGCCACGGTTGCAAGTTGTAACGTAGCCTTGTGGTCCGTCTGCCGACTTGGCTTCTTATGCGCTGGAGCCCCTCTCTTGTCTCGCTGAACACCAATATTTCGATTGTCGAGTCGCCCCGCCAGAAGGCTCCGTTCTCGCTTTCTTACATTACCGCGCGATCGGCTTGTACGACTGGTTGCAACAGCTTCATAACGCTGACAAAGCAGTGAGACGAGCTGGTCAGGTGCGATTGGACGTTACCTCGCCTTGCCTTCGTCTTTTTCGCGCACCTCTTTGACCCGATGATCAAGGACCACACACTTGCACGCAAATTTTTGATAGCTGGACGAGCGTAAAACAAGTGCGGCCTCCTTGTCGATCTGCTTAAGCGACGAGAGATCAGAGCTCTCGACGACCAGAAAGCGGACGCAGCTACACTTAGGAATTCGTGTTAAGTGCCAAAGCCACCTGGGGTCAAGTGTCGCTACTTTTTCTCATGGCTTTGTTGCACTTGCAGTCTGCACTCTGGCATTCTAAACTGCATGTACATACATGAACAGTACCCCATTCGTTACACGCATCTTTCGCCACGTCGACGCTGTTTCGTCCAGCAGCTCTAAAGTTATAGACAAAGTGTACAGCTTCCACATGGTAAAACTAAAACAGTTCTGCGCCCAGCTTATGAGAGAAAGTATTGACGGGAGTGCATATACACTGCGTTTTCACGTCTGATCGCGTCACCAGTGCGACGCGAAAGCATTGCTCACGACAAGCATTATGTTTCGAATTTTCAACTACTCACCACTTTCATATGTGTTTCGTTTGCGGAACAGCCGAACGACACGACCATAGGATTTGATGTGGCAATTTCCAGCTTTGGATGTCAGTGAACTCTATTAAAAAAATGCCGTTTAAGGTTTGTACTATTCTACATCTCACATTGAATTCTCTATCGTGAGGCTTTACTTTACAATAGGCGGTCGCGGCGTATTAGTACACTGCGCTGAACGACCAATTGACATTGCTAGCGTCTAATACTCGAGACTCGACGTCAAACTCAGCAAACGACTGCGCGTGCTTCAAGCTGTGCGAAGCGTCGGATTTGGAAACGTCGTCTTGAGAAGAGGCTTGGCCGGACTGCAGCTTAGACTGCTGGTCAACCTGCGGCTCTTGCTGCACCTTCAATTCTTCAACCAACGCTTGCTCTTGTGTAGATCGACGCTCATCCACTGCCTCCTTCATGGCGCGGATGGTGCGGTTGACCTTTTCCAGGTAGATCATGTTAGACTTGCAGTCTACCGAGCAGAAGCCCACGTGCCGACTAAGTGTCTTGAGGTAGATGTGCTCGCAGTTACTGCACTTCTCGCGCATGTTGTCCCAGTGAGCGACACGGCGATGCGTGGAGGCAATCACTTTCTCAGATGAGGTGGGTGTGACCGATGCGGAGCCCATGCTCGTCTCGAACTTCTGCAGGCACGCGTCCATTGTGGTGATTGTTAAAAGATATGGGTGATATGGGAGACACAAGGCAAATCCAAAAGTGAGGTGAGCGGGGGACAGCTTGGGGACAGTTGGGGCGAATGTACTCCCTGTGCACCAGTCCTTACTCACTCACTTCCTGGCTACAAGCATGGGACACGGCTGTCATAACACCGCGAGTTGGATAGTCATAAAATGCGAGCCGGACGTGAGCTGGAGCCAGACCAGAGGTGCTCGGTCTTCGTTGTCTTTTGTCTAAAAACTCCATGAGAGTCGGTGCAGCGTTCAAGCCAAACGCAAAGTTCTTAGTGGCTCTTTCATGAGATGATGTAGGTGTTGCAACGGGTGGGGGGGGAGGGTCATTTAGTCTACCTAATCAGTTATCAACGTGAAAAAACGGATCAAGTTTGGAAGAGATTTTGAAAGGCTAATTCGCGTCTTGGAGTGAATCAAGGAAGCTGATCGAGGTTTTCCTAGTAAGCTTTGCAGTCCATGCACCGGCTCTGAACTTGTGCAGGAAGACTCTCCCCCGTCGTTGTGGCGATGCTGAAAGATAACTTTGTAAGGACAACAATCGCAGAACACGCGAGCATAGACCTTAGTGAAGCCACTTCAGCGTGTGTGAAGCATCGGCTTCGTCAATCCAAATCATTTCCGCAGCTGCAGCTGGCAGGCAATAGATTTGCCGCTAAGTGTTGGTATCAGTGCATGTAACAAGAAAACAGGAGATCAGGGGCTGGACCAGGGCGATGCCGTCTTCTCGCTGTCCTCGCTCACGGTTTTCTTCGCACAATTGTATCAGGTACCAGCCCTAGTTCCTGCCTGTTCAAGATTTAAGGGAAAAGTACCGCTGTCGTCAATTTGCATGCTCACGAACGCTTTCGGATTCTCTCTCGTGTACACAGCAAAAGGCAGTGGAGATCATTGCTCGATGCGAGTTATCAGATATGTACGGCACTTCCTGATTGCCTGCTGGTGCGCTCTGACGATCAATCACACATCAGATCGGACGGCGCTTACAATTGAAGTTGCATGCTGCCTGATCCGTGCGTGCAGCTGGGTTTTGCCGTATATGGTAGCCATCATTCCTATATGTGACGTATTGTTGTACCGCAGTGCCGCACTAAATTGAATGCTCAATGGAAGCAGCTACATGTATTCCACGACGTATTCTCCAGCCACGTATATGGCTTATGCCACGACCATCTCTCATAGATAAGAATAATCTATTCAAATGCAGGCGATTCTCAATGCTAAAGTGCAATGGCACATAGTCGTATGTTGATAGAAGTACTGGAATTAATTTATGACATGCCGCGTAGTCTAATCCTCCTTGGACATGAACAGCTGATCAGTTGATCAGCTGAAACAGATCCTTAAGGATTGCACCTCCCGATGAGATTCACTGTGCCGTTAGAGCTGGCAACGCTTTGCCCTCGGTGAATCCTCGTAAAAGTGTCTCGACCTTCTCATCCCGCTTGAGGCTTGTAGCAAAATTTTGCCGCTTTTCCAAGCAGCGATGCTTGCACATTCTGCTTCTCGGCGTGTCGTTAGTGATTTATTGCACAATGAGCATGGCATCATTACAGGCGTGAGTAAGTTTGTGAATAGCTTAAACCTGTGACGTGGGGGCACGTTTAGATATGGCATCCTTTGACATGAGCGACGCGATATAACGTTTTGTCCACTACTGCTACGGGTGTATGAGATATATATTAACAGAATGATGCTCAACATTTTCTACCGCTCACCCGGCGGAAGCTCCCAATGGCGCTCCAACTCTACGTTGGTACTATACTTCTACTTGCTCTAGCAGTGTCTCAACTTCCATTCTCTTCGCTATGCGCACGTTGACGACTTCCTCGATTTAGGCCGAAAAGATTACGCTTTGATGTCTTCTGCGTATACGTTCCACTAGCAGTTCGAGTCCTTTTCGAACTGCCCGAATCTCTTTCTTCAAAAGACAGATGAACAGGAGTCACTTCATGCTCGTTGTTATCTTCAGCGATAGTAGAAGTTACGGGCGTCGCCAATAGATCTAGCACTGGCGGATCGTTGCCATATAAAGCTCTTCGATGCGGGGTTCCATGCAGATGGACTTCCTCGTTATTGTGGTCATGGATATCCGTCTCACTAGTTGTATCGTCATCTGATCTAGGTGGGCCATGGTGAACCAAACTGGATGCCCATTGGCACTTGTAAAACTTGGGGTGCCACTGGAAAAAGTAGCTCTCCCACAGATGAATCATTTTACAGCTCACCCAGGGCCAGATGGGTCCGTTATACAGCTCGTAGTTGCTGTTTGAGTACAGAGACGGCGTCATCAGCACCGGTGTCCATACTGACACCGTATTATACTTCACTTCATTCACTTCTCGCTGAAGCCGCGAGTCGTACAGGAATGTTCCATAAAGTCCCGAGGTCATCGCGTTCGCCAAGTGCAATAAAAAGCGCTCGTTAAACTCGAATGAACGAGGATATTGACGTTGCATCTGCCACACGGCGTCGATAAACTGAAACATGACGGGCGACGATTTGTTCCGCTGTGGGTCGCGATTACGGTCTCCTCCAGTTCTCTCACTGAATTTATGGCCAAATGCACACCAATCCTTCTCAATCAGGCACATGATGCCTTGAATAGTTCGGTAATAGGGATCAATCATCAGCTGCGCTAGAGCACACAATTGGGGTGTTCGGTCCCAACCATCACTGCAATGCACAAGCGCAGATGCTCCTTCTAGTTCCAACACGCGCGCAATCTTTAATGCGCCATCTAGAACCAAACGCACATGATCCAGCCACCTTGTGGACTCCACACTGGATAGCCATGTACGATCGCTGTCCTCGAAACCACCAGGAAGAAACAGCTTCATAAGTCCCATCAACGACGACTGCATTCGATACATATTGGAAATATTCAGGTGGTGGATAACAGCACCTGGGTAATCTTGAGGAGTTTCGACACCTCCTTTACCCATGAGTCGATTTCCTGTTGAGGCCTTTGGCTTTCGAGCATCAAATATATAGATCGGCCGAGACGATGTCGATGACTGCGATTGGTTTTTGATTATATCCGGAAGACGGCGATAAACTCCCAAAAGCAGCTGATCGGAGACATTTGAGGTTCCAGACAGCAAACTGCCGAGAAGGGGCTGGCTAGAGCGAGTCAGAACACACCTGTTCCGGCGATGGTAGTACGTAATCACAGGCAGTCGGTTCTTCGCACGAAAATTAGCTACGTTAGCCAACATCGCGGAAGTCATGGAGGATGGAAGGAGTAATTTGGATGGATACGACTTGCAAATGTTGCCTCTGTCGTTCTTGTAATACTAAAAAGCGATACGACATCACAACAAGCCATTTCAGTAACTTCATGAATTAGTCTCAACAGCAGCAAGATGAAAACAAGATTTACCTTAAGAAACGGTGAAACAGCGGGATCACCACCAATTTGTCGCTTGAACTCTCGCTCGTCAACAAATACATTCCAACCATTCTGATCGGTAGGGATATTGCCAATAGAGTACGAAAAGGCAAATGAGCCGCTAACCTCAAGGGGAAGCGACAACATCCGATCAGGACGAAGCACCGGTGATGCAGTGTGGGCTGGGTTCCGTAACCCACCAGGTGATGTATAGAAGGCGGGCTCTCTGTTGACATGTAACGTCGCTTCAACATCAGCACCTCGTTCTGGTGGTGTATCGCCACCGTCAGTGATGCTTGGTAAAGAACTGAACCAGGGAGATGCAGTCTTTGTGGGACCATCCCGCTCAACAATTGAATATCGCTGAGAACCGTCCGCTAGTTCTGCGATCGTCGTGCGTAGTTTATGTGCATTGTCATCCGATGTGGAGGAGGGAGTGTCTAGTTGGAATCGCATCACACGGATGTCCTTGCAAGTGATCGAGATGATAGACGCAGAGCCGGCCATCCCTGCGTAGTTTGTGCGGCCAGCTTTCGTCCGGCGACCACCAGGATACAAAATCTGGACCTGCGTGATTGCAAACAGCGGGATATACGCGATGCCACCTTGTCCCCCACATCGCGACTCGGCCTGCACACAATCGAATGGTAGAAAAATCACGCGATAATTCGTTACTGCTACCTTACCGCGCAAACGTCCCCAAACGAGGGTGGACTCATACGTTTCGCTAACAGGGCCGATCAGCAAGGTCGCTTGAAGCTCGGTGTCTTTTACTACTTTCTCTCCAGGCAAGAGTGGCACACACATCGACTGCGGGATTGGACAATCGATTCCATTGCTACCACCAGTGTCATGTGTAAGTAACAAGTCGGACTCAATCGACGTTAATGAATTTCTTGATAAGGTAGTGGTCGGTTCTTCAAGCGTTGGCAAACGCAAATTATCTGGAATAGATGATTTTGGAAGCTCTGTCCGCGCAGGGATTGACATGGCAGCCCGCAAGGCAAATTCACGCATTCGATCTAAATTGGTGGACCGACACCTATTCATTGCTTGTTTGAACTGCTCTCTTTCATCATCATTCGCAAATTTTAGCTCGAGGGATTGGTTCCCTTGGCCACCATTAGATACGATTAGGCGAGCCATCCCTTCCGACGACCCAAAAACAAAAGATTCGACGGAGTCACAATGGAATGACCAAAAGCGGTGCATGAACACTGATTTTGCTCGTACAATCCGTTGGCGGCAGTCAAGCTCCAAAGTATACCTGTCCAGCACTGGATTTGCTTTAGAAAAGCCAAATGTGCGGCGTAAACTCGTGCCTTCTTTCTCACCCATTTCGTAAACAGCGAAGCGCAATACTGCTGCAGCAAGCTTCACTTCAGTTTTCATCTTCACTATCGCTGAGTCAGGCTGAGCACGTGCATCCACAATGTCGCTGTCGTCAAAGGCCTTTTTTGGCCGTATGCTATTAGAACGAACACTCCCATTGCTGGTAACCTCGACAGCACGAAGTCCTATTTCATTCGGGCTAGATGTATTACAGCGCCTCATACCCGGAGAATCATACAATGAGTTTGGAGATGGACCCGAGTGCAGATTCGCAAAATCAAAGCTAGCCGATCGCGAAAACTTGGAGCGTCGATCTTTTCTTTGCAGAAGAGCTGAATCGTCGCTTTCAGAACAAATACCGCTTCGAGCCACCAAAGCGTTCAAAGTCGACTTACAAGTCGAAACTTCGGCGTGTATCCGAATCCTTTTCGTACCCTCTTCTTGCTGTACACTAGGTCTGTCATCAACTTCCTCGTTCATGTGTTTACTCTTGGATGGCGATTCAACGCTACTCGTTTGTACGGATTGTAGATCCGGACTGTTGCTTTCAACGTCACTCTCGCTTTCGTCTCTTGCTTTCTTTTTTCGCGGTAATCGATCATTCACGTGGATCGCGCGTAGATGGCCACTAAACCAAGGCTTCCTCTTACTCATCAATGGTGATGGCGCAGAAGACATTGACGAGCGCCTACGACGTCGCCTCGCCGACTTTGAGGAACTTGAGGTAACGTAGCTTTCATCATTTTCTCCATTTCCATTCGCAGCATCATCATTGGAGCTATTAGGAATGGGCTCAACGGATGAAGTAGACAAGCGAGTACGCCTCAGCAACGACAGTGTTCCGTCGCTTCTGTTTGACACTGGTGCTGTGCTACTACTGAAGCTGGACAAAACTTGCTGTTTTCCTTCAAAAGTAATGTCTCCCTGGTTGCCACGACAAACCACATCATCCCCTTTATCGTGGCTTATGGTCAGCTCCATTGCATCAAAGTAGCAGTCCATTGCTTTCTGGAACCAACGCGCACATAAATCACATGCACGTACCGATTCATCACGATACCCAAAACAAGTCGGCAATACCAAGTGTTTCGACGAGCACTTAGGACAGAATGCAAATCCACAGGCCGCACAATTTTTACTGCGATGGAACGGATGAAATGATTTCCCACACCCGCTGCAAGATGAATTACATCGTACACGTGCACGTGGCACGGGTAAACCTGGTGCTCCAGTGCTCGTAAAAACACTTTCTGACCGCGACTTGAGCGGCAGAGTCATCCCATTTGAAGATAATGAAGACTGTTCGTTGTCATTAACATGGTCCTGTCGCTGCCGGTCCATTTGCTGTCTCACCTTCAGCAACTTCTTAAGTCGAAGATCATTCACGACACGTATGGCCGTTAGTAACGCCATTGCTGCAGCCTCCAGATCCTCCTCGTCCAATGGTTTCTCAATACTCTCTTCGTCTTCTTCCTCTTCCTCTTCTTCTGCATCGTCATCATCGTCCTCCTCAGTGACAGAATGGATCATCACACGTAAAGGTGCCATTTCTACTGTTGTTTCCGTACTGAATCGTCTCTCAAGCTCTTGAAACTCTTCTTGTGTCTCTTCCACTTCCTCGTCTTCTTCTTCTTCTTCTTCACGTCGTCTCGTTCTCACGCCATTTACGGAACTTTCTACCATCGAGGACGAGAAAGCACGTACAAGCAGTGAAGCCATACGCTTTGGGTCGCGTAGAACCGCTAATCGCACGGCCTCGTCGTCCATGGACTTGGCAGACGATAGCATCGTCACTGCTTCACGCTCGTCAAACCTGTTTTTGAGGCAAAAGAGTGGTTTGATTAAGAATGGTGTATGATTCGTGTACAACGGAGTGATTGTCAGACGTGGCAAGTTCAACTTGATAATGCAATTACTTTGTTTTTTTATATTAAAAAACAGAGGGCTACTAAATATATGTAGAGAACTCCATCTTTTACGTGACATGTATCCATCTCTAGAACTACTTCATCCCATTGATATTGCACCCTATAAAAATCACTCGTGCTGCTCATCCATCCAAATTACTTACTTGGTCTCCATTTGTATGCGCTTACGTGTTGGGAGACCATGATGCAGGCATGGCTTCGACCATCTGGTGAGTAATGAATGTCATTGTCTCAAGCTTTTTGTTCTCAGCCGTATTGTAGTATAGAAGAACTGGTCCAGACAGTCGTAGTGTGTATCGCGCTTTTGGTCTCTCTTTCAGCCTTTGTATGTAGCCGCCACCAACATTGGCGTCGTGAGGCAGAAGTAGTTTTGCACAGTATTGGAAACCATATCGACCGTTTTAGTATGCATTATAAACAATGTGAGATATCATAGCGATAGCAACTGCGCGTACAAAAGTGGTGCTTGCCACTCTGTCATCAATTCTTGCACTATTCAAGCAGCGAGAATGATCATAAAACTTCGTAACGCTATCCCAGCCACACTTTGTTCAAAGGTCATCATTCCTCTACTAAATTTAACTCACCGTGCTATCGTTTGCTGTCGCGAGCTACACACCTCATATCGACGCTTTTCGCTGGACCGTGATATACTGACGAATTTACGACAACGCTTATAGGGTGAACAGGACTAGTTGCGACGGACTCAAGCAAAGAGTCTGTTTAAACTCTTAATGGCAGAGTTGATGTCGATCCAATAGGTATGAAAATTGTGTAGATGCGATATCAAATCCTACAATTCTTCATGCCATACTTACTTCTTGGCCAGGGACTCCCGCACAGCTTGCTCCTGCATAGCACTAGCTCCGCGCTCCTGAAACTGCTCCAAAGTGTTGTTCATGGCGTCAAAAGCTGCCTCAACTGCTGTCTCATTGTCACCCTCAAGCGCCTTGATAAAGGCAGCTGCCTGCGGCGGACAGATAATGCGGCCCATGCAGAGCTGAAGAGCCATAGCAGCTTGTGAGCACTGCACTTCATTGCTGCAAGTCCTGACCTCCTGCATGCAGCTCTTACACGAGTCTTTAACTTTAGTAAACGTCTGCTCCACCTCGTCCACCGACAATTGTTCCAGAGCATCTTTTTTCTCCTGAGTACCTTCCACTAATGTAGATCGGGCAGCAATATCGGGGCCTTTGAACCCGTTAAGGAAGCCTGCAATTGGGAATCTGATCCTGTCCACAAGGGCACCTACCGAGTCCACAGCAGGACGAGCATACATGGAGATACTCTTGACTTTGTCGGCTGAGTGCAGCTCAGGAATTGTATCCTGTTCGGATTTCTCGTCATCGAAATAGTAATCGATCACATAGCGCACCTGTGTGTTGTCACTACGCAGCACAGTCCAGTCGTGACGGTCAAACGGTGTCCCATATCCAAGCATACTCTTGATCCACGCAATAGGCGTGAGCTTATCCGGACGACCACAGAACTTGAGCAACTTGGAATCCTTTAGATATGGATGGCATACTTTTTCATAGTGCTCCACCTGAGCCCAGGCACGTTCGTTCATGTTATTATGAATCGACACAATAGCTCGTACGTCACCCTCATGTACATCTTCATCCTTTTTCTTACGCTTGAGTGCATTGAAGAACATTTGTTCGGACGGGTAGAGCCACGTGCCTTCTGTGCCACCCTTTGGGATCGTTGACTGTACACGATCTTGAGGCAGCGGATAGCGTTGTTCCGTGTTGGGTTCTTGGTTTGGATCGTGCGGCATCATGTTAGTTGGGTCAATACGTTGGCCATACACGTTATAGATCTCTTGGTCCTCCTTGCCATTTGTTGTGACAGGGCAGCCACTGGCCATGGCGTGGACGACCGACGGCGTTTTGTCGTGTTGTACAGGACAGCCATTACTCTTCTTCTTCTGTATAGGTGTTTCATCTGATACTACCTTCTCAGCGTCATTCTGCACTGGGCATCCGTCTCGCTGGCTAGCAGAAGAGTCAGTGGTGGGTACACTCACTTGGTTGCCCATGTGTCCAATTCGACTTGCCAAGTGAGACCAAAGCTTGGATCAAACATGAAAAAAGTGTTTTGTTACAGCCGAACTTAAGATCGTTGACCGTACTTAGATTCTTAGCATACAATTACCAAGATGCGGGAACGTAAACTTCTGCTCGTCTGCTGCATAGCTTGGCAAATGTTTTCTAGCGGTGGTTTGGTTGGCTAGTGAAGGCCCTAAAAATGACCAGCTTTAGAGTCATGTCAATTGCATTGTCCTTATTGTCTTGTGAGGTACGAAAGTGGCGATATGTTGGTCGTAGGGTGTGAATTGAATCGTCCAGACTAATATCTATGTGCGTATGTCTACCAATTATACAGATTCTCCATTATGAAGCTTAACATTGCCAACCCTTTGACGGGTGCCCAGAAGGTGCTCGAAGTTGATGACGAGCACAAGCTCCGTGCGTTCTACGACAAGCGCATCTCACAGGAAGTTGAGGGTGCCGTGCTTGGTGACGAGTTCAAGGGCTTTGTCTTTCGTGTGTCAGGTGGTAACGACAAGCAGGGGTTTCCTATGAAGCAGGGTGTCCTGTCCAATGGTCGTGCCCGTCTTTTGCTTTCCAAGGGCAAAACATGCTACCGTCCTCGTCGTAAAGGTGAGCGCAAGCGCAAGTCGGTGCGCGGCTGCATCGTCGGCCCGGACCTTTCAGTGCTCAACTTGGTGGTCGTCAAGGCCGGTGACGCTGATGTCCCTGGTTTGACCGACGTGCAGATCCCGCGTCGTCTTGGCCCCAAGCGTGCCTCGAATATTCGCAAGCTGTTCAACTTGACCAAGGAGGACGACGTGCGTAAATTTGTGATCCGTCGCAAGTTTGAGTCCAAGACGGGCAAGAAGAACGACAAGGCACCGAAGATCCAACGTCTTGTGACCCCGCGTACGCTTCACCACAAGCGTCAAATCGCCCTTAAGAAGGTGAACCAGCGTGAAAAGGTGCAGCGCGATGCGGCCGAGTACAACCGTCTTCACGCGCAGGTGCGTCCCTTTCCAGTGTTTATTTGATTGGTAATGGCTACAAGACTAACTTTTGTAATGCGTGGATGTGTGGATCTCTCCTGCTCCTTTTTCGCCTTATGGCACTGCAGCGCGTTAAGGAGCAGAAAGACCGTCGTGCTAGCGAGATCGCCAAGCGTCGTAGCAGCCGCAAGGTCTCGTCGGTCAAGGCGTAAGCTGCAGTAACACGCTAGCGACTTGGAGACTGAAGGCTTAGCCGAATCAGTAAACTGATGAACGGTCGAAAGGCTACAGTCTCTACTTGTTCCCTACATCAATGTAAGACGCTTATCGTCTTGACGGAAAGTGGGTTTGAATAACAAACAGGACAAAAGACAATACAAAAATAAGCCTCATTTCGGCAACCAAACGAGTATTTCGGTCATACGATCGATTTTTATCATGATTTTATCGTATTTAAAAATAAAAAAACTAACGGCTGGGCTGTAATATTTGATACTAAAGCTCTGTTTTTTTGTCTCTGTATACATTGATCGAGATGGAGACTTTATGCTGAGCTGATGTTTGGACGAATCGTTATATTCCCATGTTTTTGTTATCACCGTCCTCCACGTACATGATGGCCAGGACCTCCGTGCATCATGCCAACGGAGCCATATCGCTCCATGGGAATGCCACCTTGTCCTCCCATCATGGGGCGATTATTATTGTTATAAATAAACTCAGAACCGTTAGCCGATGCTGGTTGAACATGCGCGTAGTGGCAGTTTCCACCATGCTTACAACCAAGTGGCGAACCAAAAAACCTGCACGGCTGCATGCCCCGGTTCTTCTTTGTTAACCGCTTGGGTGGCTGCGATGCGTCTTGCATAAGCACACCCATGGCATCTGCTTTCCGCTTTCCAGGTATAAAGGGCCCACCAGGCGGACCTTGCTGAGGCGGGTACTGTTGCGGCTGATACTGATGGCCATAACCAGCATTAGGGCCCATATTGCCAAAGTGCTGCTGCTGCTGCTGTTGTTGACTACCATAAGGACTATACGCAGGTTGCTGACCACCAGCATTAGGTGGCGCGTGATAGCGTCCACGACGATACTGATCCACAATTTCAAACACACGCGCATCTGAAATACGATTGCCATTGCGCTGCGCCTCCTCAAGTACCTGCGGTACCACATCCGGACTGTCTAGCAAAAGTGAGACCGTGTTCTCTTGCAACGGACCCAAAGCCTCACGTAGCTCACGGTCTGACTCATGATCTTCACGACCATTGTACTCACTACGATTGTTGAAACCCCCTCGTTGATCATAACCTGATGATGCCTGGACGTACCCTCCAGAAGAATATCCCTCTCGAGAATAGATAGCGGATGATGAGGTTGGCGGAGCAGCCATCAAAGGAGCAGACCCCGTTGGAGGCTGGTTGCTAGGATCGGTTTCGACCACGTCACTCAACGGGATCTCTAGTGGTGGTCCGCGGTGAGGTTCATTACCGCGTTCCCACTCCTTAGGACTTGGAATAGACATCTCACCCGCGAGAACTTCATACTCGTCCACATGGCGACGACGACTATCTTGGACGTGCATCTCATCGGTGACAGTCTTGCCGTCCACACGTCCTGCCATTTCTTCCGGCAGTCGAAGGAACGGTGGCGTCGTCCATTCGCGCGACTGAGAAGCTACCACAGCAGGGGGCACCTTGTGATGCTGTGCGAGCAGCGCATGCCGTTCGTTGGCGTGCTCACGAAGCTTGGCATCTTTGAAGGACTGGTCATCGTGACGCGGGTCGTATGGCACAAGGTCTCGCCAAGACTCGATAAGTTTTACCTTAATAAGCTCCTCACCGCTTTCATCAGCCCATCGAATGCGCTTGCATTCTTTTGCCGCACCACCTGTGGATGAAGCCGCTTTGAAACTTTGAATTGTCGGAAGGGGCATGGACAGCGCGTCATCGGCGCTATTCGAGTCCTCACTTGCACTGCTAGAATTGTTTACTTTTGTTTCCTCCTTCACAATGTTTTCCGATTTGCTGCTAGTGGCATTCATGCTACTAGTCTTCTTTTTTCCACTTCAGCTGCAGCAGTAGCGGCATCCTTTGCCGACTTGCGCTGCATTAAATTTCCAATCAAGTCACTAGACTTTGATACTGCACTGCCGCCACCAAAAGGAAGCCGTTCTAACCGCTTAATTGTACGCTTCTTCATGACCTTTGGCTGCTTTGTCGGTACTGACTTGCTAGCGCTAGAGTTCGCTGTCATCGAAGGTACTTGCTTTGCGGAAGGAGTCGTTAATGAGGACGCTTTGCTTGCGCTGGTCTTTTCCTTTGCTACCGACTGCAGCGCCGAGGACTTTTCTTTTTCAGTAAACTTGCCACGCCAAAACTTGAGAAGATCCTGGGCAGCACGCTTGACGCGTTCTTCGCGAGCATTCTTGCGCAACTTGACAATAGGTTCATTGATTCGTGCTTCCGTAATACTACTTAATTGCAACGGTAAGGTCTGCAGCACTTCTAAAAGTAGAACCAGCAAGTCATTGTGCTGCCAGGTCACAGCAGAGTCAACCCACGCTCGCGCGAGACGCAGCCCACCGCTCTTCTCGAATGCACTAGCACAAGCACGAGATAGCTTGGCATCACTTGCAGTCGAGGTAGCACGAAGCACCACAAGCGCCAGCGTTTGCTCTGGCTCCGTCTTACACTGTGGCAGAAACTGGAGGAAGATTGGAAGGTTAGAAATCGAAGACACGCGAAGCCTATCGTCTACAAGGGACAGCAAAGATGCTTCAGCATTTGAAGGCATCAGCTTAGTGCTGTTACTGCGACTCATTGTGTTCTGAAGCACGTTAGGGATCTGAAAAAAACATCAAGTTAGATCTAAAGAAGCTACAGGACGATGATATCATATACACTCACCGATTGATTTGCTGGGAGCTTCATTGGAGCTGAGGCTGAAGGAGGAACTTGTTCTTGTTGTACTGACTGCTGCTTCATGAACTCGGACGCTTCCATAGACATCATATCCTGAAGTCCAAATGCAGGTGGAGCTTGTGTGTGCATCAGTAGCTGTTGTGGTACTTGCAACAGTCCACCAAACTGTGGATTCTCCAACATACTTGTAAAGGACGTTTGTTCCATGTCGATGTTCATCTTCTACAAATTTGCACACATGCAACAAAGTGTGAGTCCTCTTGATCATATAGTCCACGTTATTTCTACCACACTAAAGCTGCCGTCATTGTCGCTATCAAAACCTCCATTAAAGGATCATGGGCTTAAGAATCAAAGGACTCTATCATTGCACCACCATGACAAAATGCTCTTATCATACAGTAATAGCAACAAGTGGCCAAGAAACCCCTTTAAAGTGGAAAATAGACAGTGACTCGACTGATAGCAATGCGAGTAGTGGTCGTATAGTCACTATGTATACTGATCACAGTACGATTATTCATCGTACAATTGTATACGGTAGTCTACTAACCGTCGTACTCTTTTATCCATATATAATGTGTAGCAAATATAGATTTTACCTTTCGAACAATGGAAGATACTGTGAAAATATGTTTCGTTCCAATCCCAACAGATAGAAAAGGCGACGTAGAAGAATTGCGAGCTCAGCAGCAAAATGAAGACGTTTAACAGCGAACAACGTGTATAGGAGAAGACAGACAGACAGACAGACGTTTGAGTGACTGACTCTGAATAGACGAAGTGTCGGAATGCAAAAAGGTGAAACACACGTCCGAAGAAGGTGAAGGAGATTTGATGTACGAGGAAGAGAACGGAGCCAACTACTTGTTCGCTTACTTAAGAGTTTTCTTTTCTCTTGGGGCTTTTTTTCTTTTGAAAAATGTATTGAACCTTCGCGTCGATTAAACTTTTTGAGTTATGTGGGGGACAAAAAGGGGAGAAAGAAGGCGGCCACTGGCTTGCACGGTTAAACTGGGACCGGGGAACGGACGGCGCGGTTACCTCAGTCGAGTGACTTGTTACACACCCCCTCTCTAAACCGATACCTCGCGTCTTTTGAAAAATTGTCAAAAAAATGGAGAATGGAAGAGCCGATCGACTTGACTTGCTGCCTCTTGGTCCTGAGATAATTTTGATTTGTGACAATGAAACGGAAGAGGATGAAGAAGAAAAAAAATCTTCAAGATGAAGTCAGTTTCATGGACTGAAATAGCCGATAGACTGTTAATGCTTGCGAAGAACCACACACTGCGGAAGAATCAAGACGTTGTTGCAACATTATTGCAGAATTGTAACATTCCGCCATCCATGGACGTGCAGCGTTCACTCCAAGCCACGTGTGAAGAGCTTGGACAGCTGCTTTTGATCCTGAGAGGCCATAATCGTCGACAGCGGGCGTGTGAAGGTTTAGTGCTGGTGGTGTGTGAGGTGCTGAGCCTCGTGCAAACCACACCATACACGTTGAGCTATGGAAGGAGGCCTTGGATGAAAGAGGAGAAGACGGAGGCTCGTTATGATTGTGCAATGGACATTGCATACCAATTCATGGATCGTTGGGGAGTTTGTCTTGCGCAATGTGCGCGTTCCAGTGATTGTCGATCGTTCGCGATTGGTTCAACAATGTCCCGGTTAGAGAGAATGATTGTTAAATGCTCAAGTGATATGAAACGTCTTCACAATTACATGCTTCAGTATGAGCAAGAGATGAAAAATGCTACTGAAGAATGGGCAGAAACGATGATAAAGTGTCGCCATGACTTGGAACCACAGTGGATTAATGCCAAAGAGCGGGATTGGAAGGTCTATGACGATACTTTCCATAGAACTAAAGCAGTGCAGATGAAGTTTGAGGAGAACAAGAATGCGCGCAACTCCCTTATGCACTACGCACAAGAACAAGAACTGCGCAGCAAGTTTTATCGAGCTACATTAAGGTTGATACGTGTTGCTACCCAACAATCGAGCATCTACATCGAGCAGGAGCAACATCTGCAGATGGCGTCGGACGAAACAATTAACGTGCTTGGAAATGAGATATTGGAACACATGGATACTTTCTGTAGTGCGCTCCAGGATGTCATGGTGCCAAATTTGCGATATCACGGAGATGTGTCTGGACGAACGGACATAACTGGAGACATGACAGCCGTGAGGACTTGTGAATACGTGGATCAGTTAGACTTGATACATTTTGCAAAGCATTTCGAGGCATTTTGGTTAATTCATCGAAGCTGGTTTCCGCAAGGAGTGCTGGCTATGGTCAATAGAAGTTTTGAAACGATGTGCGCAGCTAATGCGCATGAAAAGTTGTCTGAACAAAATGCGACCTCAGGGTGCCTTTTATGCAGCGCAATTTCCCGTGTTTGTGTCGGCCTGCAAGCAGGTGATGGTATATAGTGATTATTTGTGGTAGTTGGGAAGCTTTGGTGTGTGAAGCTTGAGCTCTGTCAGGTGGTGTACATGTTGCTTCCCATTGTTTCCACAGTTATACTATGGTATTGATCGTCCGATCAGAAGCTTTCAAACCTTTTGCAAACAGAAAGAAGACACCTTGACGCTTGAGAAATTGAGATGAACCTGCATCTATGGCCGCCTCCTTTCCGGTAAGCTGAGAGTAATAGATGGACGCTAAAGTCAGATCGTTCTTGATTACTTGTCGACGATCTGCGCAAGAGTTTTTATCGTGAATGTATGCATCTGCCCATAGGACCATATTGTTGTAGGGCAAATGTGAGCTTTGTGGGTCTCTTTGGCGCTGATACTCATAGAAGTTAAAACATCTATGAGTGTCTGCGCCAAGCGCGACGAGGTTTTGCAGTCGTCACGACATGTATCTCGGTTGACACCGACAAGTTGCGCTCCATTTTTTTCACCGTAGCCGAGCCGCAATCGTAGTGCTCCTGAAGCTGTCGGCAGGAGTGCTGAGCACAAAAAGACTGCAAAGCAGTGACAATGAGGAAGGCATTCCAGCTAGTCCTGATGACATCAAGTGCTGTGAAAAACGGTTGCATACCCGTGCAATTTTCTATCTAGGAGCCTCTGGCTGCCAGTAAAAGAGGGCGACTCCTTGCTCTATCAACACTCGGTCGTCTTTGCATTAGACAGCTGGTGTAGCATTAACCTTCCCTGTCTTCGCAGACTTCTTTCTCCTGTTTTTTCTCGTCACGTGCAGCACGCTCCTCATCCTTAACTTTTTTAGCTTCCAGCACAGCTTCCTGCACAGATAGCTTATAGGTCTTCATTTCCTTCATCGTTCCCAGTAAAACGGCCACATCTGCCTTGGCAGCCATTACATTCACCGAGTTACGACCTCGCCACGCGACCAAAATCATCACCTTTGACCTATTCACGTCACGAAAAGAACAATCATTAGCTACCAAAAATGGTATCACTAGCAGCAGCTACCAAGTATGCTAGTAATACAAATATTCTTGTAGGTACACGTACTCAATGTTGGACTGGCCCGGGCGGTCAAGCATGCACACAACACTACCAATCGGAGCATTTTCGAAATATTGTCGGGCGGATGGCTCAAACTCATCGAAATCTAGCAAATCTCCAAGCCGATCCAGCATCATCTGGAAATCTTGCGTAGATACATTCACCTTGCGTTTACTCATGAATGGCAGGATGTGCGGCAGACCCGCTTGGCACACGCGGTATACCTTACCACCCTCCGTAGTTTCATTGCGCTCAAACATCTTGAGCCCGGCAAACACAACCTTCAGCTTTTTGCGCTTCATCTCCTCCAGCAAAGCCATCGTGATGCTTTCAGTCACAAACGTAACAGACTTTGCATCTTGCGAACGTGTTATCAGCTGTTCTGCCGGGAAGTCAGGAGATACGCCGTAACACTCACGCACATTGGTCCAGTTGTCAACACCGAAGGCCACATAAACCTCGCTCTTCTTGTTGCGGCGATCATCACGACGGTCTTTTCTCCGCAGCTGTACTTCATCACACGCTGACATTTGCGTCTGTGCCTCAACCTTGATGCCGCTAGCTGCAGCATCGTTCATCAGAGCTGCCTCGTCGTCCACCTTAATTTCTGCAGTCTTCACGGTCACCTTGGCCTCTTCAATCTTCTCTTCTGATGTGCTGGTAGTTTTCTCAGCCTTTTCTAACGCGCGTTCCTTCTTATCGTGAGGAGTTGGTGCTACCTTTTTGATTAAGCAGATGAAGAACCCGCCAGTGTTTTCATCCTGAGGCAGGCAACGCATACAGCGCTCCAGGTGAAGATCCGCAGCCTCCTTCTCCGTAGGCGGGAACATCGTAGCACAGATTTTATCTTTAATCTTGTCTTTCTTGTTTTCTTCAACATAGGTTTCGTAGGACGTGTGATCCTTCAGTTTCGAGTCCAGCACCTTCCAGGTGCTGATACCTGGACGGCGTTTTAGCAGCGGCAAAGTGTTTGTCACATCCACAAGTTCAAGCGAGCCTTTGCTCCATCGCAACAAGTCAGCCACCACAGCTTCGTTTTCAAGCGGGTTGAACGTACACGTCGAGTAGCACATGTTGCCTCCAACCTTCAGCAGCGACGCACCGCGCTTAGCAATTTGCAGCTGCAGCGGGTGTAGAGCAATGCCATTCTTGGCGCTCCAGCTTTTCCAGATAAGCGGATTCTTGCGCAAAGTGCCGTCACCACTACAAGGTGCATCGCACAAAATACGGTCGAAAACCCCTTCACTTTCTGTTCCATCCTTTCCAAGGAACGGAATGTTTTGAGCTTCATGGCACGTGACAAGCAGCGCAGGCGAGTTAATGCGTTTAGACTGATGCACCAGCATATACGCACGCTTGAGGTCCACGTCGTTGGCTACCACAACACCAGTAGGGGTCTTGCCCGTCACAAGCTCCTGTGAGTGCAACGACTCCAGCAGCTGCGACGTCTTGGAGCCAGGGGCAGCGCACATGTCCAAGACTTTGTGATGTGGCTCTACGCCTAGTACAAGAGGAGGGATCATACTCACCGCCTCCTGACGAGTGATACTGCCACTGTCCGAGAGCTCAACGAGCCAAGACTGAAACTCCTTCAAGATCGGCAATTTGCGTACCCGACGACGTTCAACTGACCACGTAAATCCACGGTTATCAGGGTACCAAGGCATCAGGCTAATAGGCTCCACAGGCTCATCATCGACCACAAGACCATCAAATTTGAAATCCTGCTCAATATGGTCCCGAATACTGTCCCAAAAAACGACACAAAAAATGAGCCCAAAAAAAAAGTATTGAAATAAGTTGCAACATCAACCAATCAAAACTCACCAATCAGCAAATGGACAGGAACTATTGATACGAAAAGTCGTAGGAAGTGGTGTCGCCAGCGCTTTCTTAAACGCCGTCCAGTCGGAATCTGCCACGATGTTTTGCGCTTTGTAGTACACGTCAAAGTTCTCATTCTCATAGACCCAGTCGGCAAATTTGTCAGCACGCCAATCCTCTGCTTTTCCATCAGGACGTGACTTCTTATTGCCACGACCACCACCTCGTCCATTGCGTGATCTTTTACCCATTTTTTGTGCTAAATGAAAAATGATGTGGTGGCCACGAACAAAAGTTACTCAAATATGAATGTGCCCAATTCATGGGCTGAAACTGTAAGATTTAATGTGAATGTTATGATAATCTAGTGGATTTTATTACTTTTCAGAACCTATCGACTGCCTGTCATATATCATGCAAGTACTGCTGCACACACGGACACGTCGTCGCGTTTGCCTTGCTTCTTATGCGCAAAAGCAAGTAAGTTCGACGCACTGTAGAAAGCTAGTTGACGCACGCGACGCTCCTTGACAAATGCAGCACGTTTCACGTTTAAAGATGGAATGGTCTCGCACTTTTGTCGAAATCGCTTAAAATCCTCAGACTCAACGGTTTTGTTGACCACCAGCTCATTTAACGCTTCAAGGCAGAATCCTGCAGCTGAGACGGCAAAAGGAATGAACTCTGTGGTGCATGTGAATGTTTCCTTGGCACGCTGTACTGTCCTTCGTGCCATTTCCTCTGCTATTCCACCTTTGGATCGAGGTAACGGCAAACTTGCTGCCGATGCGACACAGGACGCGATATCGTCCACGTACAGATTATCGTGTACGCCATCCGAGAATAAGAAACACACATCACCAGCTTCGTACGTGAAGGCTTGTATCTGGACGTCGGCTATATAATTAATGGATTGGTTGCTGGATACCACGGCAGGTACATTGAAGTCGTAGATAATCGAGTCACTCTCGAAGACAAGATCGCCGGATCGAAATACCACACACTTGCAGTCGCCGATCGTGTATACAAACATCTGACGCGAATTCTCGTCAAAAAACACAGCCGAGATGGTCGAGTCAAGTCGACCTTTACGCTTTGCAAGCTTGCATGCGCTCCTGGTCGCTGCTTGCATGCTCTGGCTAAAGTCTTCGGCACAGAGCGGCTCCTCTCGTGTTTGCTTGCGCAGTTTTGCCAGCTTTGACAGCGTTTCAGCCACCAGCATCCGAGCCAGCACGCCAGACGACTTGGCCGTGCCGGACACGCCGTCGGCTACCACCATGTAAGCGGGACCAAAACCCACAGCATCGTCGCCATGGAACGAGTGCGTCGCGCTGCCCACGGATGAAAAGCAGCCATGCGCTTTTTTCTTATCATCAATTTCGTGCAGAGCCTTGCGCGTGCGCATACGGTCCAGCAAACAGTGAGCAGCGTTCATAGCCAGCTGAGATCTGTCAAAAGGAAGAAAGAGTGAAGAGCGACGAGTGAAGAGCGAAGAGAAACAACACAACGTGGTGACGTCTGCATTGCCCCCATCCCATAGCTGAAACGGTCGACGACGTATAGTTTTTACTTCAATGTAGCCGGTAAATTTACCGGATAGTCTTTTAAACCACACGATGATGAAATGGTTACAATTGACAGTATCCGGACTATACGTGGTGTCACGTTCTATTGTTCAAGGTCTCATAGCAATGACCGTTACCAGCGCTGAAAACACCGCATTAAAGTGGCTGCTGCGACAGTGCGAAAACGCTTCCGGTGCGACCGTTTTATTGCTAGTCGAGCGACGATTGGTTTCTCGTGCCTCAACTTTCACGTAATATGCAATTTGTCGACAGGAATGGAAGACGCCGTGCAGTAATGTGCACTTTTTCTCTAAAATTTACACTCCTAATCTGACTTTCAATGCTGCGACGGAACAGAATTACAATAACACATTGTCGACGTATTGCATGGATACATTTGAGCTCGAAAGAGAACAGTTTCCATACAAGAAACGGCGTGGTTAGAGCGAGTACATGTATACACGTGCGCTACTCGTCTGTCCACAAAAAAGTGTGATCAGCAAGTTGCCATCGTTTTATGTTGCTCGAGTCTTACGTTGCGTCGAATCAAGCTGGGCTATTTATTCTGTCAATTGCGCCGATGCCGATGCAAAGTAACGCCACTAAGCTCAAACTGCTGCTATTGAGCGATCTGAAGGGACAGATTCCACGCGTGAATCAGCTGTGCGAGGAGATGGTAAGCTCGGACGACTGCAATGTAGACGCTGTTCTTGTAGCTGGCGGTCTAGTCGCTAAGCGAGGACCACAAGACTACGAGGTGCTCGAGGCCGTGGCGGCTGCTGAAGGAGATATGATGGCGCTTATCTCGCGGCTTGAGATGATCATATGCCGCGTACTGTACATTCCAGATGAAGTAGATCGCTGTCAATTGCATTATGTGAAGCATCATTGAAGGAGGACTGAACTGTCTTTTGGCTGGAACAAATGAGCAGAACGATCCACCCACAACACGCAGCATTGTCCTCTCGACGCCATCGTTGACGCAATACTCGTCGAATGTATATTGTCAAGAAGAGCAATTGGTCGAAGGCGTGACAGTCATGGGTGAAGCACGATATTTCAAGTACGTTGTAATGGACGATCTAGTTGGGGTCAAGAAGAAAAGGGCGCTAAAGCAGTCATTGTATGCTTCAGATTGGTGAAAGATGGAAAGAACCCGATGCAGGACCGTGATATGGTGCTAGTACTACGTGACTCGGCGTTTCAGGCTCGTCTACCTGATGTAGAAAGCTCTTTTTTTGCTGGTTTGCTACCCATGCTACAACCCAATAAACCAGAGGAGCAGCAGGCGCTGGAGATCATTGGTGGCAGTGACCAGCATCCACATGCACAGCTTCCATTCATATATCCAGGTACGTTTTGCACTGCTCGGTACTTGGTATCAGATGGACATTTACAGATATTTCGGTAGCAGGTTCGTTGCGGTTGGGGCAATATACTATCTTACAGCTGGAAAAAGATCCTCTTGAAGATACTTGGGATGTTGCAGCCGTTATATCCCATCAGCTGGAGAAAAAGGACGACGACGACGACGCTCATTCCACATACTAGAGCAAAGCTAAAACGTTATTGTCATTTTTTACGTCTAGATTGGTTATTCTTGTAAACTCAGTCGAAATATCACCTTTTTTCTCGGAATATTGAAAATGTGCGACTCATGGGAGAAGTCTCAAGATGCTTCAGGTATACGGGAACTAGAGCAGCTACGCGTCTTGGCCATGTACGAATTTGATCCACCACTATCGAACCAAGAGCTATGGACAGCATTGCGTACGTTTGGAAACCGCACAGAAGACGCTTATCAATATCTCAAGACCAGTCGTCGACATGAAGATTCCGTTACAATTCCTACATCTGCTGTTATACTGAATAAAAGTATAGCAACATATGAAAAAGAAGGCGAGAAGAGGCGTTTAAGTGCATTGTCTGTGGATAATAACGGTACACCCAAGAAACGACACAAGGATACGAACTTTGCATTGCTAAACTGGGAAAACGAAGAGAATTGCGACAAAGAGACAAGTCTAGCGACAGAGAAGGATAAGGAGGTACTACTTACAACTGTTGACTGTACTAAAGCACAACAATTGTTGCTTGAAACGGTGGAAGATCAGGTTGCTGCTAGACAAGTACTACGCCATTCGGAATGGATACATGACTTTTGGAAGGTTCTGCACGTGCTACCAGAGACTGAGGTGGCAATGCACTTGAATTTGACGGTAGATGCATTGACTATGTGGTTAAAAGAAGCAGAAACGCAGGATGTACATGATATTCAGACACGAGGAACGGCATTGGTGGTTGAGGTGGCTGCGAGTCTACCACGTAATGTGACAGATGGTCAGGAGAGTATTGCGTGTTCACTGAAGGATCAAGTGCTATCAGCGAGCGATGAGGAGATAGCAGGTGTCGTGCATGCTAACAATAATGCCGCTAATTTGAGTGCGATTGCCCGCGCCAATGCTGCAAAGCATGCGATCGAGTGTCTTTCTTCTGCTTGCAAGGCTTACATGGATCAGCTAAGCCAATTTTCACTGTCGAACGAAACGAGCTGTAAGGAAAAGGCTCATGCTGAAACGGCACTTGAAGCAGTGAACCTAAAGTTAGTTAGGTTAGTGGACGAGAGTACGGGTGATGTGACAAAAGCTGAACGTGCACTGTCAGATGCCAAAGAGAGAAAGGAAGCCCGGTCATTGCAAATTGTACAATATGTGCAGAAGCGACACGAAGAATTAGTCACTGCGGGTGAGACGAACGCTTCAGCTAGTATTCAGTCTGTCATTGAAGTTTGGAAGCAAAACGACGTCGAGGTGCAGGCGCTGTGGAGATATCGCAGCGAAAGTGAACGACAGGTGGAGAAGTCTGTGCGTGCATTGACAGTTGCTCAGCACGCATTGACGTTTCACAAGAATCTGTCAATGCTATTCGCCAAAGTTCGCGAACGGCGCGAGAAAACCCTTTTGGACACCTTTAAAGACCTGGAAGAGGAACGTGCGAGTTCAAAAGCCCGTGCGGCAACGGCACTTAATAACCTCATTCCAATGCTCACGCATGCACTGTTCAATTACTACGAATTTCACTCTGTCCAGCAGTCCAAGGCGAAGAAAGAGCTAGAAAAACAGGAGAAGGCTCTAGCAGCCCACAATGAGTACTTTGGTGACTCGGCACCAATCAAGAAGGGTGACATTGAGCGTCGTATTCGTGAATTTGAAGGAGTGACGCAGAGCTCAATGCAAATGATCATGGAGATTGCGGAAGGCCAGCAGCAACTCTGGGAAAACAAGCATGCAGTACTATCAGAATCAGTCCGCCGTGTGCTCATTTGCGAGTTTAAGGCCTTATGGTTGCAACTGAATGGGTCGATGCGAGATGTCGTGAAGAAGTTTGTGATGGCAATCGAGGGAAGTGCAGGTGGTGTTGTGGCTGTCGAGTCCACAGAAGCCCAAAAAGCTCAACAAGAAGCTGTCAGTCCTGCGTTTGTCACGACAATTGATTTGGACGAGCAGATGTTTCCAGCGTTTACAGTTCCAGCCTTTCCAAACAGCCATAATGAAGCGGTAACGCCATACCGAACGGCAATCTCAGCTATTGCTGCTTCAAATGAGGACTCACATACTTCCAGCTCGCCGATAACTCCCAAGGAGTTTGACAGCACGAGCATTGCCATGACAGTCAGCTCAACCACCTTAAAGCCGACCAAAAGCAACGAAACGATGGTAGCTTCTTCACTACCCCAAGAAACATCAAGTGAGTCGCGTAAATCGCGCCATAAGTTTGCTGCCGGTTCTGTCCTGTATTCAAAGGTCAACCTTGGCGAAAACTGTACGCAATTTGTCCGTGGTGTTGTCGTGAAACAGTTGGATAACGACATGTACCTGATACAATACGATAATGGTGACAAGTTTTCGGTGAGGAGCTCATTCCTGTTTACCAAGGATCTGGTACGTTATGATGATGGTGGAGTGATGATGAATATGGCGATAACTCTGACTTGATACTTGTATTTGTTGTACGTGGTGTAGATGGAACAGAATCAAAAAGCTGCGAACGTGACAATGTCCCATGAGGATATGGAAATGGAGGATCTCGAGCACAAATCGAGTGAGGGAACTTGTGTCATTATGTAGTCACGTTGAGGAGGAGATGATTGAGTATTGAGAGTAAGTAACCGAGCAGGTCATTGTCTTTTTAGTAATACATAAAACAAGTGCCGACGCCGCCTTTGCCTTTTTTGGCCTACGATTTCGTCGGTCTTTTTTTCCGAGGTTCCAGAGTATCTCATGAGTTCTTGTTGTAGTGAAGAGAGCGGCGTATGGCAAGAAAAGTTGAAGCAGTTACAGGTCAGAGATCTACTGCTTTAGGTCTATTAGTTTTTCGCTTTACTAGCGCTTTAGTTGAATTGCTCATAGCAGCTCAAAGATTGTCATCGATCGTCTCGTTTAATTGGTGCTGTTTGACGTCTTTGTTTGATAGAACGAGTTGGTGTTGGCCCAGTACGAGGCACAAAAGTGGAAGGAAAAGTATTTGGTCGAGAAGAGACGGCGGCAAAAGACAGTGAGGGATTTTTTGGATCTTGTGGTGCGCACGGACCGTAAATCAAATGAAGTTATGGACTCGAACGGTGTTGGAGGCGTAGCGATATCTCCTTCTTTGTTCAGGTCAGTTATTACAATGCTGTCGAGCTATACGACATGACGTGCTTCTTTCTTGTGACTTTGTTTGCATTTGATTGGAGGTAGTCCAGATCATACGGCGGATCTACTGAGTCCGACATTGTCGTCATTTGATTTTGATGACGACTCAAGTGAAGACGACAGTGAGGACATTGACGTTCAGACGGCAGAAACTCCTCCTTCGCTTGTGGAAAGAATAAATCAGGAATCTGAAGTGAACGAGGATGGAGATAGTGGAAAGCTTGACTCGCCAGACGATCAACATGAATTACCATTGAGCTCGTCGATAGACCTGGAGCTACGAAAGCGACACTCGCTGATGCATCACTTGAATGCAAATGCACCGTATTCACGACGTATTAATCGCTCGTCGACCATGGACTCGGCTTTGGAGGCTTTTGGAGGGTTGTCACAATTCATGGATGGGATGAATAGTGGTGACAACGGGCAAGCGCAGCAACAACATCTCATGAACCGCATGATGTATATCAACGCGTCATCACGTGATCTCTGGCAAGCACGAGTTCATCGAAACAAAGTTCATAGTGTGGCCCGTTCTAGTATGCATCTCAAGCACGAGCACATCTTTGAACACTTCTTTGTCACGGGAATGGTTCTAAGTGATGCAGAGCGACACTATCAGCCTTCAGATCTTACTAGATATTGGAAGCCCAAGCTACTGTACGACTTTCCTAACAACGTACGCAGGTTTGTTTTGTTTTGTTGTTGCGCGAGAAATGACTGTGAATCGTGCATATTGTTTGTAGCGGCTAGACGACCCACCTGATGACACTGTTCCCGATTTTTGCTTTCCAAGAGGTGTCCCTCTTCTAATATGTACACCTGATCAAGCGACATCTATCCAAGGTGTAGCAGTGTCGAAGTGGTTTACCGAATTTGAGCCACTTCAGAGTCATATTGAGGCCTCAGAGACAAGTGGGTACACCTTCCGTCTTACAGGTGCAAAGGGTGAGGTGTTATATGGATTTTGCATTGCCATAATGAGGGAAGCGACAGCAGCAGGAGATACCTCAGGTGGAAGTGATTCGAAGAGCCCTCGCGCTAGCTGGACCCCAAGCTGTCGAGATGAAAGTTCTGCCTCTCCATCTAGCAAAGGAAATCGAATGGCAATGACGAAAAAGATGGCACCGATGTGCTACTGCTTCACATCCAAGTTTCCTTTCTATCGCTTTCACTTTGCGGTATGTGTACCAGAGCTGTCCATTCAGGGTTATTATAAGTCGATTCAGCCGCTAACATGAATGTGATTGTTTTGAATGATACATCAATTGTCTACCTGTAGCTGTTACGAATGATCGTCGAGAATGAGTTGGAGCAGCACCGGCTTTTATCCACAGCAACGGGAATCAAAACTAGAAAAGACGAGGAGTTTGAGATAATCTTGAGACCACGGCTGGATCTTGCGATAGAATTCACTATTTTCCATGAAGAAAACCCTCGCATGAGAGAATCATCCAGAGATTTGGAAAAGGAAGGACGTAGCAATTTGGCATCAATTTCGACAAAGCTGAACATTTCTTTGATAGATCGACGTGTTGTTCTGAGTGAAGATGCAAGTGTAAGAGTCCACAGAAGTGAAGACAGTCAGTTGGAAACAAGAAAGCAACCTAGCCAACTTCGAAAAAGCCTTAGTACTGATGACATTGGCTCGTATAATGTTACGAACGAGTGTATCATGGATAAACCGATGGTCAAGAGCATTGACTTGGATCAATCAAAAGAATACGAGCGCGTCAAGGTTGGTGATATTTTGGAAGCGGTTGACAGCATTGCAACTGGTACGACCAATTATGTACTATTAGCTTTAGCATCCCCTTCTCACTCCGTGGTGTTTGCATACTGCAGCGTCCATGAGCTTTGAGCAAACGCTGAAATTGCTAAAAAGAGGAAATAGGCCGATGCGTCTACGCTTCCGTAGATCGGCTATGACTGAACAGGCATCACCGCCAGCTTCGAAACGATTAACGCATCGACAGTGCTTATTAACTACTTCAGTCGATGTACGTTCATTGTGTCTAGCTCCGAGCCGTGCTGGAAATTGACCCAATATTGATGTCGCTGAACTTGAATAGGTCTTACACCGAGCACGACGGATGAAGATAAATGATCCGGGGCACTGGTCTACGGCTCGATTTCCTACGTTCGATTTCAGTTATCAGTTTCCCGAACGGCACTCCGATCGATGGTCCATTGGGGTTGTATTACGCTTGTTGACACCAGACAAAGTGGTCGAGATTATGGCCTATTTGTTGCTTGAGAAACAAGTTGTCATCATGAGTGACAGCCCCGCCAAGGTATCAGCCATATGCACGGCACTACTGTTGTTGCTCTCCCCATTCCATTGGCAGTCGACATACATTCCCCTGTTACCATCAGGGTTACTTGACTTCTTGCATTCGCCGGTGCCATTCCTTGTGGGCTGTCATCCGCTTCCTGAAACATCCCAGTGGTCCGACGTTTTCTTTTACGACATTGACAGGGACTCTATTGCTGTCCCGGCTGTGATGAGGCACTTAGGCCCATCGTCCATGCCCAATGGCGTGGAACTTTGTCGTTTGCTTCAGAAAGCTAAAGAGCGCTTTTGCGCGTTGCGCCCATCAGGCAAGCCATGGTATGAGCTGTCCGACGAGCAAGACATGATCATTACGCTCACACTGCAGGAAGCAGGCATTTTTCTGCGTGATCTTGGTTTCGACATTTCTTCGCAAGACCTGGCAGCTTCGATTTCAGGTAAGTAATTGATCCTAAAACATTTCATGACGCTGCTTCTTTTGACTGTACGTGCATTCTTATATCCACCAGGTGGTCAAAGCTTTTACAACAGCTTACAGGAAGAGGTGGCCAAGGAAGTACGAAACAGCATTTACCAAGATTATCTGGACAAATTTACACAAACGCAGTTATTCTGCCAGTATTACGAAAGCTTACTGCAACCGAAGCCACAAGAGAAATCTCAAACATAACGCTGGAACACGGTGATCAAAATAATCGAGATGATGTTCTTCATTTTGAAATGGACGTCTAGTAATCCACGACTTTCTTAATTGCTTCAAAATTTCGTAGTGCATCCGGCAGATAAACCTGTGACAGACATTGCAAGGCGTTAGCGATATGTCTTACAAGACGAAAAAGAGGTTCGTGCGAACTGACCGGCTCATGCGTCAGCGGGAAGGGGGTATCGTACCCGCACACTCGCTGGATAGGGGCTTCTAAGCTCAAGAAGCACCGTTCTTGAATACTGGACGATATCTCTCCAGCAAACCCGCCGGATTTCTACATTTAAACAACCATCGTCAGCCTCCACTTGCATCATATAGCATTAGCACAATCTTACCGGAGCTTCGTGACTGACAACTAATCGACCAGTCTTGCGGACCGAATGCTCAATCGTATCAGCATCCCAAGGGAAGATCGTCTGCAAATCAATAAGCTCACAGCTAATGCCAATATCCTCAGCATACCCGCAAGCTTTTTCAAGCACTCGCATTTGTGCACCCCATCCGACAACTGTGACATCGGTACCTTGCCGAATAATCTCGGCCTCACTCAAATTCTGCACATACTCTCCCACCGGTACCTATTATCGTACATTGAATGATCGATACCCACACAACTAGTCAGCTCTAGTCTTTCACACTACAACTTTCACAAGCTGCTCGCTCACCTCATCAACTGATGTACGATAAAGTGCCTTCGGTTCCAAGAAAAGAACCGGATTAGGGTCGCGAATCGATGCCAATAGCAATCCCTTTGCAGTCACGGAATTGCGAGGCATGACTACTTTAAGTCCTGGTGTATGTGCAAAGTATGCTTCAGGTGATTGGGAGTGATAATGCCCTCCATGACCCACAGCTCCATAAGGTGCACGAAAAGTGAGTTTGCCACAATCAAATTCATTCCCAGATCGATAACGAAATTTCGCCGCTTCATTCACAATCTGGTCAAAAGCTGGAAAAATATAATCTGCAAATTGAATCTCCGCAATTGCCGTACGTCCTGTGGACGCATAACCAATGGCAAAACCAGCAATCCCTTGTTCACACAATGGCGTATTAAAAACACGGTCATTGCCAAATTGCTCACGAAGGTCCATAGAACAACGAAACACGCCACCAAACGCGACATCTTCCCCAAAAAGTACAGCTGAAGGGTCCGTCTCCATTGCCACACGCATGGCATCATTAATGGCTGTAAACATGTTCATTTGGGTGGTTTCAAGCACAGGTAGAACGTCATTGTCATCAGTTTGTGCTTGAAAATGTGGTGCATGAAGATGAAGAGCACGTTTTGGCACTGAGAGAAGACGACGTTTTGTTAAAACGTGACGAAATGCGAGTAAAGACATTAAAAAACGGTTTTTTAATGATGATGACGATTGGGTAATGAACGGGATGAGATTATGCTATAAAGTAGGTCGATGACCTTTCATGTGCATCATGAAAAATGTTTTGATGATGTACGGAATCATTGAACTGTAGCCATTTACATAGTAAAGCGAGGATATCGCACTTTTATAAAAGTAGTCGAGTTGCCGTCGAATGATTGGATAAAAACCAATACGGCAACGTCTCTGTACCATGTTGATAAGGAACATAGCGACGTCACGGTCTCAGATATTTCCCGTGAGGAGGGATGACCTCCCTTGAGTTTCCTGCTATTGTCTTCAATAGGAACACAAGTCAAGGTGCAAAATGGAAGAGCTCACTAAGAAGACCCTAATTACTTTAAACGGAAGCAAGATACAGTACGAGTTGCAGTCTTAGCTCAACAGACTAACAGCTTGGTTCTCCAAGGATTCAAAGCGAGAGATCTTGTGCGTATACGTCTTAGCGTCTTCGTCAATGGGACTGGCACTCAATGAAAAGTCGAGGCTGTCACTTACATCGAATGGCTCGTATCCGGACGTGCTATTAGCACAAGCAAATCCGTGACGAGCACGGAAGGCGCCACCTAAAGCAGCCGTGTTGGAGGCGCATGTAAGGCGGTACACTGGCGCATTGAAGACATTTGCGAGTACCTGGAGCATGCATTTGTTTGCTGATGCCCCACCAAGCACAATAAGACGCTTGGGGTTGCTCACGCCGAGCCGCTTTGCGTGCAGACGCATGGCCAGAAATTGGCTTTCCACCACTGCACGAACTTCCACTTCCGGCGGCAATACAGACATGTCTGTGCGAGCACCACTGGCATCAAAGCCGACGATTCCTGCCTTGAGAGTCGACGGAGTGATTTCCGGTTCTTTGTAGTAAAACGCCGTGATGTCTCCGTTGCCCGCCTTCGTGGCTTGCATCAATTCCTCAAACTTCTCCCACGATGCACCTGCACGACGGTCTCGGACTTGTTGGCGTGCAAGCGAGCCGTTTTTGAAGCAGATCATGGCCATGAATGAGCTCGGGTCGATGGGGTTGCAGAAGAAGTGGCCTTCCTTACCGTTAAAGTGTGCAGCTTCTGTAGGTACCACCGCAAACAGCGTGCTGGAGGTGCCCAGAGATACGCCCACATCATCAAGCTGCGAGAGACCGATACCTGCGAGCGTGCACGGATTGTCACCGGAGAATGGGATCACTTTGCAATCGGCAGCGAAACCATATTTCTTTTGGAAATAGACGTGGATATGACCCGCTAGCGAGTACGCTCGTACAACCTGAGAGCCCAACGCTGCCTCTAGCTTCTCCGAGGCATTAACCGAGTTGCTGTATATACAAGTCGCCTTCACGAGCTCAGGAGACCACACCCGTTTACGCAGGTCAAGAAGGTTCATCCCCGATCCATCACTGTCGTCAATTGGAGTGTAGGTTCCACACAGCAGCGACGTTAGCATCGCCGACACGAGAGTGATACGTCCACAAGTTTCCAGAAAGGCTGGATCCTCTTGAATCCGCTTGGCGATTTGGTTGCCCGTAAAGCGTTCGTAGGCTCGGGATCCGCTGATCTCAGCGACACGATCCGGTCCACCAACCGCAGCTTCCAACTCTCTGCAGTAGCGTGTCGTTGAACTGTCCATCCAGCTGGGGCCGTTGAGTAGACAGAAAACAGGTTGTTGCTGCTTTTTCATGGCCTCTACGATCGAATTGGCATTCGACTCTGCAGCTGCATCCAAACACCGACGTAGTGAGAAATCTTTGTTCCAATATACAGACGCATGCTGCTGCGCACTGCCACTAATGCTCTTGATCTTGGCCAAATCAATTGAGCTCTTGGCCAGGGCATCCATGATAACGTCAAGTGATTCGACCAACATGAATGATGGAACAACCACTTGGTTCTCTGTCAGTCGTAGCACTCCATTTTTCGTGTTATAATGAGGAAACTGCTCGTCAAAGCGGAAAGAGCTCTCATAGACCACCTGACCGAGAGCATTTACAATCACAGACGACATACTCTGTGTCGAGCAATCGAGACCCAAAAAAAGCGCGTCATCTTGAACCGACTGCGTCATTTTTAAGACGAACAATTAACGAGCTTCAAGAAAAACCGTGTTTCCATGTCGCCTCGCCTTGGGTGTCCTGTACCCATTTTGGGAATCAGAGTGCCCTAACCCCCGACGACGTCACTCGTTGACGATGCCACTTCGCATAGTGCAACATTCATTTTTCAATTGGACGAGTCGATCACACTCCAATGAGTGTTTCATTCTTACGTGCATATCGTCTGCTTCAACAAGTGCCTGTCACTCGACGTCGTTTTCATACGGGCATTGTAACGAGCTTCCCTGAGATCCCATTCAAACTCGCTGATATTGGCGAAGGAATTGCAGAAGTTGAAGTCTTGCAATGGTTTGTCAAAAGTGGTGAAAAGGTCAAACAATTTCAAAATGTATGTGAAGTACAAAGTGATAAGGCGACAGTCGAGATCACAAGTCGATACGACGGAGTCGTGACTAAAGTTTACTATGAAGTGGGTGAGATGGCCAAAGTAGGGACGACACTTATTGATATTGACGTGGACGAAGCTACAGCTCGTAAACAAGGAGGTGGCAAAAAGAAGGCGTCATCTGGAGCACCAATTCCCCGTAAAGCGTCTACTCTAGTCTCGAAAGACGTGGAGGCTGTAACTACTTCTGTAGTGGCAGCTACACCACTTTTGTCGAGGATTCTTGATGCTCCTCGTCGAGTCGGCGATGGTGAGAAGCTCCTGACGTCGCCATCAGTGCGACGGTTGGCTATGGAGCACAATATTCAATTACATGAGGTTGAAGGCACGGGACCGGATGGCCGTATTCTAAAGGGAGATCTACTGGAGTTCATCAGGATGCAAGCGGCAAAGAAGCTTTCCAGTTCTGCTACATTGACTGACGAGACTGTTACAGCTATGTCACTTTTTCCTGAGAAAGGACTTAATGCAACGTACTTGCAACAAGACATGGTAGTACCGCTGACACGTACGTTGTGCATGTTGCTATTGTTTACTTGTTATTGTGGAACTTGTGTGCTGATTGATGGGCTACTGGTGATGACATGCAGCTATTCAGAAAATGATGACCAAGTCGATGAACTTGGCGTTGCAGATACCTCATTTTGGGTATGCCGATGAGGTATGTGATGTGTAATTATTGGAACAACAAGTATCGTGTTGCTGATGTGGTTATGTTGTTCGGTGACTTGTCAATAGATTCGAATGGATGCACTCTATGAGCTCCGGAAAGAGTTGAAGCCGCTTGCCGAGTCTCGTGGTGTAAAGCTGTCTTTTATGCCTTTCATCATCAAGGCTGCATCACTGGCGTTAAGGCACTACCCTATGCTGAATGCTACGTTAAACGATAGCGAGACGGAGCTCACGCTGCTTGCTTCACACAACATTTCGGTAGCTATGGACACACCGACAGGTCTGATTGTACCAAACGTCAAAAACGTCCAAGTACGTATTTCTCAATTATCTTACCGTGCAGTTCTTGAGTGCAAACTTACGATACATTTGGTTCTGCTCTATTAGACGAAGAGCGTAATCGAGATTGCTGAAGACCTTCATCGTCTACAGCAACTAGCGGACGTGGGCAAGCTTGCACCTAGCGATCTGAGCGGGGGCACGTTCTCGTACGCATTTACTTGTACCCCTCCTCTTCTTTTTGCTGGCAACTTCTAACATAAGTTTTGTGCAGCATATCCAACATCGGGAGTATTGGCGGCACATACATGAGCCCCGTCCTTATGGTTCCTCAAGTGGCAATCGGAGCTATTGGCCAGATTCAGAAGCTTCCTCGGTACGACGCAGAGGGAAACGTTAAACCTGTGCGTTTGATGAATGTATCTTGGAGTGGCGATCACCGTGTGATTGACGGAGCGACCATGGCACGCTTTTCAAACCAGTGGAAGGGATACTTAGAGACACCAGTGAGTATGCTGACAGAAATGAGTTGAACCACGCATAGATGGTGGATCACTCTTGTTGCTTTACAAAGCTAATTGGGGTCTATAACACAGGACATTACTTTATCTTGACGTTCGCTTTGAGCTTAAAAGTTCTAACGGTTTGTATCTATATTATCGTGAAACAGTTTCTAGCGATCACCAGCAGTAGTTTGATTGGGAATCGATAATCCTTGCTGGGTAGCTAGAAGCAACATCTCCTGGAGCAATTCTTGGGGTAGTCCAAGAAAAGCCTGTTCGTAGACGTACCATGAGGCGAAAAGACAAATGGATATCCAAGATTACATAGCAAACCGTACCGGAGTAGTAACAACGCGAGCGAAATGATCCATGATAAAGCCTGAGCAACGTTTCTTGAGTGTGAAAGCATCACGGAAATGCGCTGACTTGAATAAGGTAATGCAGATCGAAACCGACAAAGGTCAGCGTGCACGTCTCAGGATCATATCGACACGAAGCTGAACGCACCTCTATAATGATGGCAACATTTTTCACTGATAGAATGCGTAGTAAAGCGTTCTCACACAAACTACCAAACACAGCAAAATACAAAGCCACAATATGTTAGCAGGTATGGAAGAATCACAATCGCGGTGCAGATAACCTTCACCACGTTATCAAATATGCTTTGTACTTACCTTCGAAGACTAGCAATCAAGTAATGATCTGCTAGAGCATGCAGCTCGAGAGTAAACTCTTGTTGCCATCGAGAAATACGTAAAGAGGTAAGAAAACACGCATGAAACAGAAAATGACGACACATTCTATCACACTATCTGAAATGTGCGTACCTGCCGTCAGATCCGGTGAATCTAGGGTGGCCACTTGGTCCGAGTAAAGAAACTCTATCAGAGCAGCAAAAACGTCATACTGTACCAGCACACATGGTGACATTTAGCGACTGAGATAAATGAAAGCTGGAAAGCTATATGTTCCACGTACCGAGTACTCTGGAATGACGATTTCTGACTGTGACCCGTCCTTCATTCGACCGTCTAGCATTTTCTCGAGTGGTTCACAACGAGCAATCAAGATACAGCTATGTGCGAAGAACCGACGACCTTCTACCAGAAAGGTGACATCGCTTCGAGTTGGATTGTTCAACATCTTCCTCAAATCTGCGCTCAATGTTCCGGTGCCTTTCGTTGACTGAGTCTTTTCTTGGAATGTCCCGGTCAGACAGACTGAATGATAAAACCCAGCAGCGATCTATTTGCCACATATCAAACCATCCTGAGCTAGATGAACGTCTCTTCTCAGTACTGACAAGTACCTTTGTAACGGTCTTACTCCTCAGAGCTGAAATGAGCTGAGGGCTTAGACAGTCCACTGATGTCTCTAGTCCAAGCTGACCATGGTTATTACGACCAAATGGGAACACTTTGCCTTCGTCTGAAAGCGCGAGCGTATGATAACAACCGCATGCAACCTGGGTTATCCTCATTCGAGACAAACTTTTCACGACCTACAAGAGAAACAAGAATATTGATTCCAATACAAATCATACCAGTGAGCGCGCAAGAAATAACAACAAAACAACTCTCAGTTTACCGTTGGCCGGGACATGTGTAATTTGTGTCCAAGACCAAGCTGACCGTAGTCATTGCGGCCAAAAGTGTAGACAGCGCCATCTACGGTGATAATTGCAGTGTGATGGTACCCACACGAAAGTTGGGGCACCATTGCTCTATCCAGTGGCGGGGCTAAGCGTGTAGGATATAATACCGGTTCGGATGTGCTATCAAGCCCAAGTTGGCCGTGGTCATTTTTCCCAAATGCTACGACACCACCATCTCCTATGCCAAGAATACAAGAAATGTTAGTACCACCAAAGTTGTGCAATTTTTCAGCACAAAAACCTACGAAGTGATGCGACCGTGTAATGCTGACCGCATGCTACTGCTAGAACTGGATGCCGAAAGAAGTACTCAACAGGTTGAGGTACAAGCTGACCATTGTAGTCACCCAAGCCAAGCTGACCATAGTCATTACAACCGCATCCGTACAAATCGCCATTATCCATAACAATTGCTGTGTGAAAGTAGCTGCAGCTAACATCAACCACGCGTTTTCCTGCCAGCTCTCTCACTAATGTAGTCTCGGCTACATTTGTTGCAGTGCCGAGCCCCAATTGTCCATTCTTATTGTATCCAACAGTGTACAAATTACCATCCGCTGCCACGCATATTACGCCACGCAACCATTCATAAGTAAGCAGCTTTCAAACTCACAACATTATTGTGGCATTTTGTTTTATCTACCATGATCTGCCTTACCACTCAGTGCTGCAACGTGTTCACTACCATTTCCTGAGAAGATCCGCACTGTTCGATAGGAGCTCAAGTCCGGCAAGAATCGGAGCGTCGGCACCTGCTCCGTTGTACCGATTGCACATTGACCACTGACGAGCAACGATAAGGTGACTAACAACGCCGATTGCTATAAAACAGGACAAGTCGACGTACCTTTCATTATTCCCACATGCAACTACATCTCCATGATCTACAATTCATTGTAACAGAATCTCTCAGTCTTTCTATCAATACTCGTGCAAGTATTTCCACCGTGGACCTACCAAATAGAATGACAGTCTGTTCATTTCCACACGCAACGTCTATCACACGCTTGTCATCATTACGATTGCCAAAATCTACTTGCGTTGGGTGATTGCGATCCATTCTATCGTCAAGCATGAGCTCTCCATAGGAATTCTAGTATCCAACAAATCACACTTGTTTTTGACGTTAAAAAGAGGGTTTTTTCATGCAAATTTTGACGACACGTACCTGACCAAAGCTATAAACGCCTGTAACGTCAATCGGATCACCTTCTTCATCACTTGATGAGGAAGGGGTCAGTGCAAAAGCGCGGTTTATCGCCATGGTCGACGGGTGTCGGAAAAGCCGTTGATTGGATAGATTTAAAAATATTCGATTCGAATAAAAAGGCGACAACAGGGCGGTTACGAGCTGGTTCTGCGAACGTTCTTTGTTTTTCGATAAACGACCTTTGGACAACGAAGAGTCCTTGCGTCATTGAAGAATCAGATCCTCAGTTCGTTCGTTTAGAAATCAAGCGACTTCATTGATATCTTATGCGACTGATATGTGTACGTTGTCGAAGCGAAAAGAGAGAGGAAACTAGGTTTAAGTGAGAATGTATTTGCATTGAGTGACCATCTTATTTCTATAGCTGATAGATAGATATATATATATATACACATAACCATATGTAAACATCGTCCTCATCCTTTGAACTCGAAACGATGTCTAATGCTGCTATCAGTTGTGCCATCTTAAGGCATAAGATAATGCGTAAGCTCAGTGGTCATCAGATGCATCGCTATTGAATTCATTGCATCCATTTCTTTCTTGTGTATCTAAAAGCACTTGATGTGGCATTGCATGAAACTTCGCCACCTGGCAGATGAATCTCGTCCTCGTGACAGCTGATCGATTAGCAGAGAGGCACGTACGTCCTCCGTCTTCGACTATTGTTTATTAATAAAGTGAGCTGCTGACCATCCACTTGTATATGGAACGACTTGCCCACTGAGTTTTGCAAAATTCGAAACTCGTCGTTCGTCGTTTATGTGCTAGTGTGTTTCTGTATAAAAACGTTTCGGCCATTTCGTTTTTTTCGAGACAGCAAGTACATTTATTCATTCACCTGAGGAGCTCTTTTTACTACATTAAAACTTAACTCAGAACAGACAGCCATTATCGGTAGTCAGGAACATCCACGGAACATTTTTTCCAGATCTTCTGTAGCCCAACGCTTCCACGCCAAACGAGTTGTCTAACCACCCCTTCACCAGGAGTCTCGAATTTGCCACATCTACGTCTTAGACTGTACTATGGTTGCTAAGAAGGACTTACCATTACTACAACATGGAAGTTATCCTGCTACGAGTCCTACGGCCTCGTCCGTGTCATCGTCTTACTCTCGAGTGGCCTCCGAAGAGCTCATTGTGCCCCCTCCAGGCAGCTTCAATTCAGTCTATTACGGCGTCGATGCCTTCTCACCAACACTCGTGGATTTCTACACTGTGGATCAAAAGCGTATTGTCTGGTCTTCTCGTGCACACCGCAAGATGATGACGACGCTCTATCGTGCATGGCACAACAAGAAGTGGAAGATCTACTCGCTCAGTTTCTGGGCCGGTCTTTGTGCCATCGCGGCCTTTGCGCTCTTTATCACGGGCGCTATAGGCGAAGCCACGGCCCACGACGACGGCGGGTACAAGAAACCCACTCAACAAACGGACAATCAAGTTCATGCGTATGTGGACCTCCCGCTGCTACTGGCTGCTGTCTTTTTCCTTGCGTACCACGCTATTACATACCTGGAAGTCATCAATTGTTGCCATAACCTCGAAATCTGGCTGGAGGAGTATTTTCATGGCACGGAACCTGTTCTGGAACGTCAGTATGTGGGTTTCTTTCCCACTCGAATCGACTTTTGGACTGCTATCTTAGGCATGCTTGGATCGATGCTCTATGTCTTTGCTCGTGCGTACGTCTGGGTAAGAGCAGACATGGAAAATTTTGGAATAGTGGGCGTCGAACGCGATGACTTGAGCCTCATCGTAGGTTACTGGGTGCCTTTCTTCGCGGGATCGTTTTTCCTGCTACTCAGCGCCTACCTTGCACATGTCGAAGTCGTCCACCAGTGGTTTTCGTGCCGACTTACAACGCTCGAGACTTGGGTCACGGGTACGTTTGTCCTTCTTGTGCTAGTATTGATGAAAGACTTGTGCTAACTTTGAAGTGTTTGTTTTTCCTTGTGCAGGCTTGAACATGATGGCTATGGTTGGCTTCTTCTTATCATCGACTCTGCAGTTTATGGACCCTCTCTCGGTGTTGTTCTCATTCGAGGCGTGCGTGGTGCCCTTTGCATCGGGTTGTCTACTGGGCCTTGGATCTAGTGTACTCAGCCTCATGGAGCTAGAGAATATCCACAAACGCCACAAGCATCCGGAATATGGTCTCTACGCGTCTCCTGCCGGTTATGGGACTGCAAGTTATGGTTCGTTCAAACAGCAAGCATAAGCAGCAGTCACGACCGACCATTATTGATCTGCTGCTACTGTAGCAAACCAATACAACGTACATAGGCAGAGAGATAGGATTATATATGCTCTACGTCTTCATAACGCTTCATACACTGGCTTTAATTCTGATCCTGCGTCGTCCTAGTACGAATTCTCATTACATTAGTCAGTTAAAAGCACCCTAAGGAAGCGACCGCGGCTTTGAATGTCAGTATTCGTCGGATACGCAGCAACGGCCTTGTAAATTAGCAGTGCATGTGGTTTAACCACTGCAGCGTTTTCTTCTGTGAAAAGTGGGCATTTTGACATGAACTTCACGCTCACGCTCACAGATCATGACAAGCGACCAAAGTCGTACCGGTGTTGGAGCAGAAAACCAGCAGTGCCCAACAGCATCAAAAGACGTATGCAGTATCTGAAAACTCACAGCAATGGAATGCAACATGACGCAATGCATGACATCCATCTTCCTGCACCGTTTCATTGGCGATATTACGCTCCATAGCATTGACAATAGCTTTCATAGCTCCAGTTTTTCCTGCTGCTTCTTCATACATAGTCATTGCCTCATCCAGTAGCATTTTTACTAGATTTTTTTTCGAAAATTGTCATTATACGTAGTAAATATTTTTTGATTTCCATAATATTACGTCTTCCACATAAAATAGTCGCTTTTTGCAATCCTATAGCTCATTAATCAATTAAAGCCATGGGGAACAAACAGGCCAAGCAAACGCCTCCTTCATCGAGCGTCTTGCGCAATAATCCGTCCACTGGACCTGCTTCAACGACGTCTCTTCGTCCATCCCCCAATTCATCAACAACTCTTGCTCCTTCTAGTACTCGCACCTCGTCGGTGCCCTCTCCAATGCCTACGCCCTCGTTATTAGAGACCAAATTGGCCGAAGCAGACGTTTCGGCCGTTTTTTCGCAGTACGAAATGCTGTCGATTCGTAAACATTTGGCAGCAGTTTTATGTCAACACGAGAATGACGCGGTCGTGATTCCAAAAGACGAATTCTTTCGGTTCTTGGCAGGCGGCGATGGCAGCACTTCAAGTCTTTATGTAAAGCGTTTGTATGCGATCTTTGATATGGACAAGAAAGGACATGTACGGGAGAGAAACGATATGGATGGTGTTATGGAACGATATGTTGCCCTGAGTAGTCATTTCGATGGGTTTTGTTTTATGTTGTCTGTAGGTGACCTTTGAGGATCTGATGAAAGGCCTGTCGCTTCTGAGTCAGAAAGCGACGCGTGAACAAAAACTCATGCTGTCGTTCTATTTACTAGACCCTGAAGGCACGGGCTTTATCACGAAAAAAATGACGACCGAGTTATTGCACTCGTGTCTTGATGAATGTGATGGTGCGAAGTTATTGCTGGGTTTTTTTATGCTGATTCAACTGGTTGTGAGTTACGTTGACTGTGGTATATGCTGAGTATATAGAGTTGGAGATTTCTCTGTCTGAGACTCAACTGGCTCATATTGTGGACAACACTTTCCTTGATGCCGACTTGGACCACAATGGAGTTATTGATCTCAACGAGTATCAGGTACGTCTTGCTATTATTTTCTTGATGGAATTGTCATTCAGACTAAATGTGTCGATGGATTTGTGATCATGCTCTGCAGGCTCTGGATGCAAAGCACCCGGGATTGTTTGACTTTCTCACGGTGGATGCTTTCGGCGTGCTTAGTCACCTTGAAAAAGTTCACTCGATGAGCATCACGGTTCCTCAGTAAGTCAGAATAGCAGCTCAAATCGAGAGATGTTACAACGTGAAATTCATTTGCAAGCAATACTTCCCTTAGCTCACTCCGTGCTTCTAGTACAGCGATCCTTTCAAGCATTTTGGCATTGCAACGTGTATTTTTGTGTCAAAACTACTTCTTCGATGGCAGCACCACAGGTGTCATACCTGTAGTGCCGTACAGGGCAATGTACGCCTGCTGTTTCTTGATGAGGCTCGTTGAGATGGCGCTCTTCTTCACGCCAAAACCCCACTTCTCCTCGAACACAACGTTGGTAGCAGGGGTGGGTGCAGCCTCCTTCGGGGCAGGTGCAGCCTTCGCCACAGGAGCCGCCGGGACAGCTGGAGTGGTCACCGTCTTCTCCGCAGTCGGCACGTCCACCAAAGAGTCCTGAGAAATCACAGACTCTTGGGCTTTGGAGCTTCCGGATACATCCTCCGAGACCACGGGAGAAGCGGGGGGAGCAGCTGATGCGTCCTCCAGTTGAAAGTCCTTGAAAGCAGCGATCGACTCTTCCTCTTCACATACGACCATCATAGGCTGTCCCACCGGGATATTCTCTGCACCCTCCGGAATGAGAATCTTGGCCAAGAACATGTCGTCCGTGGCCTCATAGTCAACAACCGCTTTGTCCGTTTCAATCTCACATACAATATCACCGGCAGCAATCTCATCTCCCTCTTTCTTATTCCACTTGGCCATATTCCCCGTGTCCATCGTCGGAGACAGCGCTACAGAAAGAGAAGATATCGTTGACAATTCCTGCACTCGTTTGATATCAATGATACTTTATGATGAACGTACATGGCAAACCGATGACTTCATGAGGAGGATACGACGAAAACCTCCGCATGACACAAGAAATGACACGACGCGGAGCTGGCAGAGCAGTACGTAGAAGAAAAGCAGTGGTGCGAAGCATAGCAAAGGACTTTTCGGGGCGATTTGTGAAATGGTGTTTGTTGGATAGCGCAATGTATTGGTTGGTCCATGCTTCGACACATCCTATCCAGTAGCATATTGTTCACAACGAACGAATGACGACGACGCATTTGGCAGGCTTATTATCTACCTCGAGCGATTTTACTCCACCATTTCCCAGTCACTTCCATCTGCAGCTGTAGTGCTTGCATCAATTGACGAGTGTTTCTTGCCGTTACCTTCAATCGATGTCATTCCTGCAAGCACCGAAGCGGCATCTGCTTCGATCGTCGTAGACGCCTGTTTGTGCGACTTTAACTTGGACGGCGACGTTTTCGAATCGGCTGCTTCATTGATACTTGTTAAAGGCGTACGCTCCACCTTTGCCTTGCCGATGCAGTCCTTTGTGGCTTTATTTGCAGACTATCTTGGGATTGGGTGTTGGTTTCGGGTCACCTTTTCCATTGTGTTGGCCATCTTCAGCGGACAAAGACAATGGGGACTTCGATGCTCCTGTGCTGTTACATTCCGACTCCGCAGATGCAGTTGGCGACAAATGAAGCTCTGAGCTGTTCGTCATGGTGGTCAACTTGGTACCTTGGATGACAAGAGCTTGCAGTTGGCTGAATAGGCTCAATGCAGCAGCCAATTTGGCGCGTACAGCATCTGCATCCTCGCCTTGTGGAATACTGATCAATGTTTCAGTTATTTTCTCGCTTCTCTTACAAGAATCCTGCAGTAACCACAACGACGTACCTGTGTGCAGCAATACTTGTTGTTGCTGCTGTTGCCACGGACGTTGTGGCCTTCCGGTGCTTGTGTTTTCAAGTGGCAAGCATGAAAGCATAAGTCATTCATAGAATATGTTTGCACAGGGCTATGTGGTCACGCACCTCTTCTTCTCGCCTCGCAAGCTCAGTCCGGTATATCTTCAGCTCCTCTCGCAGAGACGAAATAGACTTTCGCAGTTCGTGTTGCTCACTCACATCAGTAGTGTTGCTAGCATTGGTATGAGCAGCAGCTATGTCTGCTTTGGCAGCCTTATCTTCTGCAGCAACGATCTTTTCTTCTGCTGCAGCCAGTAGCCCTAAAATCTCTGCACTTTCGTCCTTCGATACGCTAAGCCTCTCCTCCAGCTCAGCAATTTTTTCCTCGAATGCGGCTACATTCTTCTCCTTTGCACTCAAAATGTTGACTTTTCCCTTTAAAGCAGTGATCTCGTCTTGCATACTTGCGATCTTATCGCTGCATTCAGCTAGCTCCTCGTCCTTCATACTGAGAGCTGTGTGCAGCTTTTCGTTTTCGTTGGCAAAGGCGGCCATCTTCTCGCTGATCTCTTTTCGCTCCTCATAGTGTTCTGTGTCAACCTTTTGCTGGTACTTCTTCGTCGCTTCTTTAAGCATGGTAGTCATTTCTTGCGATTTTGTCTCGAGGACTGCCTTAAACGATTTCGTAAGTGATTGCTTGATCTTCAGTTCCATGGCTTTCTCTTTCGTAACCGCGTCTTCCTTCAGCTGAGCCGTCTTTTTTGCAGCTACTTCGAGGCTTTTTGTTGTTGCCTCCCTAATCTTTGCTTCCACATCTTTGTCTTTCGCGGCCAAATCTGTCTTAAGTTGAAAGTTCTCCGCTGTCGATGCCTTCAGCTTTACCATCAAGTCCAAATTTTCTTTCGCAAGTTTGTCCACTTGAGCCTGCACAGTTTGCTCCAACCCTTCTTTCAGACCTACTTGATCTTCTGTAGTCTTCAATTTGCTTTCTACAATCTTAAGCTGTTTGTTTGTACTCTCGAGCTCACTTTCGTCTTCGTAAGTTGCAACAGTATCGGCCGCATAATCCTCGTCCATTCGTTTACGCTTCCGATCCGACGGAGACGATAAATCTGCTGGTGAAGTCAAAAATTGTGTTGCCTCAAAAGGTTCGTCAGCAACGACTGCCATATCGACATTTTCTAGCCCTTCATTCCTTTTACGTTCTGGAGAGACTGGCAGGAAAGAATCATGGACTCTGCTATCGAAAAGTAAAAGAGTCAACACCGTAGCAGCTCGAAAAAACAGTGCTACAGAAGTACGTACTTGAGAAACTCAAACTTGTAAGCCATCGGAGTAACACCTAAATCAACAAATCAATTACAACATTAAACTAACAACAAAATCGATACAGCAAATTATCACTTATCTCTGGATATACAATACCTGCTGGTGTTGTACCAGGTTTTGTAAAATGGACGGTAAATCCACTATCCAATTGCATCGAAGCTCCTTTACCTAAGCGGTCTGCATTGACCCAAATCCCATTTCGACTGCAAGAAGAAAATGAGGCCATTGTCCATAACGTTTTGTACCCAAAATATCCCCAAAATGTACCCAAAAAAAACAACACGAACCTATTATCTTCGAGCTTGACAATGGGTTTGCCATAATCGTCTGTACCGTCCAACCGAACGACACAATGCTGTCAAAAATATATCAACAGACAATCTCGTTAAGTGTCAAAAACCATATAAAATATTAATTAATTTGTCAAAAATACATAAATAATAATTATCCGTACAATACTACTGATGAAAAGTTTATTAATCACGAGATCACAGCGACGTTTATTGCGACCGATTGTTGTTACTTTATTAGTAAAATAAATATGATCACTATCTTCTGCTGGGTCCTTCGATACGAGTGTAAATCGTCCCCAAGGCTTTGAATTATCCTCTTGCGTTGCCGTCATGACCAGCAGATTATCGATATTTTCGAATGGTAAATGAGAATTTTGACGTCATTTTGGACCAATAATTATTGACGTGTCACCAATTAATTGTCGGAATATATATATCACCCATTACAATAATTGTTAGTTAACTTTTTGACCGATACATGGGGCCAATTGTTATTGTCAATGTTTTTTTGGACATGTCGGAATCGATTAAACTCGAGTCGTATTCAAGAATGTCGTCTAGCTACGGAAGGAGCGCGAAAACTGTTCACGAGCTGAAGCAAACGCCTATAAACATAACAAAAGGTACCACAACGTGAACAAAAGCAGCTTGCAAAAATCATTGCTTGGCTCTTGCATAGCTCACCTGTGAAATGGTGAGTTCTGCCATTGGGACTTCATTGTCGATACCCTGCGCAGTAGACACAAGTCAAACCACTTGATCAGTATAATACATTTACAGGTCAAACAATGGCAAAGAACCAAGTTCGTACGCGCATGAGCACGCGGTTCGAGATTGACGGCGTATCAGTCTCCAGGATGATACTGTAAGAATAACAAAGTGCATCCTTAGCCATCAGGACAAGAACCATAGAGAGCATTAAAAAGACCTTGTAAATCTTACCCGCCATCGACAATCTCGTCAAACGTAAGTAGCACCAACTCGATGTTGTCCAACATCACATGACGATCCATCCGTCCCCTACAGTAATAGCCAGCAATAGTTCATTGTCAGGGTCACGATGTACCAACAACACCACCAATAACTATCAACAACATACGCGAGCAAATTGCTAACAGTGTCAAAGGCTGCGTCCAAGACAGTCAACAAGATAAGCTCGTTCTACCACAAAACACACACACATACATGACAAGACGACTCATGAGCTCTTCAAAACATCTCGTATCAATAGCCTCATTTGACTCCTCACTCACCTCTGAAGCAGAGCCAATCACGTGCATCGTAGTGTCGGATCCACAACGGTAAACACTCACGACATTCTCAATGAGAATAATGTCGGCTGAACAAATACCTGACGTCAGTCGTCCATCTTTTTCATTTCGCCGCAATAAAAAAAACACTCGCACCTTCGAGACGAGCATTCAAGCTCTTTGTCTTGATAAAAAGCTTCTTCTCTAGCTCCAGCTGTTCTTTTTCTGTTGGGTACGACTTGTCATAGTATTTGGCACACACACGATTACCATCACTGTCCAGAAGAAAGATCGCTTTTACGCTTGGAGACGATGTCTATAGAGCGTCCAAATCAGTCAAATGGTTAGATACGTCTAAAGGTTACATGATAAGACTATCGATAGTGTCAAAAACATGCAGATATGTGTTATCTAGACGTATAGAATACAACAATTCCGACCTTCACCATATTGATTACAAGTAGAGGAGAATTCAATAATTTGGCTAGGTGGAATGATCCGATTGGTCAAAAGTTGGACAGCGATTTCATAGTTTATACTTTCTTATAAAGTGTCCTGCTTCATTCTCATCGTGTGGCTTACCTGAATCTGTGTTAGTTACACCACACGAATATCCTGCGGCTGGTCGGGATTAAACACCGGGCGTTGCTCGATCGAGTTGTTGATAAAGGTATTGTGGCGTTGGACATCATAATTACCCTGATCCAGCACATCAATCAGCGCGGGGTAATTGTGGTTAAATACCGTGTAATTCTCTGCGCGTGTATGTGTCGACAATGCAAAAATGCGCGACATTTTCTGCTGAAATCGAAACTTATAAGGTTTCGGCGGCAAGGCAGAGACGCCTTCCGGGTCTTTACGCTTGATAAACGTCTTGTAGAATCGCTCCAGTTTCTTTTCCAATGTCCTGAATACATTTGCAACATCATACAATTGTCATCATCATTATCATCATCATCATCAACAATCACAACAACATCTTCCTCTAAAGTTACGCACCACTGCTGGAGAAAGTCAATAATACCGAAATGGTAGAGCGATGGACCCGCTACACTCGTCGCGGGTTGCGTGAAGAGCAGATCACGACGAGCTTGCGGTAATTGACTCGTATCAACAAAGTACTCTGAGCTTTGAATGCCCATAAGTAGACTGTAATCCATTATGCCCTGAGAACACAAGAAATCGCTGTCGCGGTGGATTTGATCGTAGATGCGGTGTGCGGTGGCAGGCGCGATTCGAATCTGAGCCATGAAAATGAGATATCAGTCAGCCACATTACACAGAAAGCTGTGAGAACGAAGCACAAGAGCGTACCTTGGTCATCAAGTCATTATCCTTGAGGACAATATCGGGTTCGTGAAAGTTCATGCCATCTCCACATTCCTGGTTCTTTGTGCTGCCAAACGTATACGAAGCGTTGCAGTAACGACATGCAGTTTTGTCACCGAAACTCGGCACCTTTGCATTACGATCAACCCATGATCCTTTGATATCGTAACGATGGTGCACAACATCTGTGTCTGAAAACAGATTTCCCATGACCACAAAGTAGTACATCTTTCCGTATAGCGAGACAGAGTGACAGCCATAGAAGCGCGTCAAAAGAGTATCAGGGTTGCTGGTCATGTAAGCTTCATAATTTGGTGCCATCTTGCGCAAGAACGCACACTCTTCTGGTGACATGGTCTTCACGATCAAACTCTCGTCTGACGTGTAGAACATGAAAGCTCCGCTGCGACCTTCACTAAACCGTTCCTTCGTGGTGGCGCCAAACATTTCAATGTAGTCAGCATCACTAATTCCAAACGTCAGACGGATGTTGCGGAACGAAGCGGGGCAGAACGACCAGAACTTGATGGACTTGCCCTATGAATGAAATGTCACCAAACACAGTTAGCAACTCATCCGGTTTCATGCAACTACTTTTAACAACAAAGCAGAGCGTACCGCATCGCTTTCGCCTGAGATAGGGATAGAGATCAGCTCGTCAGTCACCGCGCGAACGGATTCCTTGATGCCAGACGTAGTGTAGTACAAAATCTCCGAGCGCAGTGCTGTGTTTACCTGCGGGCTCAAATCGACGTCCACATCTGCTGATGCATTACGTCCGTTTCCGCCCTTTCTTTCAATGTTGTTTACAGCAAACCAAATCACATAGTCCAAGTAGCCCTTGGACGAAATGAGAAAGATAACAAGCTGACGAAGCACCTGCGCGACGGCCTTTGAGTTTGACGTCTCGCTCTTCGTCGACAAGAAATAGGCGCACATGTACAGTAGCAGCAGGAGCAGCCAGTAGAACACGTAAGCACCGGTAAAACTGCGAGTCAGAAGAATGACATAACGCCGGAGCTGATTAGTTACGAGTGTGCTTGCATACAAGTTTCCAAATGGCAACGAATGATCTCACAAAGAAATGTAGTTCAACACACGAAGGCGAATGTTGTACGTCTTGGGAACGCCGCGGAGGTACAGTCGGTGCCAAGCCAAAGTTAAGACGCTGTTGCACAATAAGCCGTGGTGTTAGATAAGCACAGACGCACTCAATTCCGACACAGTGAGAGCCTTACCACACAGACACAAACAGCACCAGCAGGACAAAACAGTAAATCAGTATCCAGGGCCTGCAAAATAATAATAAACATTCCCCACAAATCGTAAATGCCGGGTTGCTAGAATTAGGAGGAAAAGTCCGTGACCATCGACTTACCATTTCTGCGCGTTCAAGAAGCTGGAGGTAGTTGAGCATTTTGTCACAGTTTCCGGACAAATTTCGCCAGAATCACAGCAAATTCGCGATGAAGCAAGACAAAAACCGATAACCGTGTCTGTGTCGGATTCATACGTCATTGACTGGCCGTCGACGGTAAAGAAGCCACCTGCACCTTGTACCGAGTAGGTAATCACGCCCATTATGATACCTCCCAGCCATACCCAAAGATGGTAGAACTTCATTAACCGCTTGTAGCTCGTGAATGGACTCGTAAGCTAAACAAATACAACACCTAACGTCAGAAAGGAATCGTCGTAATAGCAACAAACAGGATGCAGCAGTTGTGCACAGTACGAACCGAAAAGAAGAGATCGCAAGCCATGACAAGTCCCCACGCCTCGCCCGTAAAGAAAAAAAACTCCGTGATACCTGCGAGTCGCTGACAGTTTGTGTTGGAGCCACTCGGGTCAAAGTCCACGAGCACGTTCAACAGCAAGCATACAGCCATGAAAATACTCAGCACCGAGCGGTTATGCACGATAGGATTTGGATGCTGATGCCATTGTTTCTTGCGACAATACGTGATTACAACAGCAGAGCCACAGATAATCGTGTTCACTGATCCAGCAATAAGTCCCGTCCATCGGTAATTGTACATTGCAACAGAGACACCTAAGAATGCCATCGTTAGACAGAATCCAAGAAGCTGCGACTTTCGATTTTCAAACCAGCGAATACGTTCTTGTCCCACGTAATTCGAACGACCACGAAACTGCTGCGTCATGTCCTTATCGATCACTCGAACAATGTTCTTTTGCGTCGATCGTAGTGTAGAAATCAGTGGCTGCCGTGCGGTAGTGCTCATGTTATTGCTCAGACTCATTGATTCAATACCGTTGCTACTCGAGCTGCTGATAGTGCTGCCATTATCCATCGTACCAAAACCCTCAGTGACTTCTCCACGTGTGCCAACACGCTGTCGAAAGGATTCATGTTGTTCCACAGATGGCAATTGACGCATTTGAGAACTTCGTCCGTTCGGTGCTGTCTCTCTTTCCTGTGGGGTCTCCATAACGTAAACGCCATTAGACATGGGACTAAATGTACTCATGTAATTATAATCTTCCAGCACAGGCGTGCCACGGTGATGTTGTAAGCGGCTAGTGACCGATTGAGAGCGACCCGTGGTAGATTGCGAGCGGCTAGTGACAGATTGAGAGCGGTTCGTGACAGATTGCGAGCGGTTCGTGACAGATTGCGAGCGGTTCGTGACGGATTGCGAGCGGTTCGATAGAATTTCTGTACCAGGCAGTCTTGACATTTAATCTTCTTCCACTTGGAGAGAGTTCTTTCTGCTCGACGTCAGCAGCAGACAAGAGTCGACTAAAGACGTTTTAATTTCTCAACAGTCGGCACAATGTCGCTCGCTACTCACGGATATAAATTTCTATAATGTCTCCTATTGAATCAGAATGACGCGCCTGGAAACTCACTCTCGGTGGCGGACGGTTGCAAATATAAAACTGACTGCTTGTACGGTACTTTTTGGCTATGGTGTAGGGAGAGGGTTTTGACAAACGGTGGTACCATGGCTTACAAATAATAAGTAGAACAGGAAAGTCGAAAGACCCAACGAATTTATCGAATTCACTGACTCTTTTGGTTGCAATATCAAAGTTCAAATTTTAGCTTTAAAGTCAACTATCCTTAGAAACGATCAAGCCAATGGCGAATAGTTACAGTGGGATATTATACGGATCATACTTAAGTATCAAGTTCATTGCCAGTACGTTTGTGGAATAGTGTTGACTCTATTATCTCGGTCGATAATGTGACGTCACAATGTCCACGCTTAGTGTCCTAGATCGACGTGATCAAGTACCGTAAACCTGATATCCTACTGTTACTATACTAAATCGTATACAAATCTTACAATATCAACCCCTTCCATATCAAAAAAAACATATTGGAATCATGTCCATCACAATTCAATTTACTCCCCCCCCCCCCCTCTGATCCTATTCCTTTTTTTCCCCTTAGAAATGTCTCCTCCTTCTGCATCGAATGGCAAGAAAGTCGGTGTACGCGATCTATTAAATGGTGGTCTATTGCAATGTATAGAAGCTGCAACATTGGGGATGCCCTTTGAGGTCTGGAAAACACGCATGGGTCGCTATCGTTCCGAATCGACACTACAGGCCTTTCGTAATGTCATGCAAGAAGGTGGTGGTATTTCTGCATTCTGGGCTGGTACTGGTCCAAAGATGGTGGAGTCAGCATCCAAGGGTGCTATCCTTCTCTTCTCTAAGGAGGCCATCTCGGACTCACTGCTGTCTGCAGGCGTTGGTAAGACGGCAACGGGGTTCCTTGCTGGTGCCGGTGGTGGTGTTTGTCAGGTTGTGGTCATGGGCCCTTGCACTTTCTTGGTCACTGGTGCTGTCACGGGTGATCGTTCCATCTCTACGATGCAACGTATCCACAATGTCTACGGTGCTCATGGCCTTAAGGGATTCTACCCGGGAGGAACTGCTATTGCCTTCCGTCAGGCTACCAATTGGGCATCACGTCAGGGCTTTACGGAGATTGTACGCGGTCAATTCAAGGTATTGTTTCATGGGGATAAGGATGCCAAGCTGTCGGTAGCCCAGGAAGCTAGTGCCGGTATTGTTGGTGGCGCTTTGGCTTGCTGGAATCACCCTTTCGAGGTAGCACGCATCCAGATGCAAAGCGCTGCGGACCGTGGTGAACCCAAGCAGAACATGATGCAGGTCTTTCGCACGGTTATCAAGGAGCAAGGCTATGGTGGCCTCTTTAAAGGCATTGTGCCACGTCTGGGTCTCGGCATTTGGCAGACGCTCTTCATGGTCACGGGCGCGAAGCTCGTGCGACAAGCGTTAGAGGACAAGAAATAAAGCGGAACCCGTGCAGTGTTATCTTGCTAAGCATGGCAATGCACTCATACGGCCAGACCAACTAATGAATCGACTGCTTGACCGTTACTGTATTTTCAGTGTTGCTACATGTCTGAATGAAGCAACTCACGTAAGCACATAGTCGCAAAACATCCACTGTCAAGAGAGAACGAGAGCTGCAGTAAGAGCGCTACAAGAAGAAGTACATTTGAGGTTCAGTAAGACATGGCATAGCAATGAAAGAAACAGCAGCACGTACACTCGTCTTGGTCTTGTTGCCAAGCCCATTCCAGGTCATGCGGGTACGCAACCAGAGATCGGTAGGCACCTTTTAGCGTCCCCGACTCCAAGAGAGCTTTTTTCGTGCCATCTTGCTCCATGATCTAGAGTGTAAAGCAGCACAGCATATCGCATTCAATCAACTTTACACGACTTGCACGTACTTGATAACAAGCGCAAACCTCAATACACGCGTCCTTTGTTGCGTTAGATGGGAACAACACGTTCGTTCCAGCCAGCGGTAGCAAAACTAGTCCCAGCGCCTGTTTACAAGTCTTGTTCAGCTCATTTGCTTCATCCGCAGTGACTGCTTTCACTGCTCTCCCATTTTGGCTATCGCACTGAATCAGATCACCTTCCACAACCTTGGTTCCGTAGTGACGCAGACGAAATGACGCCATCTGATTGAAAAGTAAGCTTTGATACGCATGCATGTACATCACACGACGCGAAAATGCCACGGTTCCAACAGCTTGCTCGAATGCGTCACTTCCGTGCCGCTTTAATCCTTGAAGCACTTGATGTTCTATGGACATGCCGTGCGGCAAAACCTTGAGAGCAGTTTCAACATCACCCGACTCAAGATAAAGCCGTTTTGCTCTGCCAGTAGCCTCGAAATCTTCGTCTTTGATTGCTAAGATAAGTCTCAGAGCTTCTTCCCATTTGTTAGCAATCATCTTCTCCCCAATATGATGAGCCCTCGCCATACTCGTCGGCAGACCAACGCGTTGGAAGCCAAAGTAATTGATAAAGCCTTGATGCTCAATATTGTTTAGTGCAGACTCGAGCGTCGACCGAATAATCTCTGAAGTGCACTGCGAGTCGGAAGAAAGTCTTCGGATCGTGATTATAAACCTGTTTCCATTTGCTCCACCTAGTGACATCGGACTTTCGACATACGTAAGATTTCCCACTCGAATGGCCGCTGTCGCATTGTCTTCAGACGTATTGACGCTTAAAAGCCGATCAGACTCGATTCCACTGACTACAACGTGCTGGAATGTAATAGCTCTCTTGTCTTTCGTGCCTGCGTATGAAAATGCCGAGACTGGGCGACAAAGTCTGCGAGCTAATGTATCAAAAGCCGAGAAATGTTCGTGGTCGGTCTACAGGCATCCAAGAAACGAAAAGTGAAGAATGAAAAGGAAGGAAGGAGTGCAGCAACTACCACGAGAGGATCTCACCTTTTGCAGCACAAATCGAAGATACACTTGGGGCTGAGAGTGCTTACGCTTCTTATGGCTCTTTGGTAAAAAGTATACAACCAGGTGCTGCATACCATTTCGGGCTTCCGCCTTGGTTTTAAAGCACGCCGAGGTCTTGGCAATCAAACGATGCAGCATCGTTCGAGCTTCTTTTGTGTCCTCATGCTCAAGCTCGAGTCCTGTACTCACATTATTGTCAGCAGCAGGTTCCACTAAGAAAGTATAAGTCAATTCTGTCATACCTTTCGATGCCGCTGGATCATTTGCTCCTTTTCGAAGAAACGTAAGTAGACGATCACAATTCTCCAGCGTCATTCCTCCTTCTCGAAATTTCTTGTAGACAGGGTCGAATACCACCTGAATCTGCTGTGTCGTACAATCCTCCGATGAGGACACCTTGTGCATCTTGCAGTCCAGTCCTGGAAAGCAATTCTGACCAAAGGTAAGCAGTCTTCAATCAAGCAAGCCACAAACCAGAGAGCTACGTAGCATACTTGGATACAGACTTGGAGATACACTCGCTTCTGAAAATCCGTGGGCGATGCAATCACAGCATCCTCAGTCCTGCCAATTGCCACACTCTCAACATCTTCAAAGCTTTTAGCGCCAATCAACTCCATCAGCGTTCGTTGCCAGCCATTCTCAGGCTCATCAAATTGAATCCTCGTCTTCTTTTCCTTCTGTTGCGTTGCTTTCAGCTTCTTTATGATAGCTTCATATTCACTTTTCGTTGGCAGGCAGTCCTTTTTCTCATTGAAATTCACCACTTGACCCGTTGCACTGATCTCGTGCACCCTAAAGTCCTCAGGCCTGCCATGTCCATCAACACAATTCCATCAGTGACGTTCTTCTTACTCACTCTTTCCACCACGTACTTTGTTTTAATGTAACCGCGTACAATCAAGCGTCCTTTACAATTATCTACAAACTCTGTCATTCCAACGACACTGCCATCCAAGACTTTTGCTTTGTCTACCATTGTAGAATGAATGGTGGTCATGGAAGCAACAGAATGTCACAAAGCACACAGGAGATTCTGTACAGTACAATAACGAATCTGATCGCCCCAGTAACAAAGAACGACGGCTCTGTTTGTTGATGGTAGTATAAATGGCGTTCGTGTCGCTAATGTGGTGATAGACTCAGCATAGCGACAATCGCTTACAAAGATAGGTATTGGCTGTGCAGCTATTGTTCTTGCTGGAGGGTGTTGATCAACTCGGTCGATTGATCGTCTCCAATGCATACTCTACCCCTTGTAGAGTACGTCTCCCGAGTAGCAAATCTGGTTTCTACCACGTATCAAAACGAAAGAGGTTCATCAACATCATCATCTTGGACAAGCCATGGGTGGCTTAGGGCATCTGCAATCGTTATCCGCTGCTCTGGATTCTTCTCGAGCAGTCGATGCAGCAAGTCTTGGCCTTCAGGACAGAGTGGTATCTCTCGGCCAGACTCTTCAGGACCAGGCAGGATAATCTCTGCGCGGATAATCTCATCAAAGAGTTCTTGTGTACTCTCGGATGAAAATGGCAGACTCCCGAACAAGAAAATGTAGAAAACAACACCGACAGCCCAAATATCCGCTTTGAATGGGTCATAAGGCTCACCAGAGCAACACTCCGGTGCCGAGAATTGGTAGGTTCCAACTGTGTCCGACAGAAGCACTGGTTCAGCATTGGCATGTGTTGCCCCAGTCACTCCTCCATCCTCCGTGACGTCACTGAACGCTTTTGCACAACCAAAGTCAGTAATCTGACAGTGTCCCGAGTCGTTCAGTAGCACGTTGTCTGGCTAAACAAATCAAAATGAATCAGTACTACGCAGTACAGCGTCAAATGCTGCACTCTATCAACTCACCTTAATGTCACGATGACAAATTCGTCGTTGATGCAAATACTGCAGACCAAGCAGGATGTCCGACAAGTAACGCCGTGCCAGCTCTTCCGGCAATGTGCCACCCGTGACACGACTGTAAAAGTCCTTTGTATCCGGTCGAAAGACCATACATGGACCATAAGCCATGTATTCAAGCACCAGGTAGACTTTATCACTGTCATCTGCCGTGATCACTTCAAACAACAACACAATGTTGCGATGATACAGCGAGCGCATTATCTCAATCTCCTCGTACACACGATCCATAGCTGTCACTGCACGCATCATCCTAGGTGCTGCATTTTCTTCAGCATTATCACCTCGTTCTTCTCCCACTGCAGACTCCACGTGATAATCTTTAAGTCGATGTAGCATCTTCTTGGAGAAAATCTTCATTGCAAACAGCCGCGTCTTAGGTGGTAAAGATACCGGTGGAGATACTGGCGCTAGTGCAGCATCACCATTGTCCTTAGTATCAACAGAGGCAGCAGTTTCAACTTCGTTGGTACTAGTAGAGCTTGGTATTTCGCGATTCGAGAGTCTTTCGCAGAGCTTTACTTTGCCAAATCGACCCTGACCCAACGTATGCAGTAGTTGGTAGTTGTTCACAAACTTTTCACCCATTTCCGTCTTCCTCTTCGTTACGTAATGCGTCTCTGCGATATTCCATCGACGTGCTTTAGTGCTTGTCATGCTATAATCAAAATGGATCACACTCTTTTTGGAGATATAAATACCATACTAAAACCGGTAGATCCTTTGTTGTTCATCATGCTCCATCGACGACAAGTCGTCAACTCTGTGTTTATATTGTTTAGCATGACACTTTTTTGATCACCGTGACCTTCATTGCAAGTTTAAGCACCATATTTAGGTGCACATCCGAGACGGAATGCCATTTCTTTCATAAAAACGCGTGCGTCCATTGCTCCGTATCCGCCAAGCTTGTCAATTTCTGTTTCGTCAAACGTCTGCACGGCATCACGACGTGTCTGATCCTGGTAGAAACTAACAAACATGAGGCGCTGTAGAGCTCTCTCTTCCTTCTGTTCTGGATACTTGTGGTCCCATTTCTGATAGCTCTGCTGGGGTCGAAGAGGATGAGGATCCAACAGCTTAGACACATGTTGGCTCGCAGTTTTCACAATGGAAACAAAGAACTTGCTGCTGCCGTCTGCTTGTTGTTGCGTTGCCAGCTCTGACACAAGCGAATAGATCCAGGAATCAGCAGGTAGTGACGAGTTCTTGGCCACCTGAACATGCACAAAGGCCAGAACCTTGGCAATCTCTGGGTCAGCCAGCAATGAAATGATCTGATTTTTCGTGTCAATTTCATGCTCGGAGACTTGATGCACCGACATCACTCCTGCATTCTTGGCAACTTGAAGAGCGGAATCCGACGTACTGTAAAAGTAAATTGGCAGCTCCAAGGCTCTGTGGTGGTATTACAAACATAACGGTCGGTTTAAGTAGATATTAACAAATACTGAAACGATATTTCTTGACTCACGCTTCTCCTTGACCTCCTAACAAAGCCAGCAAGTCGTTAGTCTTCGGGTCTGTCAAAATGAGAAAGCCGTTACAACCACGTGCTGCTACATCATTAAACGCAAATGAGTTAGTATCTCCCTCGCCGTCTACAAAGACGACAAGGATCTTATGCGCAAGGTGATGAGATGCCATTTGCTTCAAAATGGTCAAAATGGTCACAATGGCTTAATTAATTGGTCAATTGAATACAGTAAAACTGGTTTTATATACTTACCGGTATAAGAATGTCTTGTACCGGTAGGTCCATACCGGTAATGGCTACATCTGCTCATCAAAGTATCAAATGTCGCTCAAGCATCTCAAGTTGATCACTATCAAGCGAAACTCGTCGCTCTTAGAAGGCTACAAGCTGTTTCCCATTGCAGATAAATGGGCAGAATTGTTACCTGAACGTGTACCACTTCAATTCTCGCTCTTTCGGTACGTAAGAGGCATCTCATGGGGTCGTTTTACTCTTTAAAATGAATAATAATGTTCTCGAATGTATCAATTCATCTCTTGTCTCTCTAGTTACTTGGGTTTCTACGTTGCATGCACTAAAAATGGTAAATCAAGTGTCGTCAAGTCTCGTGCAGTGTCGGCATTACGTGTGACGATCCAGAATGAGGACAAGGTCGTATTTAATGAGAGAGTAAGCACTGCTTTTCCTAATGGTGTCTACTACGTTCAAGACATTCGTCTCGAGAACGCTGGTGTACATACAGTGTGTGTGACGGTAGAGGGGAAATTGGCAGATGATTTAGCACCACTTGTGCTTAAGACGCAAGTGTTTGAGTTCATGGAGCTACATGAGTGTCCGGACTTGATGAAAGGTGCTTACCAACCACTGCGAGACTTTGTACTCGAGTGCATCAAGAATGGACATCGCGAACAATTACGCAATGACTCTTTCCTTGAGTCTTACGTACGTACGAAGAAACACTCTTTGCGTAACATTGATGCAAAGGTGCGTGCTGTTGATGATAGGGTATGTAACGTCATGAGTTGTAATGGGGATTATTTGTCTTGTGGTGGTTGGTTGGTTTAGTGGTGGTTGAAAGCGTTTGTTGAACATACTCTGGATCGCGAAGAACGTCAGCGACTCCTACAGATTAATGCTACGGTCTGTCATTCAACCTCGGATTGCTTGTCATGATTTTGTGAGCTGGTCAAGCTTTATTGTACTTACCTGATGGCGTGTTTTCTTCGTTACTTGCAGATGCATTCTTGCCGAACTACACACAAGCGCAAGCAGGCCCACCCTAGTGAGTTGCCTGTACTGAACTGGTTCATTCTTCTCAACTGATACCTTTATTTGTTATTGCCTTATAAGGCCGCACGGCAGATAAAAAGGAGCACGACAATTTGTTTGCACGTCGAAAACGTGACTGGAAGCGCGTACGTGCCGGGGACATGCGCATGTTTACGACAGAACCACTATACGGTGAGGAACGGAGCGAGTAGTATGCAAGTAGATTGGCTGTAACTGATAGTTCGTTTATATTATCTTAGCGGGGGCGACTACTACGGTATACAGCAGCAAGGAAATGTTTCGCCAGCTAAGTCTCTACGCGCAAGTCTAACTGGGTCCTGTGCACTAGCATACCAGCAAACAGGCCGAGTGTATGTCTACAAATTACTTATCCACTCACTTGTCGGATTAATCAGAAGAAAATGGCACGGAAATCGTGAACTCAAGCGACGGTGCGATCGGCATCTTGTCCGGGTCTTCAAAGGCTGCTTCGTAGTATTCCCATAATACCAACACGTATTGCGATAGCGCGCGCTCAGCATAAGACTCCAACTCACGAGAGAAGTATCGTTTTCCAGGTGCATGCAGATGCTTGCCCTTCATTTGCTCGGCAATCATTTTGAAATTCGCATCGAGCTTGCTTGCAATAGAAAGGTCCACAGATAATTCTTCATCGACGAGGCTGTCTCGAAAGACGGCATCGCCACCGTTGCGGGTGCGTTTCAATCGTGCACTCGAGTCCCAGTTCGTGAGACGTTGAAGCGCTTTCTTACCCACAGCTGCTTTCTTCACTGGATCCATCTCGCTGTCCGCAGGCTGCAACATGGCCTGAGCCAATTCGCTCAATTGGCTTAAGTAACTGAGTGCAGGCGATGATGCCGACAAAATACCGTTAAATCTGGATGTCGGACCGGCTTCAAAAAATGGAGTCTGGGCAAGCAAAATTCGGTCAGATGCACTGGGTAGATCTAGCCGGTTCGAAGCCGATGTCTTGAACACGATCATGTAGCAGAAGATCTTTCGAATCTGCACAGTGTACCAACAGCATAACAGCAGCAAAACGTGAGTAGCGAACACGATAAACTATCAAACCAGCAAATACGACTTACCTCTTCGTTCCAATGCAGAAAGAAATGGAAGAAATTTTCGCGTAGGATCAGTTCCGCGACGAGGCGCTTGCGGGCAGTAGTTGGCAACAAGTCGATGCAGTTGTAAATGCACGTAAGCACTTTCAGAACCGTTTGTACATGCGAGGACTGTAGGGCGCTGCGCATGCTTCTCAAAAAGTAATCTCCATCAAATGCTGCTCCAAGGCAGTGACGGACACGACCGCCACATTTCCCAATGGATGACCCAGCTTCCGTTGCAGCAGGCAATGCGGCCATTGAAGCTACCTCGAGCATTCGTTGCAAGATTCCAAACGAGTAATTAACACTCGTAGGGTCAAGGATGTTGGTGCTTTCTAAGATGATCTGCATAAATACATTCACCAGCGCTTCGTTTTTCAGTATCTCATTGCCTGCGTCTAGCACCACGTCGATTTCGCTATCCTTCCAATAGTCTTCCCAGGGATCGCTTGACTTGCCCTCGATAATGGAAAGAATGCGATTCACTGATGGCAAAGATGAAGAGCTCGTATTTCGCGCACGCCGTTGGCACATGCGCTGGAAGACGACCACATACATACGTACGAGCGCAAAATAGCCGGGAACGCAATGCCACAAAATTCGGCCATCTGCATAGCGATGATTACACCAACTGCTCACATCACTCAGCACGGCGGCCACGAAAGTCACACCCATGAGATCATCCCTTCCAGGTGATTTCACTCGTTCGATAAATAGATCAAGTCCTGCTTCAATCTTGTCGTGACTTGTCACCCCTAGTTTCACAAACGCGTCGTTTTGCAACTTGTGTCCGATGTACAGCAAAGGAAGCTGGTAAATAAAAGTCACTTCTTGCTCCTCTCCGACGCGGTTTATTCCCTGCTGAAACACAGCCTCTAGAGTGGCGGCAACAGATTTGTCGCTAGAACCTTTTTTCAACAAATCCTGTGGAATGCCTGGTGTACTTCCACCTTTTACAGGTACCACCAGTCGACCTGTACCCCGATTCAACTTGTATTTTGAAAATGACGAGAAAATCTCGAGTTGCAAGTCGACGCCACTAATACGATCAGGCCGACATTTTGATTCTACAATAACAAGCATTTCAAACATGGAACAAAACAGTCAGCATTCAGTCTAGCCCCGAAAATCAAGAATATGTTACCTGAAATATCATTCCAGTGACGACGATACTGCCGAGGGCTGCGCAAACTGACAGTGCTACTCTCGCAATTCCGACGTTTTGCTTTGGCAAAACGAGCACTACTTTTCACTCCATTCGAGTTTCCATTCCACCCATCACCGGTTCCATAATTCGCACCTTGGTTATCACTAGCTTCTCCTGCTCCCTCTATTTTTTCTGTGCATTGCAACACAGCTTCCAGTAACTTGGGCGTAGCAAAAGGAAAGCGGAAGTACACGGCAGTGTATATATGTGCAACAAAAAACCGGTATTCTTGTGCCATAAAGCGAGATTTGCGGATCTTGACCGAGCAAAAGTGCACACTTCGTTCCAATAAACGAAGATATCGTTTCGATACGAGCGAGTCCAAATGCACTTGCTGTCCATCGAGTGGATATCCCTCAAGAAATTCCACACGACGACAGATGTATACTGCTGCCTGTAGATATAGTGCTCGACAACGATTACGCACAGGCACGTGATCAACCATATCCATCAAATAGTCCCTAAAAACACATGCACACAAACCACAATATTGTAAGAAAAACACGTTCAAAAGCTTAAAATGTTGCAGTATTTCTTTACCTACCACAAATCAAGCAGCACCGTTTGTCCCACATGTAACGGTAAGATTTTGTTAAAGTACGAATGGTAAGTAAGTTTCCGGTCCCCTGAAGTTCCAGCGCTTCCTCCATTCGAAGCTTCAGCAGCTGCAGCTGTGCCAAAATCCAAGTAAAAGAAAAACGGACGTCGTAGTAAATCCAGCATTTCCACGAGTGCAAGCATTTTCTTCTCTAGACTCCATCCATTTAGCTCTGTAGATCGCCCAGCTCCATTAAGGACCATAGACTGAGTTGGACGCATACTGCCATTATTCGAGATGGTCGGACCTCCTGGAACGGCTGTAATCTCACGATTTTTAGCAATGCTCTTTAACTGCTGATAGAGCTGTGCATTAAAAACTAGTCGAGCTTTTTCTGGATAACCAGTGGTACGATAGAGTGTCGCGTCGGTCATTAGAGGCAAAACTTACACTGTCTTGCTTTGGGTGGAAGGGGTGCTATTTTTAGTCTTTTGTGTAAAAACCTATTTTTTGTAATTAGCACGAGTTGTCTATACCATGTATTAGTATTGCGGTAATTTAAATAGTAGCTACATACTGTACACACTAGCGTAACTGTATGGGACAAAGTTACTCGACCAGTCTGGCGGAAAACGAACTTTACGTAACGCTTTACTATCGCGTTGCACGAAAAACCGAACTTACGCTATTAGATAATAATGTATATACTGAACGCCGTCCAAATGAAGTCCACAACGTAAAGCTTTCGTTGCATGGTATTAAATAGATTCTAAACCGAATAAAGCGGAGTCTTGCGTCTGTCAAGGGAGGACTGACTCCCTTCCATGAGCTAAATAAGTTGATGCACGAGTCCAATGCATTCGACCTAGTGTGTGCAACCTACTGCCCCGATCATTCATCTTACTCGCTCCAAAACTCCGAGAGATTTTCCTGTGGGATCTTGCGTGACGCGCGCAGGACGAGCATCTCTTCGCGCATGGACTCGGACACTGCATCACATTTGCGGTCCATATCATCTGCAAAGACGACAGTGACTTCGTCACTAAATTGGACGACACGATGTGGTGGCACGAGTTCCAACTCTTGGATCTTTTCCACGAGTAAGTTGCGGCCGGCGTTGGCCTTTTGAATCACAACCTGTCGCCGCTGTTCACTAACGCTTTCAGTAGCCTTCTCGATTTTCTCTAACACGGTGATAGCGCGCTCCCATTGATTCTGAAGCATGAGCATGAGCGCGTGCTGCCGTGAGGTCCGTAAGAATGTGAGTGCCTTGCGAACACCTTCGCAGCCAGTGACGCTGGGCCACTCCACGTCACTTACTGACGTGGCCGCCATAATCTCCTCCTGAGTCGGCTCGACAGGCAGCACCATCATCGATGGGGCGGACGAGCGTGGAGATGACTCAATCTGGCGCTTGCATACTTTAAGCAGCGCCTCGCTAGTGGCCGAGTCACGTGCAGCAGCCAAGTCCTCTACGTCAGCAACGGTTGGTAGCGACGGCTGCAAGCGCTTGAGCAGACGACGCGATAGTTCCTGGACTTGTACGACACAGGACGTCATGTCGATTTTAATAGCGTCTAAGTACTCGAACTAAAAAAAAGGGTCAAGAGTAACGAGCCACGAGTGCGACGTTCGATGTCAAATACAAAATGACAGTATAAAACAATAATAATATTTAGGCTATTGCTAAACGAGGGGAAGCCGTCCGTCCACCTCTGATCAGCCGGTCCGACCAAGTGTTGCGCTGCGGTTGGGGCAGCATTTGTGGTCGATATTGATGCCACGACAAAACTGGAACGGCCGTTGAGAACAGAGACGACGCTGGGATTCGGGTCGTATTCTGATGTGCCTTGCTGGCCCTACCTTGAAATTCGGGGAAAGCCGTGGAAGACGGACGAGACTCTCTGAGTTCAACCAGACGCCAATGGCCACGGTACCTCAGGGGGTTGACTTGTGTGGGAGCAGGACTCGATTGATCAAGTCAATGGCCCACAAATCACGTCGAGAGTAGAGAAAGACGAGGTGTTACCACCTATCTCAATCTGATGGCTTAGCCAAGGTCTCACGTGAAATCACAAGAAACAGCTGCAATCTAGAGCTGATACCGCTATTGGGCATTACCATCAGGATGGTCTTCAACATAAAGCTTGGTGTGACGAAATGAGGACCATATCAAGCTGAATCAAACACGTCTAGCTTGGCATAGTCGCAGGGGCGAGCGAGTCAAGCCGTAATATCGCATGCGCGGATTATACGGAGAGTCCGACTAGGTCATTATACGAGAGAGTAGTACACTATCTGCTGCTTTCTAAGGAGCTGCGAAAGGCCTGCGCTCGACAATGTATGGTAGATCTCAATCCTTAAACCTTTGTGTCGTTAATAAGGCTCATCCGACATTACTCCTCTGATGTTTATATATGCTCGCCCAAAAGCTTTTGTATATCGCCAGCTCGCTGAGTGATTCGAGCTATAAAAGTTAGCTATATAATGTTTTACAAAGTACCCACAAATTTGATATCATCGTAGCACGAGACGTGTGTTTGCGGCGTCCACACACTTAACCATCAGAACCTAGCAATCTGAAAGCGGTACGTGTGGACCACACTGTGGTTAGCTGACCAAATCATGGTAGCGTGTCGCATAAGATGTAGATTACTTCGCTTGGTCCACCCCCTCAACCCGATGTAAAGAACTTAAGGAAGGAATATAGAGTAGACCACATTATATTAGCTACACCTCATATCGTAATAATCACAATAGCGCAGATCATTTCGTGATAATGGCATTAGGCAGACTTGCTACATTCGTCGTACTTGGTGCATTCGTGCATATAGACGCAACATTAGACACACCCGAGTCGGGTCTACGTCAGGTTTGTTTGAATATCTATTTACCCCGTTACTAAGCGTTTCGACAAAACACATGGCGTGCGACTATCGGTTCTTAAGATAATCGCTGTCACTTTTAGGTCATTGTGCTGTCTCGTCACGGTGTGCGTGGTCCCTATGGTCTGGGCACGGAATCCCCATCAGAAGAGCTACTGAAGAAATATGTGCGCAATCCGAACCTTAATTTACCACTTAGTGCCAATGCATGGGGTACATCAGAGACTGACGATCCGACCGAGCTCGTGTCGCCCAAACTTACGAAACACGGCTTTCGTGTCGTAAAGCACATGGGAAAGGTATGTGTATTTCTACTCTTGTGTATTGCTGGAAGAAATTCGTATTGCATTCGTCTTGAAGTGGTAGAGTTTTGACGAACCTTTCTTTCTATTGACTAGTACTTTCGAGACCACCTGTACAGTAAATTCTTGAACGCCACTTGCAAAGAAACGTTTTCATACGCTGATAATAATCAACGAGATAATGTACGTATTGCATGTAGCAGTTTGTTTGCGAGACGTTCGGTTTAATGCTAATGGTGCTATGCTTGCGTGTTTCGTTTGTGTAGCTGACAGCAGTTGCATTCTTGAGTGGGCTTTATCCATCGTGCAAGGAGCTCGTGCCAATCATGAAAGAAACCCAGTTGCTTTTTGAACAAGGGCAAGATCCTACAGCCAATTGCCCTGTATGCTCGAGAGCTAGTGCGTAGCTACAAAATTGCGTCGAATTTGGTCGTCGCCTTTGCTCATTGTCTCCCCTTGTCCCTTGTTTATTTGTAATGCTCCCTGTAGTGTACGAAGGTATCACAGGAAGCAACGACACGGCGTTTATTCTCCAAGAGATTCGTCAGCAAGTTGCAGAAGTGAACGACCTTCTCCAATGTTGTGCCGCATCCATATGCATCGACGACGAGAAGTCTAGCAACATCAGTTTATCGGAAAGCGCCGCAACATGCGACTTGTTTGGGATTCCCACACAATGGAATGGAGCATTTTATCTGCCATGGAAGGACACTCTCTCCAACGCTGACTACTTCTCCGAGTGGCTTTTGCTGCAGAGTCTCAACAATATGAGTCTGCCTCCGCAGCTATCGTTCAAGAAAATTCTGTCTCTTGCCAAGATTCACGAGGTTGCTTTCACTTTTGGCTTTCATCATCAATTGTGATGTCGACTAATATGCTATTGCTGCTGATAATGTAGACTCACATGGATCTCATTACCAATGAAGTCAACTCTGCAAGCTTTGGTGCGACCCTCCTTGCACATCTCACAGCTAGTTTTGAACAGAACATCATGCAAAAGACGTTGCCGGTGGCAAAAGGCAAGGGTCCCCGTCTTCTGCAAGGCCCGGAAAATCGACTGCTGTACTATGCTGCCCATGATATCAACCTGCTGTATGTTCGCAACATGCTAAGGTATGTTTAGCGAGTGTTCACGGAACACCTACTCAGTGCCAAGTGCTTCAGTGATACGTTCAAATAACATTGCTATCACGCTGCGTAGGCTCCAGTGGTATACGAAAGGGTGGCACCCGCATCAGCCGGTACCAGGAAGCATGCTTGTGTTTGAGCTCCACGCTACGCCAGCAAATACCAGTGATCAACCCTCTTCCATCATTCCAAAGTCCCGGAAGCTTAAGCTTGCTCATACGGATGAGGCGCGTGTATCTTGGCATGTAGGAGACGCTGAAGGTGTGCACTCCGATCACGACAGTCGATTCTACGTAAAGCTATACTTTATCGCGGCCTCTCCCGAACAGATTCGCGATGGTGACGAGTTATCCGCTGAAAACGTAGGCACTTGTTGTTTTGCACACCAATCCATCGAATCTGACTTGGTTGTGCTTGCGTGGAACAGCCTCCAGACCGCGTGCAAGTTATCATCCCGTCGTGCTCGGAGGAGATTGATAATGGCGATGGAACGATTGATGTCCGCTGCCCTTTTTCAAAGTTCAAGAAGTTGATTGGCAAGACCCTTAAGCATGTGTGTGTCGCTGATACACTGAAACCGTTTGTTGAGTCGTTAACCAGCGAGAAGACGCTGGACAAGAACCACGCACTGACAACCACCATCACGATGGACCGAGTGCTGGATGTTGAAATCAGCGATTCTGATAGCTTCGACCAACCGTCGAAGGAAGCCGTCGCGTTCGAGATGCTACCGTGGACGGTGTTGAGTCTTTTTGCTCTCTGTTTTGTTTTGCTTTCCATTCGTCATGCTGTCAAACGCCGCATGGAGCGACAAAAGTATGGAACGATTCCCATGCGAACACAAAACACTAGACACGATACATTTGGACAACGTAACTGTTGATGAACGTGCTTGAGCACATAAAACTCTCGTGAGTTTTACTGCAAATGCACGTCAGCCGGACATTATCGTCGCTTTCGCTGCTGCATCGTCGGCTGCTGCTTCGAGATGGTGGCGTCATAGCAACATTAGAAATGGTCTGGGTAAGCACAAGTATATCACGCACTTGTACTTCATGACAGCATGCGAGTGCAAAGTTATTGGGTTCTTTCATGTGACCATCTCCCGTCCCACAAAATGGCGTTTGTCCAAGAAAAAGCGTAAACCACATATGTGTGTCGCTCTCGGTCCGTGATGCACTTCTATCTAAAGAGACCAAAGCCTCGGGAAGTGCTCTTTAGTTTTGCTGAGCTGATAGCGAGTCTGGAAGTGCCTAATGGTTTGTACCATTGAAGCTGCTCCTACTATAAACTACGCAACGTAAAACCTCATCTGTCCTACTTCCTTCAGACTACATGAAGTGCTGCATTTCTTGTGTCAATACCAAGTCAAGTTTAAAGGTGTGTGTACGCACGCTCTTCAAGTATTTACTACTGCTTCCTCCATTCTAAAGGTAAGATTAAAACGAGTGGTTGTTATTAGTAGCATTGTATCGCAACATGGGTATCTCGGTCGTGGTTCACCCGTGCTGTCACCATGTCACACTCTCTCTGCTCGTACTTGTAGCACTTCCAACGGCACTCGCCGAAGGAGGCAGTAGTAGTAACAATGACGACGGGGTACCAAGCTTGTCCGATATGGACACTTACGATGCGCTCGCCATTGCGTTCATGGTGATCGGGCTAACTGCATCTTCCGCGGGCGGCTTGGGTGGCGGTGTAATCATGGTACCGGCCATGACGATCATCATGGGATTCGATATCAAGCGTGCAACCCCCATTTCCAACATGGCTATATTGGGTGGTGCCGTGGCTAACGCCTTGTACAATATGCGCAAACGCCACCCGACGGTGGACCGTCCTCTGATCGACCCGGAGCTGGCGATGGGCATGATCCCGGTCGTTATCGGTGGCACTGTTGTGGGTGCTGTAATCAACAAGCTTATCCCAAACTACGTGCTTTCGCTGCTGCTCGTCGTGGTGTTCGCTGTGGGCGGCTCACGGACACTGATAAAGGGCATCCGCCTGCATAAGAAAGAGCTTACCAAGAAGAAAGAGGTTGATGGTGCTGCGAATGAGTTTGTAACTGACGTCCCTGTTAGTCCCAGTGTATACGTGCAGGTCAGTACACCACTGAAAGACGACGTGCTGCCGGAAAAGCGCGGAAGCACTTCAGCTTTTAGTGAGGACGAACCAGGATTGACGACAACACTAGCCCAGATCCTGGAAAAAGAGCGACACTTTGCTTGGGGTCCTCATATCTCCATCATGGTTTGCTACCTCGGCATCGTGGCTACTAGCATCGGCGGTGCGTTCGTTGACTGCGGAGGTGTTGCATACTGGGTGCTCCTGCTGATTGGTGTCCCGTGGATTGCTGTCTTTGTGATACTTACGTCGTACTATCTCCATCAGGTGTACCTACGCAAAGCTGCAATGAACTACCAGTACGTCGAGGGTGACATCCGCTGGACAAAGAAGATGGTTGTGTACTTCCCTCTTGGCTTCGTATTTGCTGGCATTGCCGCGGGCATGTTCGGTGTTGGTGGTGGCATTGTTGCTGGTCCCATCATGGTCGAGCTGGGTATCGTGCCTGAAGTGGCCTCGTCCACGACGGCGCTGATGATTCTGTATTCAGCTGCCGCCGCCACAGCAAAATTTGCTGTATTCAAGATGATTGCATGGGACTGGGCTCTGATGCTGTGTGCTGTGGCATTCGTGGTGACTTGTGCTTCACAAGCCGTGATCTTGGGCTTCGTACGAAAGACGGGTCGTCAATCGATCATTGTGCTTTGCATCGCTGCGGTAGTGCTCATTGGGTGCGTGATCATGACGTACCAGGCCATCAAGTCTACTGTCGACGATACTGGTGACCATTTCTCCGCCAGCATTTGCAACTAGAAGCATTACCGCCAACCATTTCAGCAGTAAAGTGGCCAGCTACAAACGTGTTGCTGTACAAGCAAAGTTAACATACACAAAGTGATGTAGCTTGAGCAATAACAATATATTTTGATCGTGTGAAGCAGACGTTATTGCAGTATTCTACTCTGGCTCGCACGAGAAAGAACTATTCGCAGGGAGTGTGCGCGATAGTACTTTTACCACGCGCCACGGAGCTCACCCTCACGGTCACGGAAGTTAACAGCCGCAGCTTTTAGATCCTGCACGCCAACCATAGCCTCACCCAGGTTAGTTGAGATCTCTTTGAGGATCTTGGGGTCTTGGAAGTGGGTCACGGCCTGCACCATAGCGCGGGCGCGTTTGGCCGGATCACCACTCTTGAAGATGCCTGAGCCAACGAATACACCATCCATGCCAAGCTGTATCATGAGAGCAGCGTCAGCGGGGGTAGCGACACCACCAGCAGCAAAGTTCACAACAGGTAGCTTGCCTGTGGCAGCAACCTGCTTCACGAGCTCATACGGAGCCTGCATCTCTTTAGCAGCCACGAACAGCTCATTCTCGTCCATGGACTTCAGACGGCGGATCTCACGGTGCACCGCACGAGCGTGACGTACAGCCTCAACAATGTTGCCAGTGCCAGCTTCACCCTTGGTACGAAGCATGGCAGCACCCTCAGCAATGCGACGCAAGGCTTCGCCCAGATTGCGGCACCCGCATACAAACGGCACCTTGAAGTTATGCTTATTAATGTGGTTCTCCTCATCTGCCATGGTCAGCACTTCACTTTCGTCAATGTAGTCAATCTCAATGGCCTCAAGGATCTGAGCCTCCACAAAGTGTCCAATGCGAGCCTTGGCCATCACCGGGATCGTGACAGCCTTCTTGATAGCTTCAATCATGTCCGGATCGCTCATACGAGCCACACCACCGTCCACACGAATGTCAGCGGGGATACGCTCAAGTGCCATGACAGCAACGGCACCAGCTTCCTCGGCAATACGAGCTTGCTCAACGTTCGTCACGTCCATGATGACGCCACCCTTGAGCATCTTGGCAAGACCGGCCTTGACAAGAAAGGTACCTTCAGTAGGAGCAGCAGAAGACGTGTGGGAAGTCATAATAATCGTAATCGAAGCTTGTGATGTACGTGGTGAATCTACAAATGATCAAGTGTTGATGCACGTCACGATGGCCCATAATTATGGGTGATGGCCCACAATAACCCTCTCAAACACGTTTCGACGTATTGGCTGGTGGAGAGGGAAAACAGAAAACGGACAGCGGGCCAGTGGGCCAGCCAGTGGGCCACCCTACCTACCTTCTTGTACCTAATAAAAGCATATTATGATTGTCTCATTGGTATGAATAGCAAGCACTACAATGCCGTGCCACGTTCGAGGTTCTGTCGAATTTCCACCGTGTATTTGTTGAAGGCCTGCGACGCCTTGCGGTTGAAACTGCGGTTTTGGCCGTTGATATAGTCGACATCTTCGCCTTCGTAGTGTTGGCGTCGACGACTGAATTTCTTACGCGATTTGATACGCTCCTCAAGTTCTTGCGCCATACGCTCCACATTTTCCTGTATCACGAGTATTATGCACAAATGGTTAGCGGCATTACACACCAATATACAGGCACGGTGGAGCGAGCACACACCTCTTCGACTTTGTCGTCCTTGCCATACGCCAGTTCATCGCCAAGCGCGTCCTCGCCAGTGGAAGCTACAGAAGCAGCAGTTTCTTTCGATGTCGGCAGACTCACTAGTCGCTTCTTGTAGCCCTTGTACAAAGAGTCTTGATTGAAAACGTCCCATCCGAACGCAGCTTTCCTCTTTTCTTTCTTGCCAGCTTTCTTGCTCTTGATCTCAGCCACCTCGGCTGATCAATTGTATAAACAACCACAAACCTCTCAGCATATAGCACTTACACTGTATTAGCATTGTAATCACACACCTGTCTCGTAAAGATGAGCTTTGCCACTTGTTGCCATCAGCTTCTTCTCCTATTTCACACCAGCACCCCAGCCTTTAGAAGACGTAGATCTCCTTTATTGATCCCATTTATCAGTACTCACCTCTCTTTTCTTATACTTCTCCTCCTTCTTCATCTTGTTGTTATTGTTCTTCACACGATCGTGTTCCGCCGCCACTTCCTAAACAAACCATCAACAATGTGTCAATTCGCTTCACTAAAGCTCCCTCCTCCCACATAACGTCATAAATACCTGTTTATTGGCCTTTCTTCCGGCATTTATCTTCATGCGCAGCTCAAAGAGCTTCCTCTGCGCCGGCGTCATGGCCGTTAATTGGTCGGGCTCGGTGTTCGCCATATTTCTTGGTGTGTTTATCAGGACGACGGAAAACTATGCCCCAATAAGTACAAAACAATACGTCCGATGACTAATCACTTAATACCGGTATTTTCAATACCGTACCGACCCTTTTTGTAGCCATCATCTCACTGGAGCCATTCAAACCAGAGCTATGACACTGGCCCAGGAACGATGCGACGCGAGCGTCTCAGCCATCGACGGCACAAAGAATGCAGCACCTATTGAGCAGGAAATGTTATCAGTCGAGCGTGCAGTATTGGAAAGCGATACCAAGAGCATTAGGAAGGTCCAACAAGCGTTTCAAGATGATGACGAGATGGCGTCAGTGTTGACAATGGCAACACTTATCTGCGAAGGTGACTATGCGGATGTTATTCGACTGCCACAAGCACAGAAATTGTTGCAATCTGTCGTGCAATTGCGGATTGAAAATCAGGACAATGAGGACGAAGACATGCACATTTGCGGCAGTATCGCATTAGCACTGCAGAGCTATTTGCTGGACCAATGTGACAGCCCAGAGAGCCGTCTTGTGGCTGCATACAGAGTCATGTTTCTTGGCATTGCCTTGCTTAATATGTACGTGCAGGCAAATTATACGGGACCTGCATTCGAAAAAGAGACTATCCGTGATGTGCTCGATCTGACCGCGATTCTCGTGACTCGCTCGACTGGTAGTAGCGACAAGAAGTCGCACAGTGATGCCCTTGTGTCATTGCAAGTGGACGGTGAGAGCCCATTCTCCATTTGTGAATACCCACAGTTCTTGCTGATTGGTCGCTGCTTGCTTGACTTCGTGGGCAACCACGCGTTCAACGACTGGTCGGTGGCCGCTAACGAAATTGTGCACGGACAGAATGACAATGAAGTGTCGGATGATGTTGTAGAAGGCCCTACTGAGCGCCATATTACTGGCGGGGCAGCTATCCGCGCGCTCGGGGAGCTGCTAGAACAGATCAGGTCGGCTGCGTGGTGGAATGCGCGTGCTGCCGTTGCGCACGAACGACTACTGCTTTCCAAACAGCCTTCTAACACGCTGTGGTTTGAAGCTCGTCGTGGATACATCCAGACATTAAAGACGAACGAGCTTTTCGCCTTTGAGAAGACCACGCAATACTTGCACGTTCGAGCGTATGTGGAATGGGGCTTGGCACAACACCACTTCGACAAGAACAAGCACGGTAAGGCTACGTTTGCACGTGCAAAAGAAATCTCCGGTGTCAGTGTGCAGCTCACTGGATCCATGGGAAAACGCACCAAGTTCCAGCAAAGAAGTGTGGCTCAGATGGTATTGCTTGCGGCATCGAAGATCGAGCCTGCAAACACAGACGAAGAGACTTCTGTCTACGCTGCAGCTGCGGCTGTGTCGACTCATGTGGACTTTGGCGGCAAGCAGATAGCAGGAGAAGGCGAAGTTGGAAACGGTGCGACGTCACCTGCTGTTACTCCAACCGATAGTCTTACGACTGAAGTAGAGCAAATTCAAAAGCTTGTGCAGGAAGGTGAGGCTTCTTATCGCAATGTGAACTTGGATCAAGTGGATCAGGACAATTATCTTTTGGAAAGCACTGCCTTCGAAGACCGTAAGCTGACGAAGCAAGGTAACCTGCAGATTGTAGACCAGATTGTACTTTTGGGACTGTGTCTAGACGTAAAGAACAGCAACGCGAACGATGGCCTCACTCGGGAAGAAATGATGCCGTATGTAACGCGTGTGCTTGAAAATCCCAACAATTGGATGGTGTACTCCACGGCGCTGCTGGAGCGCGCATGGCTCGAGTGCGAGAGCTCGAAAAGACGGGAACGCGCCGTGTTGCAGATGCAGGCTTTGGTAGATCAGCACACCACGAGACTTACGATCACGCAAAATACGCTGCAGTCTATTGTGGACTCAGCGCCAGCTCGTGAACGTATGCAATTTGTGTACTCGTTGGCCTTCCCTCCACGATATGCTCTTAAGCGCGGCTTGGCCGAACGCTACTTTAAACTTGGCGTTCTAGGCAGTGCTGTTAACATATGCGAAGAGCTAGAAATGTGGGATGACGTCGTCAAGTGTTACCAGATTTTGGACAAGCCAATGCGCGCCGAAAAGCTTGTGCGCGAGCGCCTGGAGATCGCTCCCACACCATTCATGTGGGTCACGCTCGGAGACCTCACCCAGGATCCTTCGCACTACGAGACGTCCTGGACACTTTCGAAGCAGCGGTTCGCTCGCGCTAAACGCTCGCTTGGACGCTACTACTTCGAGAATGGTGATCATGAGGCAGCAATTGTTCATTACGAGGATGCAGTGCGTGTTGGCCCCATGCATACGGGCGCTTGGTTTACTCTTGGCGCGATCGCGATGCGTGTACATCGCTGGTCACTCGCAATGCGTGCATTCACACGCGTAGTGCAGCTTGAGCCGGACAATGGGGAGGCATGGGGCAACCTAGGCTCGATCCACATGCACAACAAGCGTTATGGAGAAGCCTTTGCAGTGTTAGAAGAGGCCCTCAAGCAAAAGCGTCACATGTGGCAGATGTGGGAAAATTACGCACTGTGCGCCATGGAAACAAAGCGCTACGGCGAAGCCATGTACGCCATACACCAGCTTTTGGACATGCGCACCAAGCACAAACGTCCAGTTGACATTGAAATGCTGGCGTGGCTTGTAGAAGCTATCGTGTATCCGGAATCTCTCCAGGCGATGCAACAGAAGGCTGATACTGAAGCTGGTGGCATTGAACAGGCGGCTACCGATGAGGACGAGGTCGAACGGATTGACTGCGACGACGATGATGACGACTTGACGGAGCTTGATGAGGTGGCAGCAGCTACTGACAAGACTCCCCCGCGGTCGGACTCACGCTATAAGAAGCAATTGGCGATGCTATTTGGTCGCGTGACATCCATCGTGACAAACGATGCGAAGGTGTGGGAAGTGTATGCACACTTCAACAACGGCATAGAGGGCCGTGCTGAGAAGGCACGTGATTGTCGTTTGAAGCAGTGCCGCGCCTTGCAAGCTGCTGGTTGGGAGCGTGAGCAACAAAAGGTGAAGGATCTATGCCTGGCAGCTTCTCGACTGGCTCAGGATTATCTGGCGGAAGGTACGAAGAAGGCGCTCTATTCGTGTCGTCTTTACATCCGTGGTGTACTGAAGAAGGCACAGATGGATTTTGCTGATCTTGAGGCTGTGAAGTCCCTCATAGCTGCTCTAGACGAAGTTAATGCCAGGGAAGCGCAGCTCGAGATGATACAATAGGTGCCTTCAACTGCAAGACCATCGGATGTAGCCATATGTGCATCATCGATACCCTTTTTTTCGTAAAATCTCCAATAATTGTGCGCTTTTTAGGTAATTTGTGATCCACTCATATATAGTTGATACCCATTTTGATTCAAAATACTCAAATGTGGCAGCCCATCACTATACAAACATCAGGTAAAAGATTGCGCGGGCAAATTTGGCGCCCGTCAGTCAGTCAGTCGCCAATCAACCGCCACATCAGAATGCCTCCAATACAGACTGGACGATGGAGTCGATTGACTACCAAGAAACGGAAGCTTGAGGTTATAATGACTCATGATAATACCAAAAAGATCGTTAAAAGTCGATTACAAAAGAAAAAAGAGCTCCTTGGAACTGAGATAGAGATGAAATCATTGCCCCCTTTCGATTCCGAGACGTTACAATTTCTCCAGCTCTTGGACGACGATATGCGTCGTTTACCACCTCCTTTACCACTTGTAGAAAGACGTGGTGGTACGATACGGTCACTGGAAAAACACATGGTGGAGTTTCAATTGCCGTTTAAAGAACTCGAGATCAAAAGTCTTGAAGAACGTCCATGGGTTCGTCGTCCACCACCTTTTGGCAAAATCAGTCGCTGTGTTTACGTATCTACCAAGATGCCAATTGCTGACATTCCTGTTCATAAATGTACATGTTTTCAAGAGACACACAAGTCTATGACTAAACGTACGACGATCATGGCAAGTGTCAAGGCACAAAAGGAACTTGCAGGTAAAGAACGTTGTCCATTGACACGCTCTATCGACTTGGAAAAAAAATTCGAGACAGAGACGAGGGTGTACTGTGGAGAAGGGTGTTACAACCGTATGCTATTTATTAGTTGCTCCGATGAAACATGCTCTGCTCCTGATCCGAACTTATGTAGTAATCGGGCTATTAAAAGAAGAGAACTCAAGTCCGTACGAGTCGAGTACATTCCCGGTCCTGGATTTGGACTAGTTGTCAATGAAGTGATCCATGCAGGAGAGTTCATTATCGAATATGTTGGAGAAGTTATTGATGATGAAGAATGTGGACGAAGAATGGTCAAGTACAGGGACAATGGCGAGGTGAGTGCCACGATTGTATCACGAGTCCGATACGTACGTACTGATGCTGATTTGAATTCCTAGGTGAACTTTTACATGATGGAACTAGAAAAAAATACTGTGATTGATGCAAAGTACCGAAGCAATGAGTCGCGGTTTATTAATCATAGTTGTGATCCCAACAGTGTTACACAGAAGTGGTGCGTTCTTACATTCTTTTTCATGACGGTAACTGCTATGTTCTGCAATGGCTGACTCTGATATGAATGGCCAAAACATACAGGAATGTGGACGGTATACAGCGTATTGGAATTTTTGCGCGTCGCAATATTGTTGTCGACGAAGAGATCACTATCGACTACAACTTTTTATACTTTGGCGAGCCAGCCGAATGTAAATGCGGATCCACTGCTTGCACCGGAAAGATTGGTCTCAAGCGGTCGAAACTTCCCTTGTATCCGCGTGCAGTGGGTACGACAAAAGCAAAAAAGCAGGTGTCATTGGATGAGGAGCCACCCGAGCTGAAGCGACCAGTACACTTGACCTCCCTTGCACTGCTAAAAAGCTCTCAGCTGGATGATAGCTGGTTGGAGTTGTACGGATTCAAAAATCGTCGATTGTTTCTCAGCCACCGATTGCGCCGGTCCACACAGGTTGACACGGCTGACATAGTAGACAACAGCGAGGATCATTATAGTCTGTCATTGAGCAGTCCAGCCTCAATATGCTCGACGACGACAGAGGAGGATGTATCGCTAACACCGCCACAAACGATTCAGAGCAACTTTATCGAAAAGAAGCCACTGAAACGAACCTGGTATGAAAAGGTTTTAGCGGGGGAGCACCTGCCTAAAATGAGGGCCCTTCACAGCTACATCTGCGGAGGCAAGCCTGACTGGACTACAGATCTTACCAGCGACCTCAGCGCAGAGCTTGCATTACCTTCACCGGTGAAGAAGAGGGGCCCAGGGCGTCCACCAAAAAAGCGTGGTCGTCCTAAAAAGGTAATGCCGCTGCTTCTGCGTCCGAATCGTGCTGTGTTGGGAACAAAGCTTATCCACAGACGCTTAAGCCTCACTCAAGCACGAGCACGCGGCATAGGTGAGCTTGCAGCCTTTGCAAAGGGCAATTCTAAGTGGAACAAACGCATTCCGTCATCCAATACCATCGACCCCGACCGCATTAATCGTCTGATTAATCGTGTGAAGGGCAAACAGATATTCATTAACACTGATCAGGTACAATCGTCTTTTGGATGGGTAATGCGTCTCTGCGAAAACAACCTCACTGACTAACGATGTATTTAACATTTGTAGAATGACTTGAACGAAGACGCTTGCTTTCGCTGTGGTCTGGCAGGTGAGCTCATTTGCTGTGATGGCTGTCCTGCCGCGCTCCATCTTAATTGTACAAACCTTGCTACGGTGCCTCCGGACAATATCCCATGGTTTTGCTCCGAGTGCACGAAACCGAAGCTTCTTCAAAAAGCTTTGGATATGTCCGACACTGGGATCGTCGCTGCTAGAGGTACAAGAAGCAGCCAGCCGGACGTCGCAGGACGCTACCTGCGTACGCACGCAGCGTCACAAGCTCCAAGCCTTAACAAGATCTTTCACGCTCCAGCACCCCACACCAAGCGCCGTTACAGGAAGAGGCATAAAAATGTGGGCCGTTCATATCGCGAGCTAGAGCATATGCCACTACCCGCATGGAACGAAAGCGATGAGAGTGATACCACGCAATAGCAGCAGATGTGGGCAATATCCTCATTCAAGTAAGTTACGAACCATTTGTTGATATTCTTGTATATCCAGGTGGTCGTGTATTTTTCCAAAGCTGTTGAGTATTACTGACCTTTTATTGTAGGTTTGTCATTTGGAAAGTCTAAGATGTATGTTTGTTGGAAATAGAAGCCGTGTTCAGGTGCTACAAATGCACAGCGTGTAGCTTGATTTATTGATTGTAAAATTTGGACGGAATCGGGCCTTCCACACGGTCTTTGAGGAACCCTTCACTGTCTTCCTTAGCCAACTACAATACCATAATCATCAATTGCAATAATTGCAATCACGATTAGAAATAGAGTAGAATTATTGTATTGTAAGAGCAATATGGTTAGTGCACCTTAATGGAAGTGACAAGAGCGGCGTAAGGGCCTGTTGACTTGAGTTCCGGCATGGAATTGCCACCATCCATCTTGCCCGTATACGAATGATTCGATGGCTTTTCTCCCGATACAGGTGCATACTCATTGGATGCCTCGGTGGCGCATGGAAAGCTTTCGAACGAATGCACCACCTCCCCGTGGAATTTATACACAGCTTTCATGCCACTCATAACGGTTGTGATTTTTTTAGAAATAAGGTATTAGAAATAAGTTATTGCATGTTTCGAGCAGAATCAGAAGAGGGTATCGCTTCCATACAGTATCCGAGATGTCACTATAGTGAGAGAATAATAATTACGATGAACGCGCTACTTGGGGAGCTGCGCATGGTCAAGGTGCTACATCAGCAATCAGGCGTCTGTTTGTTCACACATCAGTGGAAATGGAATCTACATGCGCATGCAGAGGGAGTTGATGCACTTGTAATGTCCTTTACGCAATTTGCACGTGAGATTGACGGTGGAGGTTGTAGCGCATCGACATTTCTATGCATTTCGTAAATATGCTCTTTATCTGTATGCTAATTGTATGCTCTCTAACTGTATACTGTAATTAAATACGATAGAGGTCGTACAAGTGCACTTTGACCCAAGCAGAATCGACCAAATGGACCGATCCAGTACCAGTCCAATGCCCGTACGCCGTAATGACCCATTTCTTTTCGGTCGTTTCTTACAACTAATCATGCTTTGTATCACTATACAGGCTTCTTCTGGCGGTCTCATCATGATCTCGCTCCAGAATGAGACGATCCAGGCCGTGCTGTTTCATGATCGGACTGCTGATGCAGCCTGTGCTGCACTAACGGCATTTTTACAGCGAATATTGCAACGGTTTGGAGAGTTATTCAAGCATGAGCTGCAACAATTGCAGCCGCAATTGCAAGCAAGTGCAACGCCCACCGCTGAAGAGGTCTGAAATCTCATAAATGTGATGCAACATCTCCATGTCTCTTTTAACATCATTGTGCTTGCTTCTCTACAGCGTGAAGCTGTCGAAGCCCCATTCCGGAGATTTGGGGTAGAGCTTGACACTCAATTGCTGCCACAATCTAATGGTGACTTCGGTTTGCAATAGCTAGCGAGATACAGCGAGAGAGTTTTTTTTACTTTTGCATAATACTATCTAGGCAACTTGAAACGTGCCACAAGGAACATGCTTTGTCGTATCAACGTATTCACTATCGGTACGATGTGCTATGAATGCTTTTCAAATCTTTGAGTAAATAAGATGTGTCGTTATTGCTTTTTTAATCTGTAAAGCCCAGAATGCTCCATTCTTTTCTCTGCTAGTCCAGCACACTTTTTCTTTGTCGTTCACCGAGGCTGACGGGCTTGTCCCCTGTTGTAAATCCCCACAGCTCCACTTGGATACAAGAAAACTGTTGCGAGGTGGTTAATGGAGGCGAATCGAATGTTTCGCACGCTCCACTTGTCCCTGCACATAAGTCGCTATCCTGACGAGGAGAACAGCATAATGAGCATAAGTGCTTCACTTTATAGTAGTACGGAAGTACATCAATTACTTCTACTCACCAGGAACAAGCCGAAGTTACCGCCGCCACCCATGATTAATGATTCGTCAGAGCACAGCATAAAGTAGCTATTCTTGCGACTCCATGGGTACTTGACGAACCCGCCCGCAGCGCTGGAGCTGGCAAATGAAAACAAGAATGACTCGCCGGTACCGTAATAATGGAATGCATGATGCCACTCGTCCGAAGCAAAACCGCCAAAAACTTTTCCCTTGGCATCTTTGATCACCAACAACGTTGGGCTCTGTTTCTTCGCGAGTAAGAGAAGTGTCTCTAATGCAGACCCGTTTGACTCCACACTGTAAATTCGAAACCATCGGCAAAATTGACAGGTAATGGGCAGTACGTGTTCAATATAAGCAATATGCTCCAGTGTCAAAATGCTTGACGTATCCAGCAGCTTGGAGTTTGAGTCGTCTAATTTAAGATCAAAAGATGGCTTCTTCTTGGAATGGTGCAAAGGAGATGACGAAAGAGACGAGTCCGACATTGCAGCAATCTGGAGTGCTTCATTATCCACCAACTCTCCTTGCTCCTCCTTCTCCTTTTCTTTAGCTTCTTTGAGACGGCGTGTCCGAACTGCTTCCCATTCCACTTGTAGATCGCTCACAGTGGCTGGAGCCTTCTTCAGCAACTCAATCATGATTCCCTCGGTCTCCGTAATTACACGAGTAAAAGATGCCGCTTTTGGGTCGAGTTCACTCCAAAGTTGGTCAAACACCAGGAACATCAACATGAACAATTTGTTGAAATACATATCTTCGTCAAACAACTTCCAAAAGGGTTCATGCGACATTGCCACGATGTCAACCTCCGGACACTTCGGTGTGAAGCTGAAAGTGTAAACGGAATAAAAGTATCAGCATCGTAATTGTTGGCATACAAAAACAAGCACTTGGGCTACGTACGATAGTTTCAGCAGCTTCACCAGTGACTCGCAGATAAACGACGCTACCAGCCCTGCGTCGTAAGACGGTAACTCAGACGGCAGTGCACGCATCTTAAGTAAGAATAGTGCGTCTGGGTCATTTTTTAGCCAGTACAATATGGCTCGCAGCATCAGCACGCCACCCTTATCAAAGTTTCCTAGGATAGTTGGCCGGTTAAAGCCAAACTGCTCCCAGATGTTTACTAGATCATGATCCGCTGCTTCACTATTGGTAGTGCTGGCTCGTGACGTCGCAACGGTTGACCTCCGCAAATTTTTCCCTAGGTTGACAATAGTATTTGACGGACATTTATTCTCCAGACCTGATGTAGTTTTAGTCTTCAAAAACTCTGCTGCCTGCCCAGTGGCTGAGCGATCAAGTGCAGATAACGAGGAACCAGCGCAATCTTCTAAGTACTCACGGAATAATCGCGAAATCTCGTTCACTTGCTGCCTATCCGACAAAATATTCATCTGTGGCTGGAGTTTTAGTTGATGCGATACCATTTGCAGTGCTTCCTTTTTAGTCTCCAATTGCTCGAGTGCATCTACAACCTGCACCTGGACGGAGTGGAAGATTGTCGCGTAGTGCCGAATCATTCGCTCGACTACTTGAGCGCCTACTGCAGCATATCTTAAATCTTGATACTGAGAATGCATTCGACCACGCGAATGTTTGGAAGGCAAACCACTTGTTGTGTCATTCTTGAAGGCTATTACGGGGGCAAGTACAGTAGAAGCTGTAAAAATATCCACACCATTTTTTTCACTATGCTCGGGCTGTTGCAGGAAGTGCATCAAGTCGAGAACCCGGTTCAATACAATCTGATAGTGCACAGACAAGTCGTTCACTAGGCATGTGATGTTGCGCACACTGGCGTCTTCATCACGCAATTGCCCCGCTGCCACGAAGGCGTCATACTTATCGTCTGTCAACAACGAATTTGGTAGGTTCTTCAGAAAATCTAAGAGTAATGCTCCAGCACATTGCGGATCCAGATCTTCCGGTACCGACCCCTCAGTCTCCACGGTTTCTCGCAGCTGGTTTAGGCGTATGTTCAGGACTGTTGTACGAAACAATCTTGGAGTGTCCGGGTTTCGCCTTAATATCGCAACACAATCATCCACAATGTTCGGAAGCGCAAGCAGTGGGTCAATCAAAGCGTAGCGGCTGTGATATGGATTTTTCGACAGTAATGCCAGACTGACACCGAACACGTACTGCCACGGTTCAACACCTTTGAGGCGATGGAGGAATAAGGCCGATGGGAACTGGACAGCCTCCTCCTCTTCTTCCTCGATTACAGCCACATCTTCTTGAATCTCCTCGTCTTTTTTCGCGTCTTTACTTTCGATCACTACTGGTTCAGTATCTGAGGGTGGCAATAACGATCCAGCCTTGAAGGGTCTTACCCCCACCGCCGCAGCAATGTCTTCATCCGTAATTGTAGAAGCCAAATCGCCAACACTACCTTCATTACTTGGCGCTATTTCCGCTAGATCCAGCAATGGAAACGGATCTCCGTTCACTTCAATCGCAAAGTGCACTTCCCGAAGCGCAATAATGAGTTCAAGAAACAACCCCAAGCCTTCAGAGCAACGAACAAGTGACCTATCCTCGTAGTTGTTGCGGATCAGATGCTCACACGCCATAGAGAAGACCATCTAAACACCGTACAAAGCCATCAAACAGGTAAAAACAACAGCATCAACAAGATTAGGTGAGCTAGCCCATGGTTACCATAATACTTGACTCAATCGTATGATTATTCAGCGCAATCTTCAGCCAGCAACGAGCCTTCCCTATATCAGTCTGTCAAACAAGTAACCCAACCACATCAGCATTGCAGCATTGCAGCCTCTCAACCTCACAAATGCTACAATAGTGCACACAATCAAACCTCCGATAGAAATGCTGCAGATAGTACACTCTGTACCAACGTCGGCTCGTCAATAATGACTGTGCTAGCATATAGTACGTGCCACCAGGACAGCTGCTCCACACCATCTCGTGACTTAAGTCCCAGCACTAGACACTCTTCCAAAGCCATGCCTGGTCCACAAATTCACATCTAAACTTCAACATATCACTTCTTTAGCCTTAAACTCCATCTCTTGTACGTACAAAGCTCGCCAACACAAGAGTCCCGTTCCGTTAACGGTTGTCGTTGCTCTCTAGGACGTAATACACTCATCCTTCTTTCTTGTCCACTATCCATTGCTTCTTGATCACTTATTTCCATTACTTCCAGAGCCATTTCCTTGTGTAGAACCGCAAATGTGGCGTTTTTTAGCCGTAACTAAAGTACAAATAGACAGATTAACATAAATATCAATGAACAAGTCGCCATCAGTATCCAACTATTGCAATTAGCTCCTTTTTTATCCATACAAGAGCATTGTAGCGCTGTTGTCCATTGATATCCTTTATTCCGCCTTTAGTATCATGTCGAGTCGTCAGCCAATGTGAGATCCTCGTCAACATTACGACGTCTATCTCGTTTTTAACTCGCTCCAGACTACGGATTAGCTCAAATTCTTTCACAGTTTATACCTAATCTTTAGCTTACTTTTGATTGGTTAAAAAAAGCAGTGGTAGTCAAAATTCTATAGGAATAATGGTCCGAAACTTGGTCCGGTCGCCATCCCGGGCACGATCTCTTCATGCAGCAATGGAAGAAGTTTTCTCTTCATCTGTCAATAAGACGTTGAATTTTATAAGCAGTGATGAAGATGAAAGCGATGCTCAAGCAGAACAGGAACAAGAGAAGAATGACAAAAACAGTGACGAGAATAACAGTGACAAGACATGGCTACAGAGTTCCAAAGGGGCGATGGCTGGAGGTCTTTTTCGCTATCGCACACGTCGCATGGAACGGATGGATATGTATGGAAAAAAGGATTTGCCGTACCGTCGATGTACATTGCAATCACCTGTTGTGACGCGACAACGGCGATCCACATCGCCAATGTCCCATAGGAATTATCAACTTGCTAAGAGGTTTTTTTTTCTTTGCAAGAGAAGAATGTTATTGTAATTGTTAAGAGAAAACTGCTTGTTAATTGTGGTGTGGATATGGAGTGTAGACGTAGTAGTAAATCGGTCTCTCCGCCATGTCCGAGTCCTGCGACGTTGCTGAGCAGCAACCTTGGATCGAAATTGTCAATGACGAGTCCAATGGCGATACGGTCACGTCCGCATTTGAAAGTGGTGTTGAAAAGACTCAATGTTGTAGATTGTCCGGTGAGTTCTTTGATGTGAAGTGCAGGATAAGAGATTGGTTATTGATGTGGTCTGTGAAACAATTGTGAGCAGAACCACTTTGTCACTTCGTTTGAGGACTTGCAAACTATTCGGTGGCTTGGAGCAGGCGTGTCAGCGGAAGTGTTCAAGGTAATTAGTTGTTTGTTGAACTCGATCATAAGGATGGCAATGAAATTATCACATTGTACCTGGATTGATATGTGCAGGTTCGAGACCCAAAGACTGGGGATTTTTACGCCATCAAAAAGTCCAAACAAGAGCTTCGAAACAAACGAGAACGGCAAGTGTCGTTGACAATCCTCTTTGAGTCGCAATTGTTATTTCCTGTCGTTGATGCTGACTCAATACACCTTACCTACAGATACCTCCTAACACAAGAAATTGTCGCTTTAGAAAAGCTAAATACGTCGCGGCATAACTTTGACCACATTGTTCGGTATTTTCAAGCTTGGCAGGAGGACGGTATGCTCTCTTCTTGTTTGGATCAAAATGGCGAGAGTTGCTTACTAATATCTTACATGCTGAATGGAGGCTTTTTCTTCTTGCAAATGGAAGTATGCGAAGGCGGTACGCTGCAAGAATTCATGTCAAAGCGAAATCGAGAGGCACTTCCAGAAAACTACTTATGGGATATTATCCGAGACGTTGCAACGGGGTTAAAAGTTCTTCATGAACATGATATCGTTCATCTGGACATCAAACCTGACAATATCTTTATTACTGAAGATGGGAAGCTGAAGATTGGCGATTTTGGAATGGCGGGGAAAGTAGTAGCGTCGACCAAATCGTCGAGTCGGATAGGAGACCTCGAAGGAGATGCCAAGTATATTGCCAAGGAACTGCTTTCTAGCGCTGCTCGACTTCCATCGGCGGACATCTTCTGTCTAGGTACTGTGAATAGTATAGTAGGCCCTTGCCAATCACCTAGTGTTCCTTACACGAATGACTTGCTTCTAGGTATCATGATGCTGGAAATCGCTACTGGAGTAGCATTACCCGAAGCTGGACAGAAGTGGCATGATCTGCGAGAAGGCGAGTTGCCTCCTTTTGCTTTAAGCTACACTGAGGGGTTTCGCAAGTTGATACGACAGGTACGACCTTCTTTCTTTCTTTCTTTCTTTCTTTCTTTCTTTCTTTCTATCTATCTCAGGTGTCATTGTTGCTAATGTGCAATGTAATAAATATGAAGATGATGGATCCCGATGCAACAAAAAGACCCAGTGCAGTTGACATTCTGAAGAAGTCTAGTGTCCAAACTGCCAATGAGCCTGCTACACTCATTCTTGAGGTAAGCGTGTTTCCCCCTATTCACATTTAATACTGTCATCTAATGGTAATATTTGTTCGTATACACTGTATATGTATACTATACAGCACGCTCTGAAGCAAAAGTTGATAATGCCTACGAAATTGCGCAATACAAATTGGTCGGCAAAAAATAGTCTGCAGACTCCACATAAGACTCGCCCCATAAATTGAGCTCACTACACTTTCCACACTTTATATCGGACCCTTTTTTAACTTCAACATGTTAAATATGGGACAATGTACAATTGACTTGAACCGGTTCAGTTCTTTCCCCTAACCCTTAACCGTTTTTTATACCTGAGCCGTACATTATTAACCTCTTCGTTGGTTGGCTTCCAGGGCTTTCGTAGGCCGCCAAGTACAGCGTCAGGTTCAGTATCTCTTTTCTTACGTAATAACAAGAGTACGTCCATGTCGCTCTTACATAGGTCACGAATACTGTAATCAAAGATAAAGTATTAACGTAGAATACCAATGTTTCCTCACTAAATTAACAGTGAAGTTCAATTCGACCGTGTCCTCGTCGCGTCGCAAAAGCCGCAAGGCGCACTTCGGTGCCCACTCGACGCAACGTCGTGTGCTTATGAGTGCACCTTTGTCCAAGGAACTGCAGAACAAGTACAATGTAAGTTAGTACACTGGTACTTTCAGCGTTGTAAGTCCATGTCAGATTCTGCCACTCTATCTAATGGGAGCAGACTGGCACTTCATGGCATCGCAGGACCCGTAAGTGTCGACGGAACGGCAGTAACACACCACACAGGCTCTTGTTAGGTCCATAGTATGACCATTTGGCTGACATGTGCTGTAAATTTAGGTTCGCAGTCTGCCTATTCGCAAGGAGGATGAAGTCATCATTGTCCGTGGCTCGCAGAAGTCTCGCGAGGGTCGCGTTACTGCCGTGTACCGTAAGAAGTTTGTCATTCACGTCGAGCGCGTGGTGCGTGAGAAGGCCAATGGCGCTTCGGTGCCTATTGGTATTGACGCCTCCAAGGTGGTCATCACCAAGCTCAAGCTTGACAAGGACCGTAAGAAGATTTTGGAGCGCAAAAACCGTGCTGTGAGCGAGACCGAGAAGGGAAAGTTCACGGAGCAGGACGTTGCCATGGCTACGGTCGACTAAGTGTCCAATGGCCATTGTTACATTGTGACATTGGACTTATAGCTGCCGTCTCGAGCATTGTTATTGTAGAGAGAAGGAAAGACACAACACGTTTGGCAGGTTCGCACGTGCTGCGCTATGGTTTGAAGCTAATAATGCAGAATCGTGGGGAAGTGGTTGCTCTCTCCTGGGTATTTGCCAAACGAACAATAGCTTTGTTTTGATGGAGTTGATTCGTGATAGAACATTTGAAGTTTCTGTCATCTCTTGCACTATCAGACATACTGAAGTGGAACGCGTAACAGAAAAGGTTAGTCTAGTCATCCTTACTTCTCACAGTGTCAATTCCTTCATTACGAGACGCTACAAAGTTGCTGCAAAGGTACGTCTTACATAGCGACCTGCACAACCTGTTTAGTCACGTTCCCTCGATCATTTACTAGTATTTCTTTATGAATTCAAAGCACAATTCCCAGTGACAGCATCAAGTTACAAACGAGTAAACTAATGTCATGTATATAGTTTCACAATCACCTTGCCTCAAATGCATGAACTTCTGCATGTAGAATTTTTTAAAACGTTTTCAGAAGCATTTTGTTGCTGTTTGGCAACATTTGATACACCATTTGTATTACGATCGATCTCAGTAAGTTCCATTAAGCCCATAAAAATAAATCTTCGCCACCTTAAAATCTAAATGCTGCAAACGTTGCAGCGAACGTCGGGAAATGCAACCCATTGCGTTTCCAGTCTGCACATCGTCATCAAGGATAAACATCCTAATTAGTGATGGTAATGGAGTCATTGACGCGGATTATAAGCGCTCTGGAGACATGAGCAAACGGGCGATACGACAGTCGTTCAATTTCTTGTACTGCTACCCTTTATTTCTTTCACCATTACTTTTTTTACTTCTATTCGTGCTGAACCTCGAACGCCAGAACGAACAAACCATACTCAATTATTAATAAAATCGCACGCACCCGCAACAGTCGCACTGGATGCTGAAAGCCGCGAGCTGCGCTCCAATAATGACTGCTCTTTATCTTCCCTGTTCTTGCTATCAAAACTGCTAGCTACCAATACACCAGAAAGCCCCCTCCGAGTTTCTCGTCACTCTAGATTACATTATACTTGCTTGATGTGTGTTGTATCCGCTGCCACCAAACTGCGGTGGTGGTGATGGTTATAGCGCATGAGGTAAGCATAGGTGAATGCATTCAAGCACATTACGGCTGCACCTCGCACGTGGTCAGCTGCTTCACTGCACCTACAACAAAACTCGCAGGGTCGTAAGCGGGGTGCAAGATCGAAAGAGCATGAGATTCGCTATCCTTAAATGCAATCTCAGAGGTTTCATCGTTCATCTCGCCCATAATGCTATTCTCCACAATTTCAGATATCGCGAGCGCCATATGTATGCGCGTCTTTTCCCCAACCGTCTCAACAAGTTCGTCGAACAGGCCGACTTTCCACGCGACATGTTTCTCTTCCAAAAAGTACCATACTCGGTACGCATTCCAGAAGTGCGCATTGTCCAACTTCTTGACAAGAGTGCCGTTCACGGAGATACGGAACACCTTCTGGATTCGCTGCACATCGACGTCTACATCGCTCAGATCTACACCATTGTTCACGAGGAAGCGGAGCAGCACCAGCAGCTCGTACTCAGATGGCCGGTAATGACCACTATGAGGATAAATAGTTTTAATAATCCCGTTAGTAATTACCATCATGCCTGCTGTTTGTACACATTCTCCACCGACGAAGCTCGTATGATGAATGCGAGGAATTTTCTTCGTCTCTTTATGGGAGCCGTAGAGAACGCCATCGCGCAAAACAAAGATCCATCCATCTGGTCCTGTTTCTACAATTTCTTGTGAAACTTCATGTACAATCACGCCGTTCTGTACTGCAAGCGCAAACTTTTGACGCTCTGCCGCTGTGTCACAGTAGAGCACAGTCTCCCGCTCTAATTTCGTTCTTGGTACACCTGCTACTTCAATTGATTCATCGTCGAGCCACTCCCAGAAGCTTGGCTTTGTAGGCTCCATTGGTTGGCGCTTCCACTCCTTATAGTACGCTCGCAAATTTGCACCATACCTATCCCATTCACAAACATTCGTTAATACAACTATCTAGCATTCAAAGTCTCGACAACAACCTTACCGGTGCTTGCGGTCACAGACTTCCAGCCAGCTTTTTTTATCCACCACGGAAATGTTTCCTGCGCTGTAGCCTTTTACTAGCTTAGGTGAGTACTTCGTAGCCAGCTTGACAATCTCGTGCATGTTCTGGTACGTAGTTCGTCGCTTGGCACGCATGCCCTCTGCTGTCATTTGTTTGGTTCGTTCTTTCGGCTAATTTCTTTGCGTGTGTAACACAGTAATTAGCCAGCTTCTGTCACTCGTGTGGACTCGCTCGTCTGGGTTTCGACTGTTGTCGCCACAGTATCGTCTTTTTAGTACTTTATGTCCGATTTCCTACTGAACAAAGTGGCGCTGAGTATGCGCACGCGTGTGTGTAGTATGCGTGTGGCAACCAAGAGAAGACCAAGAACAGCCAAGTGACGTCTCCTATCCAAGAGTGCAAGGTGCAAGCAAGTGGCACACACAGAAAGGGGACAGACAAGCACAACACGCCTCTTTTCACTATGTTTTGTGTAGACAAGAGGAATAGAAGAAATGAGCTTGTGCACAAACTTCTTGTTTAGGCGTGTGTGGTTCGCTCAGCAACTTGTTTTTGTGAGTGGGTAGGGTGAGAAACTATCTTCCTTTGGACAATAGGCTTAATGTGACAAAAAATCCACTAATACAAAGGCACAGCACACAAGAACAAGCATGATCGTAAGTCGTTAGTTTCAGCAGGTGGCGTCCAGAATGATGTCAACGGATTAGGCGTCTTTTGACTGCAACTACAACACAATCTGATCCGTACCTAATGTTCTCTGTCTGGGATGCTTACTTCAGCGCAAATTCTCTAATGAGAGCCTTTGACCGTATAGGCTCCCGGCTTTGCGCTGAAGAAGGCTACTCTCTAACCACTATCGCGGTTCGGGGTAACGTTTTTGTCCAACCAAGGCGCTATAAAAACTTAGTTGAGCCAGTTGACTTTGCTAATATGTGTCTAATATAGACGAATCAGAAGCAATTGTATCTATGAACCCTAACCGGTCCGGTTATAGACCTATAACTTACCGCTTCGCTGATGTCTACCGGTCAGAAGATGCAAGATTGAAAAGGGTCGTGGTGCTCGCTGTCATCCGATAGGAAGTGCTAAGATTCATCATAAAGACGGTTGATCCGCAAGATTCAGCATACGTCCCTATTGACTTTCACATAATCTCACCCTAGACGCAGCATAGACGGCAGCCAGGGGCCATTTGCACAAACTTGTCTGCACAGCGGCAATGCACAGTGTAGTTGCAATTGATCCTATAGCAAATTTATCAGGTAAGAATGGGGTCCGCCGCTCAAATAAGATCGTCCTTGGTCCACCCGGCACGACGAGCTACAAGGTGGTCTCCCTCCAAATCAGAGTCCGATCGTCAAAACGTTTTCAGAAACAGTGTGAGGCAGTGCTGACGCAGCAATGGAAGCGGCACTCCGGTCCAGATTCCGTACATATTGGACTCAATTTTGAGGTGGTATTTTCTCGTCCGGCCCACTCACATGCGCCCATCGAAAACGTGTCATCTCGTACTTTTTCTTGGGCTAAAATGTCCGTCAACACATGTGCTGCATGTGACGCGTCACGGTCGCCACCTTGAAGAGATAGCTACAATAATGGTGTATACATGGAAAGCAGTTTCCGTAACTTGTAATGAACATGGATGCCGACTACTCCGTATATTGCCAGGATGGCGAAGATGACGTTGTTGACACTTGGATCCATTCGAGTCAGCATCAACAAGGCATTACCTGCCATAGCCTAGTGCTCAATTACGACTACACGTCGGACGAGCATGCAGGTCTTATGACCTACAGAAATGGACCCAATCGGTTTCTACAGCAATCGCTGGAACAAGACGAGTTTGACCAATACGCAGCTGCTCCTGCCTGCTCGTGAACAAGGAAGTGGCAACAGTTCAAGCCTTGTGTCCTTACGACTAAATATGACGATGGTGACAATCGCTGGAACAGGTGCTCATTGAGCTGATCATGCAGTTACCGCACATTGAAAATGGTCGACAACAATGTCTCCATGGTGCAAAAAATCATCAGTTGTTTATGAGCGAAGACATTTATGCATTCTTTCTGCCACGGACTGACTTGAGAACTTTCTTAATCGATGCGTGCGCTCCAAATGACTTAGCTTGGTCAGAGGACGCTGCCTCGACGTCACTGTCCACATTCTCATCCTCTGAAAATGCGTAGCCATGATACAAACCCCCTGGAGCTGCGGCTGCTACACTTGCTGTGACTGTGGCAGCAACAGATCCGGCAGATTCCGAAAAAGATGGTTCCACTCCTGCGTTAAAGCTATTAATGCTGTCTGTGGTATGAAGAGACCCACGAATGCGAATATTGCGCTTCTTCTCTCGGATTGCAAAACCTGCTGGATGATCAGGTTCTCCGCCACTAGATAATTCGGAGAAAGGGGATGCGATTAACCTCTCACCAAGCGAAGAAGACCGCATGAGAGTTTCTTCCGGATTATCCACTCGTGGCATGTTGCCAAATAGCTTCGTGTAGTTCACATCGACGGCTGGCGTATCAGACCACACGGAACTGGACGTAGACCGACGGTATTCACGCAGCATGCCCCGAGGCGAATTTGGCAAGCCCATCAGATCGCGTTCCTGCAATATGTGGTACATAGAGGGCAGTGAAAACCGTCGCACGACTTTCCACAGAACGTCACGCAAAAGACTTAACGATAGCACAAGAAGGCATACGAGCCAGAAGGTTGGCAACCCCCGAAGGTATTCCATTTCACCAGTGGCTCGTGGAAACCCACTATTTGACAGCGAGATCAAAGATCCAACAGCAAACCACAATAGCACAGACATAGTTACTGTGAGCAGAAACTGCCACGTCAGCATGAACGTCTCAAGGCAGAGCTTTAGGTTTACGACAACCACAAGATTCGTGAACACCACAAACCCTAAAGTGACAAGACCACCACTTTTTCCTGTCTCCGTTGCAATGACCGGAAAATCGTGGATGTTGAGACCGAAGCCCTCAAAGGCCCACGCAGAAACGAAGAAGATCACGATTGAGTGCCAAACACCGTTGAATATCCAAGGCCAAAACACGCGACGCGCCAGCAAAGCATTCTTTTGGCCGAGTGCATACAAGTACGGGAACTTGGACGCACTTGAGGAAGAAACGTCTTGGTCAAAGACGGCAAAGAGTATCAATGGCACACTCGTGTAAAGCACGTTAAAACTTTGTGCAGCTACATCCAGGATAAGTGGCTGACCTGAGAACCCACAGAAGCATCCAAACCAGAAGGTAGTGAGCACATAGGTCACGTTCTTGTACAGCATATAGCTCATGAGTTTGGCCACCCGGCGATAAGCCCACCGACCATGCACAAACAGAAGCCGTTGTAGGAAGCGAAATTGTGCCAATGCATAGTCCGAGGCGTTCACGGCTTGTGCTCCTTCCTGACCAGAAATGCCCACACCAATATGGGCTGCCTGGATCATTGCTACGTCATTTGCTCCATCACCGATTGCAAGTGTCACGCTTTCCGGCTCGAATTCGCGAACAAGCTCAACGATATCAGCCTTCTGCTTGGGCGACACGCGGCAGCAAATAACAGCTGACGCGCACTCATGAATAACTTGATAGAACAGGCTACGTAATTGAGGGCGAACAGCAAAAGCAAGAGCCTGCCCGTCAATTACAAGTGCTAGCTTCCGCGCAGTTGGTCCACTTCGGTGGCGATCTTTGTAATCATGCAAGCTTGCTGCAAGCGACCCGTACTCGGGTGTAGAAATCGCTTTGCTGTCAGCCTCAATCTCACCATCGTGTCGTACCTCATCGTCAGATGAATACTTGTCAGCGTGTTCGGCATCAGTTGCAACTGGTGCATACACTGAGCTCTTACCAAATGATGACGAAGTCCTTGACGCCCGTTGCGCTAGGTGACGTCTCTGCTTTCGCATTCTCCTTCTTTTCGTTTGTGTGCCGAAAAGAAATCCATGTATTGCCACTTTTGCATTACCAAAAAAGCTGTCCGATTGGTTTTGAGTTCGTCGTCTACCGCCTCGAGTGCGATGCCGAATATCTGTAGCCCAATCAATTCTTGGGGCAGCGTCATAAAGCGAAGCCAGGAACGGCGATAGTTGATGCGATGAAGCTCCCTGTCCACCGCGCTGAGATAATTCTTTTAGAGCCGCAGCTGTGGAGGTGTAGTCGTCCCCGCCTATTTGTTGTACGTCCATATCGTGAGAAAGAAGCGCACTGGCGTATCCAATGTTTACAGCAGTCTCCATTTTATCGCCTGTTAGCGTCCAGATCTTAATATTCGTCTCTTGAAGTAGACGTAGCGTCGCAGGCACACCAGCCTGTAGTTTGTCTTGGACAGCTGTGACTCCCAAAAGAACTAGATCGCATTCAATTTCATTCATGAGCGGATCAATCGTGTTTGCACGACCTTGACGCCGCTTCACTAATTCTTCCATGGAAGTATGAGCTTGCGTAAAACGAGTATTCCAATCATCATACTCACGGCGGCCAATGGTTTTGTATGCAAAGCAAAGTGTTCGCATTCCTTTTTTCGCATACAGAGTAAGTTGATCCGCAGCTTGCTCGTAAGTCATGCCGCCAGATAATGTTGCTTGGTCAGCAGCAAGTCGCTCGAAAATGACATTATCAGCGCCTTTGCAAATGAGTTCAATCGATCCAGCTGGAGTCTCTACGATCGTTGTCATGCGCTTTCGGTCGCTATCGAACTCAAGTACGTTCAAAAGCTTGTATGTGCTAGGTGCTGCACACCCCGTCTCCAAGAGCATCACAGTATTTGGCGTTCTGTGAACGAAGCGCACGTTACAGAATGCTGCAGCAGACACCAACGCCTGTTCGTCCGGTGACGATGCAGAATACTCTGGGAAGGATGTGCTACACATTTCTGCGAGAGATTTTGTGGGGAGCAGTGTATGACACAGCGCTAGATGTCGTAGAAAACGGCGGAGAGTTTCCGCCTGTTCTCCTCCAGTATGGATATCAGCAAAGAGTTCCGTAGGGTCGAAGTCAACATACCTTGCGCCATCCGTCGAGGCACCACCCTTTAAAGACGAGGTTCTACTAGAAACATCCGCCTCCATATCTTTGTCTTGCAAGGGACCGCCGTAATGCTTCCCTCCCACCATGCAGTAACGAAAAAGCATGAGATTCATTGTAAGGGTCCCAGTCTTGTCTGTAAAGATATGATGCACACGGCCAAGATCTTCATTAAGGGCTGATGATCGAACCGTAGCAGGTGTATCGGACGACTTCTCGTACATCTCTAAGTCCTGCTCAATAAAGTAGGCCTGCCAGTACTTGACGAACTCCAGCGAAACATTCAGCGATATCGGGACAAAGTTTTGCATGATAATGAAGTATCGCAGGTGCAACTTCGCGAGCTCAGTCAGAAGATGAGAAGGAGCGCCAGTCAGATTATGTCGTCGCCGCTCATGTGCGGTGAAAAGATACCAAAACGAGTCTCCCTTCGTGTGCATCCAGTGGGCGCCAAGCAGCGCGCCTAGAAAACACACGAGCTGCTGGATAAGCACAATACCGATAATGAGTTGGTTAAGTCGCCTTTCCACCGAAGAGGTCTTCACAACAGGCTCAGTATTGCTGCAAAACACTTTGGTCTCGTGACCAGTAAACACTACCATACCTGTGATCGAGCCTGTATTCCGGAGTACACAGCTCCGCAGCATCATCTGTTTTGCTGTAACTGGCATGCGCACGCGCACAAAACCATCTTCACTCGTTTCGGCCTGCAAAAGACCAGCATTAGGCTGAGAGGAGTGGCTTGCATTGTTTGAGTCACTTTCATCTACACCCAATGCATGGGCTTGGTCTGGGCTCAATACGGCCAAAAAAGTACCTTCAAAGCTGGTTATACGGTTGTTTGGCTGTTCACACATCATCATTCCACGCAAATCATTGTGTCCGCCACCATCTATAGTAGAGTTCATACAGCTCGATCTTTGGCAAAGCGCAGCCACCAACGGGATAGCCGTACGGATCTTAAGGTTTGTTTCACCGTCCAGTGATTTCGTTTCAATGTACGCCAGGTTGGTCTTTGCTGTCTGTTCCTTCGGTGACGCCAGTTTGTGCGCATCGTTTTCATCATTTACAGCTACAAGAGGTCCCGAAGTGTCGTCTCGTTCAATCCGTTCGATTGTCTTTGGCGTTTGTTTCTGTCGTCTTCTGTCGCTCTCATCATCGTGTTCCACTGCTTCCGCTGACAGCAAGAACAAATCCGCAGGAATAATCTCATCGTTCATCACCTTAACAATATCTCCTACATGTAATTCTCCCCATTGTCTTTTCTCCCAAATGCCCAAAGGTGAAAGTGTCAGCACTGATCGATTATTCGTCACACGGTCTGCTCGATGACGCTCTCGATCTTCCAGTGCCTCTTTAATCGCACTACATACAAAGACTACCGCTAACGGTAAAAGAATCGTCGGAATGCCGTTCGTGTTGCTCACTTCTCGAATAGACTGGAGCACTGCGATAAACAGGAAATACACGTTCGATGGACGCTGCACTTGTGCCAACAGCACGCGTGGCACAAAATTCCAAGCATTGTACTTGGCACTCACGACTATATTGCTGGCAAAGAGAGATGGTGGTTCCACAGTGTCTTCCCGCGATCTCTTGGCGCCACCAAACAGCCATGACGATCGCATGCGCTTTCGTAGACGGCGTGTCTCACGCTCCTCGCGGCGGCGGCGACGCTGTGCCGCATTTGCGCGAGATAGAAGAGTCATCCGATCGACGCGTATTACACGCAGATTTTGTCCCGGGTCTTCGTATGTCGCGGAACTGACGCGAGACCCCGCAACCTCGGCCTGAATACGCATCTTACCTTACGAGTTACGTTATGCAACGCTGCGATTGGGATTACGGTACTCTATTTTTGGTGAGTGTAACCGGGTCCGGTTAGGAACCGGACCGGGCCATAGTCATGTGCTTTCCATCACGCATCGGCCACTCGCTCGGAGCATTCGACGAAAAGGATGAGTGACGTGAATGACTCACCGCCGTCGTCTGTGGGGCTTGGCAATTCGCTCATGTGGGAGAAGGTGGCACTGTCACCACTGGAGGTGCTTTCTGTGCAATTGGAGCACGAGATGCATCTTGCTGAGGAGGTGGCTGCAGCTGCAAGTGCTGGTAAGCAAAACAAGAACGGTGTGGACGTGGATGCTCAGACCGGCAAGGCTGGAGGACGCGTGATGATTGAAGTACTAGAAGCTAAGGATTTGGCGCTAGAAAAGAGCGCGGCGGTGCTGGCGGTTAGTGGCAAGGCGCACCCGGAATTGTACGTGTCCACACAGGTAACGCCGGTGTCGGCATTCGAGAAGACTACGAAGAAGTATCTGCGCACTAGCAGCGTACAAGCTGTAGATAGTGCTACTGCTAAATGGCTAGAAGCGCTTGTGTATAATGGAGCTAAAACGAAGAAATTCGGCATTAAGGTCTCGCTCAGCATGAGTGCTGAGGTAATTGCTGATGTCGTGCTTGGAGAGCTAGAGCTGCGTAGCACCGATTATGAGGATCAAGTGTCTCATAAAAAGTGGTTTGACTTGAAGGCCCCAAAGTCTGCTCCTACAGCCGGCGTTACTGGGAAGTTGCTGCTGCGCGTCACTTTTGAGTACTCGATGCGTGAGCGTCACGAGCGTGAGGTGGCTAGGCTTCGAAATAAAAAACATGAGAACGATGTCGATATCGAGAAATACAAGGCCACTGCACGACTGGTGAATTCACCAGTACGACACCCTGCTGCATTTGGCAAGGAGACAGCAAAAGCTGCACTGTACTTACCTGGCAACAAATTTGTCATCGAGTCACACCACCCGGCTGCTGTAAGTGTAGCACCTCTGGCAGACAAGACGCGTATCGTGACTCCGTTTGGACGAGGCGTTGTGGTCTCGTTTCGATCCGAAACTAAGATGTACGTGGTGCTATTGGACACTGATACTGCGTCAAAAAACCATACGATTGCTTACCTGCAGCAAAACGTAGTGAAAGAAGAGCCCGAGGAGCCGCACCTTAGCATGCACACGAAGGTGGCGACCCCATACGGTCTAGGCACGCTGGAAGAGATCCGTCCTCATGACGACGTCTTGATCGTCAAGACAGACTACGCACGCATGTTCATGCAGCGTAAGGACGTAAAGGTGCCAACAAAAGACATTTCAGAAATGACGTTGAAGGATTTGGTGAAAGAGGCTACCAAGCTCACCGATGCAGGTAATGAGGAGTTCCGCAAAGGCAAATTGCAAGATGCTGTATATAGCTACCTGCGTTCGCTGGGTTTCCTTGATCGCGTGGACCAGGATAGTGCTACCCACAAGGAAAAAGCAGCGATCATTCAGACAATGATTCGCTGCCACCTCAACATTGCTGCCTGCAAGTTGAAGCTTAATGCGTACGTCGACGCTGAGATCGCGTCCACAAACGCCTTGGGCATTCTCAAAGTATTGTCCGAGAACCGCGAGGGGAACGTGGTCACGTGGATGGGGCGTCTGGGTATGTCGGAGCAGCTCATGTTTGGGGACTGGCCGTCTAAGGCGCGTTTCCGCCGTGCCCAAGCGTGCATTAAGCTGAAGAAGTATATGGACGCCAAGCAGGATCTACTGCTGGCGGTGAAGCTGAACCCTCGCGACAAGTCGTGCCGCACGTTGCTTGATAAGGTAATCAAGCTGGTGGACGAGCAGAAGCGCAACGAAAAGAAGGCCTGGGGTGGCATCTTTGACAACCTTGACGCGTCAGCGTCCACTCTCAAAAACGCGACAGCGAGCAGCAAGACGGCGACTAATCAGAGCAGGGAGAAGTCGATCTTTACGCGCAAGAGTAAGGCTCAGAAGCAGGAGCAGGCGGCGGCACCAATAGTCAGGGACGGAGCCGAGCCGTGGTATCTGACCGCGCGCACGCTGGCCACGGTGTCGGTGGTAACGGCGGGCGTGGCTGCCGTTGCACTGTTGGCCCTGAAGCCCAAGAGCTCATAAGCTGCGATGAAAACACGCAGGTGTTCCCTGCCAGCTATTTCAACTTCCTGGCTTTTTGAGCTGAGATCTGTACAGGTAGTTTACCGCGCTGCTATCTCCGCTTGCACGTTGAAAGCAGTCAGCAGCTGCAACTGGGACAGGGCACGCAGAATCTGTGGATTTGAGCGCGCGTGGACCTTGTTGTCGTTCTGTGCCGCCATATAAATTGCGCCCACTCGCTTTACACCATCGACGAGAAGCAAATACACGGTTTAGTTCTTGTTGAACGCGTGGTATCCGCTGGCCGAAGCGAGCAATGTTTCCTTTTTACTACCTAAAGCGACACGGCGGCTCGGGCAGGGTTCAAAGCGAAAGGGGCAATCGACGATGCGGTGGGTTGCCGCATTCGTTTTCGTGGAGCGATAAAGCCGCCTTGTTTTATCGATAAAGCCACCTTGTTTTATCGATAAAACCACCTTGTTTTATCGATAAAACCACCTTGGTTTTGCTAGCTCCAGACTGCCTCTACGGCAAGACTGGCAGCGGCATTCCGTCGGCCCGACGAACAACCACTGCGTTGTTGACTAGACGTACCGTTACTGAATATCAGCGGAACAGCTGGTAAAACTTGCCTCTCACAGAGTGATGGTCGCTGCCCTTTCTAAGAACACGTTTTGACGATCACAGGGATGTCCTGCTTCAACTTGCCGTTAGCATAACGCAAGCGCGCTTCCACCCTTTCTTCCGACCTCTGTCGTTGACGGAAACCCCAGCCAGGCAGTTACCACGCGCCAGTCGAGTCAAGCCACATCACGTCGGCAACTTGGCTCGACACGTGCGTGCTTGGATTTTTCTGTGAAAAGCAACCTGAATGTTGAATTGCTTCTCGAGTTTGAACCGCATGCATGGCGTCCGCATCGACGCGCGACCTGAAATTTCCGATGCGAGCAGACCACTTTGCCCGCCAGCAACATGAGGTCGACGCCAGCTCGGGGCCTCTTTGCATTTCTCGCGCGGTCATTTTTTACACGCTCGCCATCTCAGATCTGCGGCAGTCGCTGAAAACTCGCGATCGAGATGGCTTATTGCATGCATATAACTCGCACTCAAAAGATAGACACTCGCTTAACCCACATCCTCGTCGCTGAAAGTTTCCGTCGTTTCGCTTAAAAAAACGGGCTTTTCTTTTGCCTGTGACAGGTTGCCTTCGCTTTCACTTAAAGCGAGAGGACCCGTTGACGTCGCGCGTAAAATAACCCCCGGTCCACAGTCCGAGACGACATCATTTTCCAACTTGCCGTTTCCTGCGCAAGTGAATGACCGCTGACTTTGTGGTATATCAGAGGCACCCGACATCCAATCCTCACGTTATGGGTCACAGCGACTCGATGAGCCCTGTTAAGAGTGGCAACAATGGAGGTCCCTGTTCCTCCTCTCCCTCGTTCTCTGTACCGCCGCAGCGCGTTGACAACCTTACCAAGTCGGCAATCGCGACGCTGGAAAAGCCCGTCCACCACGACGACCCGGTTGAACCAGTTCGTGTGAAGTTGCAGGACCCCATTGGATACACGTCGGATTCGCTCTGGTCGTCAGAAGGACTCAAGCCGCGCTCCTCACTGCTCTTCTCCGTCTCGCAGGCTCTGGGTGAGCCCACAGCAAGCGTTACGCTGCGTCCTCCACGACTGCAGCCCAAGGCGGATTCGCGCTCCGTGCACAGTGCTCAGACCACGCCACCCAGCGAGTCAGACGAAGGTGAGGTGGTGGCAGTGGACAATCAGAAGGAAGACTATGATCAGCACGACGCTAGTGCTGGAGAGTTGTCAACTTCTTGGGGATCGACACAGAAGCAATCGAGCAAGGTATTTGATTTCTATTTGACCTCTTGAATAATGCAAGCATTGGTTCTGACACGGATTCATGTGGTTGCTATTGTAGGACAACCAAACCACTGATAACCAGGAGTTGGAGTCGCTTAGGCTTTCACTGAATGTGGTATGCTTTGACTTCCTTGGTCAGACAACCCCTGTTGCTTCTTTTCTGACTGTATTGTCTTGCTTCCTTGTGCTGCAGCAAGTCGGAGATCGCGAGTGTGTGCTGTCCCATAGCCATGATCACCCCTCGGTGGATATCTGGAAGAACCCTCACAACGATTTCGCGGACGGTAACTTCATTTCAAGTGTGAGCCCCACTACTTCTCCGGAGAAGCAAATGTTTCCACGCTCAAGCACTAAGGCTGTCCTCCCAAGGTCATCTCGTGGTGATATTGTTGATTGCCGTATCCCTCCGGGAATGTCATTAATTGACCGAATCCAAGAAGACTTCCCTCGCACTCCATCACCCGAATACGGGCAGTTTGAAGACGGTGGTTTGCCTTTCCGCAGACTTTCATTTGGAGGAAGAGATCAACACGATCAGTCCGTGTGCAGTATCAACGAAGAAATGGGGCATCTGAAGCTTGGTAACTATTGCTCGGCGCGGCCTTACGACGGAGGCCACCGATCTGGCCACGACTTTGAGTATTTACCTCGGATGCCGGAGTACACCTCTGATCCCAGACTTGCTGGGGTGAACAATTACCGTCACGCATTCGGCAGAAGCACGAGCGAGCCTCCTTTTGGCCGGTCTTACCATGGAGTTACAGCGCAAGGCTATCCATCGCCTTATGGCATGGAAGCTCATGGAGTCCAGAGCTACCCCGTCGTAATGGGGTCCACCAAGTCCCAATGGGCCAACAGCGAGGACACGCACTCGTTCCCATCGTCCCCCTTCGGCTATGAGCCGTCGACTTTCGCAATTCCACATCCTGTTCATGGTTCGGCTTTGCCGACTTACTCGGTCAGCTACGCTGGAGAACACCGCGGTGTGAAATACGCCGACAAGATGTTCAAAGCTCGCTCGTCATATCCTCTGGTTGATCACCCGCCGTATGAACTTCATGACTTTGGAAGCTACGTACCCCGTCCTCAGATGCTGCAAAGACCGAGTGTTGGAGGATCTCGGCGGAACGAGTTCGAGTATTTCTACCCGGTCGCGCACTCGTACTCGTCCAATAGCCTCTTGGAGGAGTTCAACTCGGCACCAAAGTCGGAGAAATGGGGGTTGTCTGCCATCAAAGGACACCTCTTCCTCTTCGCAAAGGACCAGACAGGCTCGCGATTTATTCAGCAGAAGCTGGAGAAGGCTGACGAACGCTTAAAAGCTGAAGCATTCAACGAAATATTCCCAAGCTCGCTCCTGCTGATGACGGATGTGTTTGGCAACTATGTGATCCAGAAGTTTCTCGAGTTTGGATCTCTGGAACAGCAGCAGTTACTGGTGGAGCTGATGACAAGCAACATGATTAGCTTGGCCCTGCAAGTGTACGGATGTCGCGTGATCCAACGTGCACTGGAGGTGGTCCAAGTTGAAGAGCAACTCGCCCTCATCCGACAGCTGAAGGGACATGTGATGAAGTGCGTTGTTGACCAAAATGGCAACCATGTTTTGCAAAAGTGCATCGAAGCAGCATCTTGGAAGAGGTCTGTCGAGTGCAATGGAGTGGGACCTCAGCTTTTTGTGACGGGTAAGGACATTCAGTTTATCATCGACAGCTTTGTCGGTCATGCTGCAGCACTCTCCACGCATTCGTACGGATGCCGTGTTATCCAGCGTGTGCTGGAACATTGCGCGCCAGAACAGATTCATCCGCTACTGAGTGAGATTATTTTCAAGTGCCGCGAGCTTGTCAAGGACCAGTTTGGTAATTATGTCGTGCAACACGTCATTAGTCACGGCGAGCCAAACCAACGCAATATCGTCATGCAAGCAGTGCTTCCTGAAATCGCACGCTGGAGCCAGCACAAGTATGCCAGTAATGTGGTGGAATCCTGTTTAGAGCATGCGACGAAGGAAGAGGTCAGCCGAATCATAGATTTCATCCTTCAGTGTGACGAGAGTGGAGCTTCTTGTGCACTGCTTCCCATAATGAAACACATGTACGGGAATTACGTGGTGCAAAAATTGCTGGAGCGCGCGGATGACCACGACCGCCAACGTATAGTATGTATTATTCGACACAATGAGGACTATCTAAAGCGTTTCACGTTCGGAAAGCACGTTTTGAGTCGGCTGGAGCGCGAGGAGCAGGCGAACCAGTACTTTTAATAAACGGCTCTGTAGACCCAGCTACTATGCACCTGCAGCTGTCAAGCAGGTGGGGCACCAACACAGCTGCCTTCAACATGCTCCTGCGCTTTGTGCTCGCCTACACTACTTATATAAATATTTTGCGGCGCAACGATCCCGAGATCGTTTTGATATTAGTTCACAATGATGAAACAAAAGTTTGAACGTATGATACACGGGCCACCACACCATAAAAAAGGTTCATAATTCTAAGAAAAGGTTATTCATCAAATGGTTAACTAGACAAACAGCACTGGGTGCTTTTTGCACTCAATGATGTTTGTCTAAATCACTTACTGCTTTTAGCTCCTGCAACGCACTTGCAACCTGCACAGATGCACGAGTTCCAGTATCCACTGCAGCGTGCACTGACATTCCTGGCTGTTCAAACGCTGTGGCTTCCCCAGCAAAGAAAACACGATTGTCTACAGCAGCGGCCAGGTCCTCGGAAGCTGAGTCTGATTGACCGACGCGCGGGAAAGCATATCCGCCACCAATCCACGGTTCATCTCCAAAGTCTTTGTACGTCCCCTTGACGAAGAACTTGTGCGCTGGGAACGGCTCGTCTACGGTGCCATAAATCATGTCGAGCTGGTCGAGGAAGCCCTCAATGATCTTATCGTGTGGCATGCCCACAAAGCTTTCCGCGTACAAGGCACCAGCAAAAGCCGTGATTAGGAATTGCGTTTCAGTATCGCCAGGCTTGTTCGCCTCCATCTCAGCACACAGCTCATCACCATTATGTTCTAGGTGGCCAATACCCTGCGTGCTGTTGAACCAGAACTCGGGCAGAAAGCAGTCCGAGCACACGATACCATGTGCGTTCTCGGGCCAGAAGCGCCCAGCCATGTGGAGCAGCACCTTGCCAGTGCGACGCATGTCGAAAGAATTTACAGCAGCGATCTTTTTCTCTGGTAGCGCTGGCATGTAAACGATCTTTGAAAACACAGCAGTTGACACAGTCACAACTAGCGTGCTGCATGACAGCTGCTCGCCCGATGTACTAGTCACTAGAATGCGATCGCTCTGAGAGTAATTCACACTTGCTACGGGCCAGTTAAGTCGGGTCGTCACGCCCTCAGCAAAGTACTCAACAAAACGCATGAAGCTCGGCACAACACGGTAATCACCTTCGTCTTCCTGCTCAATCCACTGCTTTTCGTACCGGCACGTAGTGCGCAGTGATATATCTTCCAGCGGGCCACCGGCTGTATTGGCGTATCCAGCCTCACACAGCTTCATCATGGACGGAGACAGATCGACCTCGTTGAAGTAATCCCTCATGGACTTCTCAGGTGGAATCTGGTCAATGTTCTCAAAATCGCTCAAGTCGGCTACGGACAGATTAAACTTGACAAACTCCTCATCTTGGTCGTCATACTTCAGCATGCGCTTTTGATCGCCGATATAGTAGTAGCCGATGCCTCCATCAGGAGCAGGTTCAGTTGGACCACCGTCGCCCTATACACGCAATAATGCATCGTGAGTCTTAAAGATTGAAACCAATTCAGTGTATTTACGATTTGTACAACATTCCTAATTTTACTACTTTATGCACGTATTACAGGTATGAAATGTATGAATCCAGACTGACTTTTCCCGGGTGGACACGTACAAGACTCGACGACACAAGAACTGTGCAACCGAATGCACGCAAAAGAACAAAGGGTCTACCAAAGAAGACCACATCGCTCGCCCTGGAAATGCTAATTAAGGAAACATAATCTAACGTTTGCTTTTGCATTCGTATGAAGGCCATAAGATTACTTCGCGCTCTTGCGAGCAAATCAGTGGCTGATTAATCGATGCGAATACATCCTACTACATGATTATATACATACAACACTTTTTCCGCACCTGAGCCCACGTGAAGATCTCGCGCAAGCCGATATTCAGCTCCTTGGCAAGTCGCGTTAGCGTTGTATTGGCGCCGTGCATGAACTCGGCGCCAAGCTCGATGCTCATGCCCGGGACAAAGCTCGTCGAGTTCATCACGCGCCCACCTACACGATCTGACGCCTCGACGACCAGCACGTCCTTGATATTTTTAACGTGCACCAGTTGACTAGCACACCGCAAACCGGCGACGCCTGCGCCAATAATGATGACTTTGTGGAACTCGGGCTGCTCGTCCGCCATTTTGTAACGGCTACTCTTCCACTTGCTACGAAGCGGAGAATCGAAAATGGCTCAAGCAGAAAATCATGATTGCTCAGAAGACCACAATCGAAAAGTGTCGGTTGATCAAAACTGGATGTGACACGACTTTGACTGGACAGCAGACCGTTCATTTTGAATGACTTGGTTTATGTAGAGAGTGATGTACAGTAGAGGACATCGCAGGTTGTATGATAAGAGACAGAACAAATTATTTCAGCTGGCGACTGGCCAAGCGCAACATCATTTTTGAAGCCACGTTGTAGCAACATAAGAAACACAATTTGTCACTGTGCAATAGCACTACATTACAAAAGATAACATCCGTGTAACGAGCCATATGTTACACAATCCGTTAAGTATGCAGTACTTAGATGCCAAGTGACCTGTCGCTACTTGGGTGAGACACATCAATGTGACTCACCCTCGTGAAAAAAACTATCCATTAATGGATTCACATTGTAGGGAATGACGCCCCAATTGGAGCTAGGCGTTATAATGACGTCACAGACGGACGTCATCAGCGAGCTTAAATATATTTAAGCTCGCCACGTCGGATTGTACATCTAAAGAAACGCGCATCCAATCATTGCATGTATAGTTGTCCAATCAGTAATTAGATTTACATTAAGTTATTCTCTTTTAAATATAAATCATTCTTGAGTTTACTACATTACACTTACTGCGCGCAGGAAGACTGGAAACAGCTTTCGCGACGCAGTAAGGTGCTTGTTCTTATGTTCCTTGCACGATTCGCTTTGGCGACCGGCAACAGCTATGTGCGGACGCTTCGGCACCAACCAATCCCTACCACCGCACGCGGAGGTAAGACGGTCTAACCGTTTGTTCGTTTGTGCTTGAAGGCGTGTGCTAGCAAGACGTGGCAGCTTATACAGCGCCCGCCTACGCTTGGTAGCACTAGTAGTCCTCCCGGCGACCCGTCTCTCTGAGCGTGCTTGTGAGTGATGATGGACCTTAATATTGATTGGGCTCAATTCCCCCGCCTCTTCCAACATCATATGGAGGCTAAGTATTTGGCTCAGGGACTTAGTGAACAAGCCCTGACCGGCCTCTTGAAATTGTCCTCCTGAGCAACATGTTACTCAGTTGGAGCAATTAGAGGCGTTTGTGCTTGTACATAGCAGAGACGCGTCCGAGGCAAGCAGCCAAGCTGCGGCTGAGTCCATCAGTAAGACTCAGGATGAGCTTTTGCGTGAGTAAGTTCGGAACGAGGCGCTCAACAGAACTGTTGAGACGCTCTCTGCTCGGTCTAATTAGCCAAGGCCCATTTAAATGGACCCTCCGAAGCTCGATAGGACTGACCCACGTACGATGGTCCAGTGGTTGTTAGCAGTGAATCAATGTGGTGTGGCGCAGCTCATTGAAGACTACACCAGAATGGTGTCGTATGCCATGTCAAGCTTGCGTAGTAAAGCGTCAGAGTGGGCATACTCTGCGCTGATGGCAAACGCTGATGCATTTCCATCATGGGCTATCTTTCAAACAAAGATTCGCGCCATGTATCAGCCGCCTAGCAATGAAGTGTTACTTCAGGCGCGTTTCTTTGTAGCACGGCAGGCGAAACGATCTCCGCAAGAATATGTATAGAGATGCGTTTGCTGTCGGCGTCCATTAATGTGGGTCCGATATTTAAACACATTAAGGTGTCTACGTCCATGAATGGACTACGGCGCGGCCCATCGCGTCAGGCCCTTTTGAAAGGTTCCAAAGACGCGATCCACACTTTGCGAAACATTGCTCCTTCGCCTCTCCACAATGAAGGAGGCAATTAAAATTGTCATGGTTAAGGGGCAATCCTACAACAATGCCTCGTTGACAGCTAATTATAAACCGTCGGCCGAGAAGTAGGATGCCACTCCAATGGAGCTAGGCAATGCAGACATTGTTTGCTACAAGTGCGGCAAGCGCGGCCATATGATGGCTCGCTGCTATGCCAAACTTGCTGTTGGTGCTAAGGCAGCCAGCAAGAAGGCTCCCTACCCAAAGGGAGGTGCGAAGAACCAGCTCGCACGACGCACGGGTCAGCACCTGCCCAAAGATGGGTCGGGAAATGTGGGAGCGCAGTAGGGGCGGGATGCCCTACTGTTGCGGAATTTGAAGCTACCCCTAAGTTCAGAGTGATCGAACAAATGGTTAGCATAGTCCCTGAGGCACCGAAAGGTCGGACCTCAGCTCTTTTGGTCTATAGCGCTCGAGTACGAGGCTATGACCAAGTGATGACCCTTCTCGTTGATTCGGGTGCATCACAGCATTTTGTGAAACTCGCGGCTCTGAAAAAGAGTCCGGCGAGTTGTGAGTCGCTTTGCCAGGATGGCAAGCGAGAAGAGGCGATCGTTCGTTTAGCGAACGGCGCGCTCGTCAAATCGGAGGGAGTTTAAGTTGAACTCGCCTTCGGTATTAGTGACTTTCTTGTAAAGAAGCTCACAGTGATAACAGTGCTAGGTATGAAGGGTCCATATGATCTCATCTTAGGCATGCCTTGGTTGACTAAACGCCAACCATGGATTGACTGGCGTACAAGCACAGTATCTAGCTCTACGCGGGAAAACGGAAAGGTTGTGCTCCTGCGAGAGACTTATTTGACTGATGCTGTGTTCAACACAGTCAAGGGTGCGATGACGGTATGTCAATCGACACCCGGTACAACCCAGATCGTAGAGCCTGGTGTAGCTGGAAGTTTCCTGACAGGAAGTCACGTAACACATATTCCTACCCAGCTCGAGGAGACTGGTGTAGTGAATGGTACGATGAAAAGTAGTCATGCGTCCAATGGTCCTGCACAGAGCCGAGAGAATGTGGCATTTGATGGTGAGCTGACAGGAAGTCAAGCGCCACAAGAACCGGCACAGAGCCATGGGCCTGGTGCGATTGAAAGGAGTGCGTTGGCTGAGGCAGCAACGACACCTTCTTCCAGGTCAAAGGTCGTGGCGAGTCGAAAAACGAGCACTAGACGTATCAAGACGATGAAGGTCACGTCAAAACGAGCGACCTTTGGATCAGTCTCGGTCCAAGAGGACGGACCTACGAACGAGTTGTTCGAGGCCGTCGACGACAAAATGCCGGAGGCATCCTCAATTGAGGTGCTCCAACTTGTCTTGGCATCTGCCGAGGAGATATTAAATCTCTCTGAGATGACGTGAGACATGTTCTTGTCCGAAATAAAGGAAGGAAAGATCCACGAGATAGTCGCTCCAAAGAGAACGTGGTGGACTGCTGTTCATCGTCCACGATAGACGAGAGCGTCTTGGGAACCGACAAGAAGAAATTGTCTGCTGTTTAAGGCTGGGAAGCCTCGAAGGACAGCCCGATCTATGATGTTCTGTGGAAACACCGTGATGTGTTTCCAGCGGAAGTGCCGAGCCGCCTACCGGTCGATAGGGGCATCAGGCACGAGATTGACCTGGAGCCTTGCACCAAGTATTGTGTGACCAGGCAATGGCCGTTGCCGAAGAAACAAGTCGATTACATCGATGAGTTCTTCGACAAGCAAGCTAAGGCGGGATATGTACGTAAGAGCAAGTCGCCTCACTGCAGTCTGACCTTCTGTGTGCGTAAAGCCACAAGTGGATGGCTCGTGGGTCATGCTTATAAAAAGCTGAACACGGCCACCATTCCGGCTCAAACGCCGATCCCGCGGAAAGATGTCTTGTTGAATTCCATGGGAAAGTCAACTATCTTTCCGCGTTGTATCTGAAGTATGGCTACTATCAAGCTCTCATGAGAGATACTGATGTAGCCAAAACGGCAGTAAGCACCCCAAGCGGTAGGCTGTAGGAGTGGCTTGTGATGCCACAAGGGTTGAAAAATGCTATAGCAACATTCAACCGAGTGGTGGCTCACGTGATGCGTCAGCACCGTGCCTACGCGCCCCATTACTATGACGATGTATTCGTGCATAGTAGGGCGGAGGATGGTCTGAGCGCGATAGAGTTGCATAAGCGTCATTTAGACGCTGTGTTGCAGACTCTGGGTGACGCCCACTTGTACGTTAGCTTGCAAAGTGCGTCATAGGGGTCCCCGAGATACCGGTACTGGGCTGCATCGTAGGTGCACACGGTTTACGAGCAGACCCAGAAAAGGTAAAGTCTGTTAAGGAATGGCCAGTCCCACGACATGTGAAGGATCTGCGCCAATTCCTTGGGCTCGCTATTTACTTGCATAAGTACAGCAAGCATTATGCGGAGCAGACCAAGCCATTTTCTGACCTTTTAAAAAAGGATACAGAATGGACTTGGTCAAAGGAGCAAGAAGATGCGTTCACTTCAATGAAGCAATCTCTTGTAGAGGCACCGGTCTTGGCATTGCCAGACGCGGATAAGCCCTTTAGCGTCGTCTGCTATGTAAGCAATTTTGCAATCGGCAGCGCGCTCATGCAGAAGGATGACAACGGCGTTGAACGTGTCATTTCGTATCAGTCTCGGCTTTTAAAAGCTGCCGAGCTGAATTACCCTGTGCATGACAAGGAGCTACTTTCAATTAAGTATGCCCTTGTGAAGTTTCGGGTGCACCGCTTGGGCACCGAACCTTTTGTGGTTTATACGGATCACGCATCACTGCGGACTGCTATAAATTCACCGCACCTCTTGCCTAGGATGGCGAGATGGCTAACATTCTTCTCTGATTTAATTTCAAAGTTGAATATAAGCCGGGTAAGTCGAATGTCTTGGCTGACGCTTTGTCTTGAAGACCAAAATTTGAGGCAAGACAACAGGAAAGTGTGTCTCGTGCGAAAGCACAAGATGAGTCGTCAACATTGGAAGCCATGAAGGCCTACCATGTGACGAGCTCAATGGCCTCCGATATCAAAGAGTGTTACAGTCAGGACAAACATTGTCGCCTGCTGTTGGATCACTTTGGTGGACAAAAGGTTACTCTTCCGTCGCACCTCAAGCGAAACTAAATCGCTTTAGTTACAGTGATGGCCTGTTATGGCATCAACTGTCACCCTGTGATCCCTTGAG